GCACGGGGCGGACTGAGGTCGAGGTACGAGCGGTCCAGGTACAGAGGTACCGCAGGTCGGCGCCTTGGAGCACGAAACAGGGAACCCAGCAAATCCCAGGAACCCATTTGCCCATCAGTAATCGCCCTGCACCGCAAGTCACATCACCACGCACCGTCTGCCATTTTCCCTCACAAGCCTCGCCCTGCACCGGCCCAACGCATCGCCGTGACCGTTGCAAGCGCGCCCCGACAAACGACAGCGCCGACGGGCCCGACAGACACCAGACACGAGCCTCCATCACCACCGCCGTCGGCACCGGCCCTCGACCTGAGGACGCCCCGCCTCGCTGTCTCTGCCTCGAGGGGCTCCCACGACATTATACAGCAGGTGGCTGCTCGTGCTACCAAGCGCCATCGAAAAGCCATCGACGCTCGTTGCCATTACGCCTAACCCTACGTTATACCGGCCGCCAACCCCTCACCGGTGCTCACAACGGCTCCGAGCTCTGTCCTCCCTTGACGACCCGCGGCCGACCGAACGAAATCTCCTGCACCCTCGGACGCCCACCGCGCCCTCGCTGCCAACTTGATACCCCGACCCGGCAACCGACCCCAGTTTTGGGCTCCGCTGCAGTCTTCCAGTTCGGCATTGTCGCTTGCGCCGTGGTATTGAGGCTTGCAGGGGGCTGAAAGTGCTGCGCGATACATGCTCAGGAGGCAGGGTTCCCGCGCCTCGTCCTGAAAGCCAGCCCGGCCCAATAAGCACGACTGTCGCTGCCCAGCACCACTGCCGGTGTTTCTCGTCCCTCCTAAGCGCTGCCTTCTGAATCCTCACACACGCCGAGGCCTTCTCCTCTTCAGTCAAATGCTGCCGCCATGGATGGCTACTATTCCCACTCCCAGCTGCCTCCGCAGGAGCTGCAGCCCCAGCTCTCTCAGCAGCAAGATCAACAGCACCAGCACCAGCATCAACATCAACATCAGCAACAGCACCAGCACCAGCACCAGCAACACCAGCATCATCTTCGGGGAGGAAGTATGAGCATGTCCATGCAACACTCTCTCCAGCAGCCAGGCATGTCCCAGGTGATGCAAGAGCCGTCTATGCTTTCTGGTGACTCGCTCGACGAGATGATGCGGAACAGCCAGGAAGGCGCCCAGCGCCGCCGGAGCATGCCGCACGCGTACGGCAACCATGGGCAGCAAGAACAAAACCAAAGGCGCATGTCGGCCATGGGAGCTTCAGACTTGGTCGGGTTTGGGGCCGACGAGACGGACCTCAGTGGCTTCCAGTTCAACCAGTCCATGGGGCCTCCCTCGGGCCTTTCCAACATCAACACCAGCCTCGGCATGCCAGACCAGATCGGAAGCTTCATGACCGATCCCAATGACTATTCCACAATCTCTCCTGACTTGATGGGCCAAATGATACCAGCATCATTTGCCAACATGGACATGGGCCAAATGGCCAACGATCCTTCCATGGGCTTGCTGTCAGCACCAGGCAACGCGCCTGGTTCCATGGCCGGAACCTTCAGCCCCGATCAGATGGCTCAGCTTGGGACCGAGTTTTCAATGAACGTCAACTCGGACTTGGCCAATCTGCCTGCGACGACTGGTGGCGCTTCGGGCCCTGCAGGGGGAATTGGTGATGGCGACGATGACATGATGGGCATGCAGCAACAGCAGTTCGGCTCAATGAGTTCAATGTCCAATGCGCCCGCCGCCAATACCATGAACCTCAACCCAAGCGCAGGTGGGCTTGCCCAAAGCATGCCTCCGCCAATGTTGCGTCATGTCTCATCCGGTTCTGGGATATCCCCTCAGCGTGGAAACTCTACCACCAGTGTCACGCAGCAAAGCGCCGCCTCGGACGCAAACACACCCGCTACTGTGTCGACGCCACGCGAGTCCAAGGAGAAGACGATTTACTCCAAGAGCGGCTTCGACATGCTGAAGGCTCTCTGGCTGGTTGCGACTCGCAAGGACCCCAAGATCCACCTAGGTGCAGTCGACATGTCGTGCGCCTTCGTCGTTTGCGACGTTACCATGAACGACTGCCCAATCGTATACGTGTCCGACAACTTTCAAAATCTTACCGGCTACAGCCGCCACGAAATCGTCGGACAAAACTGCCGATTCCTTCAGGCGCCAGATGGCAAGGTCGAGGCCGGGTCAAAGCGCGAGTTTGTCGATGATGGTGCTGTCTACAACCTCAAGAAGATGATTCACGAAGGTCGTGAGGTGCAGCAGAGCCTCATCAACTATCGCAAGGGAGGAAAGCCGTTTCTCAACCTGCTGACCATGATACCAATTCCTTGGGACACCGACGATATCAGGTACTTCATCGGGTTCCAAATCGACCTCGTCGAGTGTCCGGATGCCATCTCTGGCCAAGAGCTGGGTGGGGTGAAGGTCGACTACAAACACAGCGACATTGGCCAATACATCTGGACACCACCGGCGTCAAGTCAGTGGGAGCCCGAAAGCGGCCAGACGCTAGGGGTTGACGACGTCTCGACACTGTTGCAGCAGTTCAATCCCAAGGGGCTTGTCTCGGACTGGCACAAGCAGTCATGGGACAAGATGTTGCTGGAGAACACCGACGACGTTGTTCATGTCCTTTCTCTCAAAGGCCTCTTCCTCTACTTATCACCTTCCTGCAAGCGTGTCCTGGAATACGATGCCGGAGATCTCGTGGGCAATTCGCTGTCCTCCGTCTGCCATCCGTCGGATATCGTTCCCGTGACGCGCGAGCTCAAGGATGCGACGACGGGCACACAAGTCAACATAGTCTTCCGAATTCGAAGAAAGCGCAGCGGCTACACATGGTTCGAGAGCCACGGCTCTCTCTTTGTCGAGCAAGGCAAGGGCCGCAAGTGTATCATACTCGTCGGTCGCAAAAGGCCAGTGTTTGCTCTCAGCAGACAGAACCTCGAAGCGAATGGCGGCATCGGCGACAGCGAGCTTTGGACAAAGCTGTCGACCTCGGGCATGTTTCTCTACGTCTCATCGAACGTTCGATCGCTCCTTGACTTGCAGCCAGAGTCGCTGGTGGGCACGAGCATCCAGGACTTGATGCGTAAGGAGTCACGTCCGGATTTCGGTCGTGCTATCGAAAAGGCAAGGAGAGGCAAGATCGTCACTTGCAAACACGAAGTCCAAAACCGTCGTGGGCAGGGGCTACAGGCGCAAACGGTCCTATACCCCGGAGACGCAAGCGAAGGCCAGAAGCCATCGTTTTTACTGGCACAGACGAAGCTTCTCAAGGCCTCGTCTCGCAGCCTTGCTCCAGCTAGCGGCGCTGGAAGCACCAGGTCAGTATCAGCGACGCCTCGGAGCAACAGCCACTCCCAGCTTGATCTTGGTGACGGGCACGTGTCGCAACCGGGTGGTGGACACTTGGCGCCGGGCACGCAAGACGCCGCGCTCGCCTCGGACGATAACATCTTCGATGAGCTTCGGACGACAAAGTGTTCAAGCTGGCAATTCGAGTTGAGACAGATGGAGAAGGTGAACCGAATCCTTGCCGAGGAGCTCGGCGGCCTTCTTTCTAATAAGAAGAAGCGGAAGCGAAGAAAGGGCGTGGGCAATATCGTCCGAGACTGTGCCAACTGCCACACGCGCAACACGCCCGAGTGGCGAAGAGGGCCCAGCGGGCAAAGGGATCTTTGCAACAGCTGCGGCCTTCGTTGGGCGAAGCAGGTAAGGGAATAGCAAGCCACTGATGCTGAATACCTCATGTGAACCCATTCATTAACACGGAGACTATTAGACCGGTCGTGTGTCTCCACGAAACTCCTCAAGGGGAGGCAACAACGGAAATGGTGATTCGCAGAGCAAAAAGTCGGCGTCGCCAATTCACTCTTCCCCGCTACACAAAGAGCTATCATCCGAGACGCCGAACCCGCATGCTGGACCCGGTAACAGCACCGGCGGCTCGAAAACGGATCGCAACGCCAACATTGACCCGACGCAACTGACGAACAAAGGCCCAGCTACAGCGGCGAGTGGTGCACCATCGGCAACTGGTCAGAACTCTTCAACGGCGATGCCTCCACCTAGTCAACCCTCACTCTCAGGAGGAGCACCGGGCTCGTCTATGACGTCCATTCAGGAAGAGCGGGAGACGAGCCAATCATGATATCGGCTCAGCGCAACCCTTGTTCCCCTTCCTTGGCCAGCGTTGATTCTTCTGTTCAACATAATGGATATCCTTAACATCCGCGTCTGCCAGAAGTGACTTGCTAGGTCAAGTGAACCAAGCAGGCAGCGGCACCGGATTGTTTTGCCCCTTGGCTTTAAACTTCACGATTTCAATCACGGCCCATGATGAAACAGGAGCAGATTGTGTTTTTTGCGATTGCCCAGTGAGCTGGGTGTGCATTTATTACCGGACACACCCGGTCACTGTTAGACCACATTATACCACATACACGAGGCGTTGATGGCTTGTTACTCCTGCTTGCTTTGCTCTCTATGCTTATGACACTCCAGTCCAGCTTCCATTTCGTTGGAGTCTTCCTGTGTCTCATACTGCGCTTTCCTCAAACTCTTGTGGAGGACCCATCACTTTTGCGCTGCCACGTCTGCTTCGACAGGGCGTTCGGAAATCTATATGAGTTCGGGCTTGTTCCGACAGAGGCGCGCATATCTCCTTGCGGATATTCGACCAGGACGTGGAGTCGGACCAGGTCGCCACGCAGAACATCAATAACGGACGCGAGATGGCCAACTTTCGACGACGAAGCGGCTGCAGGCTAAATGTATGACTTGTCTCATTAGCATGTGGCGGCGGTCAGAGATGATGGCGTTGAGACTTGCAAACGCAGAGGGCATAAAACAATGGCTGTACGGATTCTGGCTATGATATACGGAAATGAATCCAAAGAAGACAGATATAAAAATTGTAAAACGTTTCAACATGAATACAGCGGTCTAAGCATCGCGTTTGTGCCGCCCGTCCCGTCATGACGCTAGTTCGATGCGGCATGTCTATCGCTACTTCACAGCTCATCTTTGACGTGACTGCTTGTGGCCTCTTCTACCAGCGTCCGGCTCTTCGTATTGACGGCCTTTGTACCGTCCTTGGGATCCGGCTGGCTCGCCTGGGCTTGCTTTCGCCTCTTACCCAACGCTGCAATCTCTTCATCGTACACGGTCCACTCAGGAACCTGCCGCCGGGCGCGGTCTAGCTTGGGCTCTTTGGTCTGCGGGTTGTTGCACAGGTCGATTGTGCGCGCGCTAGCGAGGCTGTCGTCGCTGCACCACGTCTCGCACCACAACCACTCCTGCGGTAGGCTGTGGATGGGAATCTGGAACTGCATGTGGTTGGGGAGGTCCTGGTCCAAGTTGGACAAGCTCGCCGGGTCCGCGGAGAGCGCATGGTACTGCTGGCGCAGGCGATCGCCCGCCGCGAGCTCGCGGAAGCGACGGAGATCAACGACGTACAGGGCCGAGATGTGGTACGGCTTGCCGCGGAGGTAGTTTGCCCAGTAGCCCTGTTTCCAGAAGCGGAATCCTTCCATTTCTGTGCGTGAGTCGCACATCGGCGTGAATCCGTAAGGCGCGCCCTCGAGGTCCCTATTGACTAGGTCCATCATGTCTGTCCTGACAATCTGATCCGCGTCGACGAAAATGACCTTGTCCAGTGACAAGGGGAAAAGCACATCGAGGAACAGAATCTTGTAGCCCCAGATCTCGCGCTGCTTCTCCTTCTGTTGCCTCAACCAGTGTGGCCACTTGTATGTGACCATCTCATACTTGAAACCATATTCCTTGGCGAGGTGCGGGATGAACTCCTTGAACGAAGGCGACAGGAATTGCTCGATGAACCAGAATTTGACGCTGTGCTTGGTGTTGCGCATCACCGACACCATCATAATGTTGAGCATTCGCTCGTATAGGTGTCCACTGGCCACAGAGAAAATGTTGATGTCCGCGTGTACCTGCGCTGAAACTTCCTTGCCCTTGGAGCCACCAAGCAGCCCCTCGGCGAACTTCATTCCCTTGGAGACCAGGCTGTCGGAAGCCGACCGATCGGAGGATTCGAGAACATCTTCTTCCTCCATTCCGGGTTTCCGTTTCAGGCGCGGATACAAAGTCGACCCTTGAAAGTTCATGAGGGCAAGCTCAGTACCTTCATCACCAGGCGCAGGTTCCCAACCCTGAGCACCGATACTTTCAATAGTATATATGTCAGACGTCCTGCCCGCCTTGAGCTGGATCTTATAGAAGCCAGGGTTTGCCTTGAACTGGAAAAAGCCAAGGTTCGACATGACAATAGTGTCCGTCACAAGCGGCTCTCTCTCAGTCGACAGCACTAGCTGAGCACCTCGTGGAGGGCTCCCGTCGTCGTCCCGGGAGTGGCCTTCGATGAGGATGTGCTGCAGCTCGTACGTTGCGTCGATGTCAGTTTGCGCGGAGCTCAGCTTGATGTTGTCCAAGTCATGCGCGGACTCTTTTGGTGCCACAAGCCAGGCTGGTGGGACGTCCATGCCCACGGTCAACAGCGCCTCTGATGGCAGACTCTTGAACGTGGCTCTCAATCCTGCTACGTTTCCACTCGCGTCGAAGGATGGCTTGGGTTCCATGACAAACCTAAAGAACCGCTTCACGGGCAACTCTCCAATGTTGTCTCGTGGGTTCAAGATGAGCTTGACATAGACGCCTTCCAGGTCCGACAAGACTTTCAGGATGGGTACCCATCTCTGGGCCTTCTCACTGACAGGATCCAAGAGGCCCACGATGTGGATATCCGCGGACTTCGCGTCGCCAACCTCGATTGCAGTGTGTGTGGTGTTCCATGAATCGTACAAAGTCGAGCGAATGGTTGGCGCCGACTCAAAAATGCCTTCCGGAAGATCAGAAATGGTTGACAGGGCAGTTATTGACGTAAGCTTGGCTGCTGCTATGGGACTAGAGAGTCGATCAGTGAGCCCTAAGTCGTCGACGGCTTTGTAGACCGGCAGGATCCGTCGCTGCTGCTCGAAATCGAGCAAATGGTGAAAGTCATCCGACGTAAACGGATCCCCGGGCGCTATTGGCCCGACAACGCGGCCATTAAGCAGGATCGATTGTGTGCCCGTTCCGAGTCTAGCCATGGAGAGGAAGCTGGACAACGCTGCAGAGAAATCCTCATCGCCAGAGGCATCGGCAGTACTGTCGATCATCTTACTCAGTGCCTCCTTGGTCTCAATGGTAGCAACAGTCTCTGTGTCTGCCTTCAAGAGGAAGTTCACGCGTGAAGCCGTCGATATATCAGCCGGGTTGTGCAAGAGCTCAAGGTGAATTCCGGGATTGTTGCGCTTGAATTCCAGAGCAGCCAGCATGAGATCTTGGCCGTCATCGCTCGTTACATCTGCGAGCACCGTCACGACAGCCCAATTCTCCTTTGACGAATCCGCATAGGCTCCGAAGACGGGGAGCTGTCCCAGTAGCCTGCCATGTTCTTCGTAGATCTTGCTCACGTCCAGCATGCGGAGTGACTTGTCATCCTCCAACGAAATGTACGGATTTCGTCTTGTGGCAGCTCCTTTGAGAAAAATACCGGGGATCCAGGTGTCCTCGCCCACCAAGCCATGGAAGATGCCCTGTTGGACATTCTGAAGGTCCTCGCCTATCTTCATGCTCATTGTCTGCATCCACTTCTTGTCGCGTGGAGTCAAGATACCATTGATGAAGAGCGGTGCCGTCGGAGTGTCGGCTCTGAGGCGCTTGGTCCAGGAGGCGGCTAAGTCTGCTTGCGCAGCATATGAGTCCGTGGCCAGGACCTCTTGGAGTGACAGGGTCTGCCCTCCTGGCAGTAGCTCTTGAGAGGCCAATGCTGCTGAGAGAATTTTCTCATCGGCAGTAAGGGTGCCACGTTCTCCCAAGACCTGCAAATAGCCTACAATAGACTCGGCTCCGTAGTTTTTGATCAGGTGATAAAGCACCTTGGCGTGAGCAGAAGCCTCCGGTGTCGATGTCGATGGTACGATACCAAAACGTATAGGGATGCCTCGGCTCATGATGGAAATCACTTGTGAGAGAAACTGGATGTCGTCCGGCCTGGAAATATCTGCGGGAATAATAAGGTTGAAGATGTTCAGACCAATTGGCGGCATCTGACCAGGATAGGTTCTCCGAAGTAGCTGCGTAGAAATCAGCAGCTGGCGCAATACTGGAGGCTCACGTACTTACCGACGCCAATTCTTTCGGGTAGTCCGCGTACCGGGCATCGTTCTCGAGGTCATTCAGCCAGATAATCACACGGCCCTGCTCTTCACGGTCCGTCCAGTCGTACCGAAGAGGCTCGTCGTCCCCCTTTGCAGAAGAGACAGACTCATGACCAAGGAGGGAGACAGCTTGTTTGCCATCAAGGCCAAGGCTGCGAACGCCACGGATCAGCTTTCTCTCCCGGCGAAGCATCTCGACGAGGTTGAACGGCTCGATTTGACGCTCAATCAACTGAAGACCGTTCATCCACAAGAAATTGATGCCACCACGAATGAGATTGGCTCGATTCCTCTCGGCTTCGGCAACAAACTCTTGAGACACATTGTGCGTTGCGAGGGATGCAGCAAATCTCGGGAAGTCTTGGGTCAGCTTAACGAGTGTGGCGAACGGATCGGTGCTTCGCTGAATGAATGAAGAAGTCTTCAACCCCAAAGGTCCAAGCTCTGACGCGGATAATGGCTGGAGGTCGGCTACGTCTTCGACTTCGTTTAGGACAGCGTCCGACCCAAGTGGCTTTTGCGACCCGTGATCCGACTCTCGGTCATCGATCACGATATAGTCTGTTTTCTTGAGTGCAAGCTCTACACCATAGCCACTCACAGGCAGTGGCCGGAAATCCACCACGCTACTGCGACGGTAACGCACACGATAGCTGAGTGTCATCGCCCGGGCCGCCTTGGAGAGCGCGGCGTGAAATTCCCCAAATGTCGGCGACGCTGGATCCGTATAGAGAACTGCTTCTCTCCCAGCTCCCAAAGCCCGGTCAAATGGTAAATCTTTGATTGCGGATTTGGACAGGTCGTGCTTCACGACGTCGTCCATGGCAGGGGTGCAGTACTGCTTCCCGTCAAGCAGTATCCAGTCCGAGCACTTCGAGTCGGCCACAGCAGGCTCCACGGCTGTGGTGTAATACTGGTAGTGCGCCTCTATCCTCGGCGCCGCCGTACGCAGTGAAAGGGCGAGGTTGAACGTAGACAGAGCATCGGGGCTGGACACGTGGCCGTCATTACGGAGCACGTCGAGGAACTTCTGGTATAACTCGTTATCGGAGGACGCCGACGCAAAGTGGCCGCTTGCGATTCGGTCAAGAAGAGGAAAGTAGGCGCTCGAGTTTTCCCCTGCTGCGGTCTCGCTTAAGTCCTTCTTAGCATTTCTTCGCACAGCGGTAGGTAGTTGACGTTATCCGCTCGACGTACAGAAGCTCGAGCAGGTAAGGGCCGGCTTGAAAGGCAGCGTTCATGCCCACGTTGACAGATTTAGACGCTGCAGCCAGCGGCAAAGCCGTCAAGGCTGCGGCGACAACCGCTGACAGCGCTGGAGGCCGCATGATCGCCCGCCGCGATATCGGTGTTCTCGTAGGCTACACCCACGCCGCGCGCGCTGCGAGGTCCTCGGGCAGGGTTGCACCAATTATTTTCGGCTCTATTGCGCGCCACAATTGGGCGGTGTCGGCGTCTCTGCTTCTCTCAGATCATTTCTGTTGGCTGGAAAGGAGGTTAAGGAAGGCAAAGCTGGGACCCTCGATGCCCTCAAGACAATACCCAGGCGGTTGAGAACACCGTCGCAGCAAAGAGCTGCACCAATTTGGACTAGCGCAGCATGACGTCCAGGGGCACCGACACGGCAGAAAGTATTGGAGGGGCAAGCCAGACATTGCGCCGGCCAGGGCGGTGAGGGGCAGGCACCGTGGCAGCTGTGGCGTCGGCAGAACAATGTTGCGGCGGCTGGAGCCAGGGAGCCAGAGCCCACATTTCAACGTGGACTGGACACGATGGCTCAATTGCTACATAGCATCCAGGAGTCGAGCCCGGCCAGCATAACACCACCTGCCCACGACTCGGCGTCGCCTCTCCACGTCCCCCCTTTTGATGCTGACGGCTGGCCAGCTCGCGAACACCACAACATCCACGCCAGTTGCCAGCTTCGCCCTGCCGCCCCATCTTGGACCAGCTCTGGTCTGCGACCCCCTCCTCCCTGACGCACGAAGCTGCGGCTTCATCTCCCCGCCAAAATGCAGTCCTCACCCGGCATGTTGACCAAGGTTTGTGTGCCTGCACAGGATCGCCAGCTTCGTGGCATCCCGCAGGCAGCCGAGCTGACAGCGAACTGCAGTTCGAGTCCAAGTCCTCACGGGCGAAGGGCATTGCCTTCCACCCCAAGAGGTAACGCGCGCAGCAGAGCTCCGCCCATCGATGCGACACGCTAACAAGCCACTGCCAGGCCATGGATCTTGGTATCGCTCCATTCGTCAACCATCCAGCTTTGGGATTATCGAATGGGTACATTGATCGACCGATTCGAGGAACACGACGGGCCCGTTCGAGGCGTCGATTTCCACAAGACGCAACCACTGTTTGTGTCCGGTGGCGACGACTATAAGATCAAGGTCTGGTCTTACCAAACTCGGCGATGCTTGTTCACTCTGAATGGCCATCTCGACTACGTCCGAACCGTGTTCTTCCACCATGAGCTGCCATGGATTCTTTCGTCCTCCGACGACCAAACCATTCGGATATGGAACTGGCAAAACCGCTCCTTGAGTATGCTATCCCCCCACGCGCACGCCATGGAGACAACATATGCTGACCTTGCGCGCAGTTTGCACCATGACCGGCCACAACCACTACGCGATGTGCGCCCAATTCCACCCGAAGGAGGACCTTGTCGTTTCTGCGTCACTCGATCAGTCGGTTCGCGTCTGGGATATCTCTGGTCTGCGAAAGAAACACTCGGCGCCCACCTCGATGAGCTTCGAGGATCAAATGGCTCGTGCCAACCAGAACCAGGCCGACATGTTTGGAAATACGGACGCCGTTGTCAAGTTTGTGCTCGAGGGCCATGATCGCGGTGTGAATTGGGTGGCCTTCCACCCGACCATGCCGCTGATCGTCTCGGCTGGCGATGATCGCTTGGTCAAGCTCTGGCGTATGAGCGAGACCAAGGCGTGGGAAGTCGACACTTGCAGGGGCCACTTCCACAATGCTTCGGGCTGCCTTTTCCACCCGCACCAGGACCTGATCTTGTCCGCGGGTGAAGACAAGACCATCAGAGTGTGGGACTTAAACAAGAGAACGGCAGTTCAGTCTTTCAAGAGAGAAAACGACCGGTTCTGGGTCATTGCAGCCCACCCTGAAATCAACCTCTTCGCCGCAGGACACGACAACGGCGTCATGGTCTTCAAGCTGGAGCGCGAACGTCCCGCCTCGGCCACGCACCAGAACATGCTCTTCTACATAACCAAGGAGAAGCATGTCAAATCATACGACTTCCAAAAGAACGTGGAGAGCCCGACCCTTCTGTCGCTGAAGAAGCTGGGGAGTCCTTGGGTCACCCCTCGCACCCTGTCATACAACCCAGCCGAGAGATCGGTCTTGGTCACGACACCTGCCGATGGTGGCTCTTACGAGCTGGTCAACCTTCCCAAGGATGGATCCGGGGCGATCGAGCCGACCGAGTCGAAGCGCGGCTCCGGAAACTCGGCCATCTTCGTTGCCAGGAACCGTTTCGCTGTCCTCGACACATCGAACCAGACCATCGACATCAAGGACTTGTCGAACAACACCACGCGGTCTTTCAAGCCCCCGGCGGGGACTACGGACATCCACTTCGGCGGCACCGGCAATCTGCTCATTCTAGCTCCGACGGCTGTCTATCTCTACGACATCCAGCAAAAGAAGAGCATCGCTGAGCTTGCTGTGAATGGTGTCAAATACGTTGTGTGGTCAAACGACGGTCTCTACGCCGCGCTCCTGAGCAAGCACAATGTGACAATCGTGACAAAGACCCTCGAGCAAGTCAGCACTTTGCACGAGACCATCCGTATCAAGAGTGCCACATGGGATGACGCCGGCGTCCTCTTGTATTCCACGCTAAACCACGTCAAGTACACGTTGCTCAACGGCGACAACGGCATTGTCCGTACTCTGGACCAAACTGTTTACTTGGTGCGCGTCAAGGGCCGCAACGTCTACTGTCTCGACCGAGCGGCAAAGCCCCGGGTTCTGCAAATCGACCCCACCGAGTATCGCTTCAAGCTTGCGCTGGTCAAGCGAAACTATGAGGAGATGCTTCACATCATCCAGACTTCGAGTCTCGTCGGCCAGTCAATTATCTCCTACTTGCAGAAGAAGGGTTACCCTGAGATTGCCTTGCAATTTGTTCAGGATCCAACAACTCGTTTCGATCTGGCCATTGAGTGTGGCAATCTCGACGTTGCAGTCGAGATGGCAAAGGAGCTGGACAAGCCCAAGTTCTGGTCTCGATTGGGCACCGAGGCACTTGCTCACGGCAACCACCAAATTGTCGAGATGTGCTACCAGAAGCTCAAGCAATTCGACAAACTGTCGTTCCTGTACCTCGCGACCGGCGACCACTCGAAGCTTGCCAGGATGGCTAAGATTGCCGAGCACCGAGGTGACTTTTCTTCGCGATTCCACAACGCTCTCTACCTGGGCGAGGTTGAGGATCGTATTCAAATGTTCAAGGAGATCGACCTTTGTGAGCACCAATTGCTCCATGCGTGATGACTTTTGCTAACAACACCATAGACCCTCTGGCATATATGACGGCCAAGTCCCACGGTTTGGAGGAGGAGTGCCAAGCTATACTGGAGGCCACTGGCATAACTGAAGACCAACTTACGACACCTACTTTGGGCGAGTCGTTGGCACCCCCTAAGCCGGTGGTCCCCACGTTCAAGAGCAATTGGCCAACAAAGGCCAGCTCCCAGTCTTTCTTTGAGAAGGCGCTTCTCGGCCAGGTGGAAGGACTTTCGCTCGAAGACGAGCCATCGCGCGGCGACGGTGCGGGCTTCGAGGACGGCGCGGAGGTCGATACCATGGCGAAGCGCAACGGTGCATTGGCTGAAGATGACGAGGAGGATGTTGCTGGGTGGGACATGGGCGACGACGACGTGCCTGAGGCCGACAGCGACTTCGTCAACGTCGACAGCGCCGATGCGGGCGGTGCCGGGAGCAGCGAGGCCGATCTTTGGGCCAGAAACTCACCTTTGGCCGTCGACCACATTGCCGGTGGCTCGTTCGAAACCGCGATGCAGCTGTTGAATCGCCAAGTTGGCGCGGTCAACTTCGCACCTCTGAAGCCTCGCTTCCTCGAGGTATACCAGGCATCTAAGACGTTCCTGCCGGCCTCATCGGGCCTACCGTCTTTGATCAACTACGTTCGTCGCAACGTCGACGAGACAGATCCGCGACAGGTCCTCCCTGTTGTGCCGCGGGATCTGGAGCATCTCGCCTCAAACGACTTGCAAAAGGGTTACGACTCGATGAAGTCGAACAAGCTTGAAGATGGTGTCAAGCTGTTCAAGGGCATCCTTCATGCCATTCTGGTCAACGCCGTGTCCAGCGAAGGTGAAGTTGCAGAGGCGAAGAAGCTCATTACGTCCGCAAGCGAATATGCTGTCGCCATGGACATCGAGCTTGCCCGGAGAAGGCTCGGCGCCCCAGACGCTGTCGCTCAGGACCCTGCGAAGCACAAGCGGAGCCTGGAGCTCTCGGCGTACTTCACGATCCCCAAGATCGAAGTGCCGCATAGGCAATTGGCCCTGTTATCGGCCATGCAACTGGCCGTGAGAAACAAGAACTACAACTCGGCGCTGAGCTTCGCCAACCGCATTATTGCGAACGGCGGTTCAAGCAAGATTGTTGAGAATGTAAGTCCTGCTCCTCCTTCGACGTGCACGATTCGATTTACTCACCAATGCTCCCTTTCGTAGGCCAAGAAGACGAAAGCTCAGTGCGAGAGAAACCCCAACGACGCCATCGACATCGAGTTTGACCAGTTTGCCGAATTCGAGATATGCGCCGCCAGTCACACTCCGATCTACAGCGGCACGTCGTTCGAGGAGTGTGCGTTTGATGGGTCCAAGTACCACTCCAAGTTCAAGGGCACCGTGTGCAGGGTGTGTGAAGTCTGCGAAGTCGGCAAGCATGGCAGTGGCCTGAAGTTATTTGCGTAGATGAATAATGATGTCATGGGAGGATTAGATGCCAACGCAGAGGCTGGGAAAAGGTCGGCATGGTAGAAGGGCGGGTGCGAAAGGCATGACTGGTTCCTGGTGACAAGGAACAGACAAGATGGCGGACTAGGCGTGGTGGCATGCGAGTCACCTGGCCGCGGCGTGCCTCTAGCCTAGCCGTGTCGAAGGTTAAAATGAATTGACGTTGTTCGGATCACCTCAGGTCGGGCACCCAGTGAGTTTAGCGTGCACGGAAGAAACCCTCATGGGACAGCAACAGATGGCCACTTTGGTGATCGACTTCTTACACACATAGCTCGATTTTGACCTCGGCGAAATCAAGAGAAAATCAAATCCGGTGCGCACCCACACACGACGACGGATGCTATTGCTAGTCGCAAGCCATGGCTTTTTGTCCGCCTGGTACTCTCGCCACGGCGTTTTAATGTGCGAATTGGACACTTGTCAACCATTGCTACTTGGTGCTTCATGAGCGATCACATTTGTCCGCGACGTCCCTTCTTTGTTCGTGTGAGCACGGCAAGACCGCCGCTGACGAGCGGAGGGAAAGAGGCGGCTGTAACAGCTCCCTAGCTTGGCCGGACCGCATGGTCGGACGGCCCGCCGTTCCGTAGGTCACATACTCCACGGCTTTGCAGTGCATGAGGGAGTCCCGTGAATAACGCCGGGGCATAAGTCTAGCAAGCTATGTGAAGTCGGGTTTCTGTTACACGATAGTCTCCAGCTCCCGCGCGTACCCCAATGTATTCTCTATCACCATCTGGCTCAAATCCTTGCTCTGCGCACCGTCCTCGCTCGTCTCGGTATTGCTGTCGGGGAAGAAGATGTTGCCGTCCCGTACGATCCAACCTCGATGTTTGGCAAACTGGATGACATCTCCCTCGGAGTCGAGGAACAAAAGGGACTTGGTGGAGCTGATGGGAAGGCTGGGGTATGCGCGCTCGCTGCTGCTGGCGATCTCGGAGCGAATCTGGTTCTTCAGGATCTTGGAGCGAGGTCAGCAACTGTTAATAGTGCTTTGCGGGGTGGGGGCTTGGGGTTACCTCGGAGAAGACGCTGTACTCGTCGCACGGCACCTCGCTGCTCTTCATGGCCTTCCAGACACGATCGTAACTCCCTTCCATCAACCATCTCTCCAGTCTAATGGGGTAGCCAAGATAGCGATCACCCTCGACATCGCCGGTGCTGCCGCCGCCGTCCCTGTTGGCGAGACTCTCGAGCTCCGAGTGAAACTCTGCGTACCGGCCCTGGGTCAGGAGCAGCAGCAGGCTGAGGCCAGTGACCTTGTTGCGCTCGGGCAGGTTCGGGGGTAATCTAGCCGAGGGGAGCTCGTAGAAGGGCTGGAGTTGCTGGACGTAGCGCGTGAAGGCTTCCGGGTTGCGGGCGCGGATGGCGAAGAGCGCTCCCTGCTCGTATGTCTCGCGCGCGAGGGCGAGGAGGTTTGCCGGGACAGAAGGCTTCGGCGTGAGGGCGTTGAGCTTGAGGAGGGCGAGCTTCGCCTTTGAGAGGAGTGAGATGGCCTCGTCCCAGCTCATGGACGGAGAGTGCTTGAGCTGGGCCAGCACCTGGGAGAGGTCGCGGTCGGCCATTGTCGAAGGTCGAAGGGGGGCGGCGGAGGGTGGGAGGCTGAGCGCTCTGTCGGGGGCGCGGTGGGCGGAATCTGGAGGCTATGTGTGCCGGGAACGATGATGAAGGGTTGGTCGTCTGCGAATGGACAATGTTCTGTCTCTGCCGGCTGGCTGACTAGGATGCTAGGCTGCCTGCGGTGACGCGAAGCCAGAGCTGGCTGGCACTGAGTGGACCGCAAGAGAGGCATGGAGCATTATGTAATCGCGCACGGTCCACTGGGCTCTGCCACGCAAACACCGTCCACCCTCCACAGCCGCCGCACAGGCGGTGGTCTTTCTCGAGGTTGAGCACCAGAAGGGTGTTTCCAAGACGTCATATTTCCTTTCTTTTTTTTTTGTGGTGATCGAAGATATCTGCGCTCGTAACCTGGCTGCCTAAATCCTGGCGATAGTTCTCTCGATGAGAAGCACCAAGGATCCGGTCAGCCCCGAAACCATCAATTGCTTGTGTAGCAGCCTGGCGCTCCCGCCGCCACATGCAGACAAGTGAAAGTCAGGGATCATGGGGGACATATACTTCTGTATGCTCGATGCCATGGCATTCGGGACAAAGCCATGGCAACACAATGTTCTGATCCAAACACATCCTCACGGGGTTCTCTCTGCTCAGGCATCACTGTCAATTGCATGCATCTTGCGTTCTTACCGAACGCTGGCAGCTCCAGCGCCACTAACTCAGGACTTTGCGCATGCCTGTCTCCGCCACCCTTTGCAGAGCCGCCGGTTTGTCGAAGAAATGGCTGGCGTCGCATTCACGTCCGAGACAATGGTCACGCAGTCACAGACAGTGTCAAATTAGCCCACCATCTGGCGCAAAGGTGGGACAGCTTTGCAGCCAGACCACGGGGCATTAGGCCGCCAAGATTGGGAGACTGGGCAAGAGGAAAATCGGCGAGGCTGAATCGAACAGCGCTGCCAGCAGGCGGACAGCCTCGCGTCGTTGGCGTGGCTTGAGTTTAGCGATGTGACCGTCGGGATCGTTCCTTCCATCCGTCATGTCCCAATCGGTGCCCGATGCAGACGGATGGGACGAAACGGGAAGCTTCGCACTTTGGGTTACATCTCGCTCCTGCACCCACTGTTCCACGCCCACTTCAGTGACTCGGGTCTTGGAACTGAGGTTCCGCTGTTTTGCTTGCAGCCGACCCTGTTGTCCAAAGGAAGTGATTGCCGCGGCGCAACCATCTGGCACTCCGCACAAAGCTCCAGCGACCTCCTCCCAGAGCAGATGGCATGCCCGGTCCACCATACCCGCAGTCGGGTCATCTCACGCGCGGCTGGGCTCCACGGCAAGTAGTCCACACACGGGGGAGATTAGATCAACTGCCAGCTGCTGGGTTCAGCATCGCCGGCGCCCACCAACGTCGCCCTTTTTGCTGCCGCGGTACCAATTTTAGCAGCTGGCTTCAGGCCCGAGCACACCAGTGGCTGGCCGTTGGTGGCCCGGGGGGGGGAGCAAGCGTCTCCATTCCCATCCGCCAACGGACCCGCAAGGCTCTCTTTGCCCAAGGTGTTTCCAGCATTGCTCGCAAACCACAGCCTGCTACATTGTACTAGACGCGCGACAAAGAGCTTGTCTGCTAGAAAGAAAATACGGGGAATCGAGCGCCCGCGTAGCGGTTCAGGCTCCGGGGCCTTACTATCGCACGGCAGAGTTCATACACGTGCGGTAAGGAAAATCGATTGAGTCCAGGCCGCCTCGGCGTCGTTGGTTCGACAGACACGACGAACACGCGACGGCGGCTGATGTGCATGCCTCGCTCGCTTCGGGATGCGAAGCGCCCTGGGACCTGGAGACAGCCTGTCCCTCAGGCGCCAAGCGTCGCTTGATGCAGTCGAAGGTCAAGCGCAGGGCCAAGCCGGCGCCACAACGGGTAGCGCGTGTAAGACAGGCGCATTTCTGCCCTCCGACGGCTTCAACCGAAGTCGACGAGAGCCGGCAGCGGCATGGCGGCATGGCGGGTTGGCCAGGTCCCGTGGCAGAAGCTGTCGCCGTCCGTTGGCCATGGGCGATAGACTTTAAAGCGAAGCCCTTGCTCCCGCCACGAGGTCCTCGGCATCTTCGTCCGCCTTGCGTCACACGTCTTGCGTTGACCGAGACACTGTGCACTGGGCGCTGATCTCGTGAGGCACATGGCCACGAGAGTCAACTTTCACGCGTCCCAACTTAAAATCGCGGGCCTGTTGAGCGTTTCCTCGCCGGTCCTGTGCCCTGTGCATCAGCAACGCATCCGAGCCCGCAGCAGTGTCGTATGGGCATGTCGACATCCTGGCCTGCCTTGTCCCGCATCGTGGGAGCACGTCGCGGCCGGAACGCACGCACCGCAACAGCAGCAGTGACACCATCGCCACCACCGCATCCTCGCCCCGAACACCGGCCACCGGGCCTCGGCCTCGGATCCTGGGCGTGACAAGGAAAATTATACCAATCATCGAGAATTCCAAAGTCGCCGCCCTCGCGCACGCCGCATCGCAAGGATGACGAGCTGCGGTCGCGAGCAGGGCGGGGCGCCGTCGTGTAAGTGACACAGCTCCCCCTTTTCCCCTGCCCCGTCACACTCGAGGTCGCTGCAGGAGACGCCGGCGGACGAGGCCCGACGCGACGAGGAAGCATACGCGCCGGCAGCTAGAGGGGACTGGGAACGGCAACGGGAACGGGAACAAAATCCACACGCACGCCAAGATGCCGCCGGTCCAGATGAGGGAAGACGAGGTGGGCGGCCAGCGAACAACCTGCGCAGCCCACGCCTCGCGTCATCAGGCCATCCGCAACAACTGCCGCGGCCGACATGCTCCAGGCCGAGCGGACTGGACCTGGCAGACGTCCGGACCCTTGGGGCGTTCTTCTCGGGTCTGCAGGACAAGCGGCCGCCTGCATGCGCGATGAGGTACCTTGCTTTGTACCTTTACCCGCGCGGATGCATCGACTGCGTCATAGCCGCCGCCCTGCGTACCCAGCGTTTCGAACGTCGCGCGAGCCGCTGCAACGGTTTCGGGGCCACTTGGGGTATTTACTTTATGCGAGGCCGTTGTCGTCACCCGAGTCCCGACGACGCTGGCCTTTCTGGAGGGCACGACAGGCGCCAAATTTGACGCCGGTGCTGCCACCACGGCTCAAGCCGGCGCCGCGCACAATCAACGGAATAGCACCCGTCGGGACCTTATTACAGCACACCTATTGAGGGGCCAGCACTGCGGAGTACCTCCCAAGCCTCCCGTCCATTGGATCGCAGCGCAGGCGGCTTCAGGGGACCGGCGCAGGCTGACGCGCCCCCGGGCGGCCCTCTGATGAACCCCGCGGGTGCCCATTAAGTTGGCCACCAAGGCTGGCTGGCTTATTACAGGTACCTACCTGCTGCTAGCACCGGGCACCGACGGGACCTACCCGACCTCGCCAACCACCTCATCAGACGGAGGCTGCGACCCCCGGGCCCTCCGCCACGCGCGTTGGGCTGCCGTCAGTGACCAAGCCACGACGCATGTCATCGCACCCGTTCTCTACCCTGCCTGGATGAGGCTCTCGGCGGCGGGCATCAACGTCAAAGCCGTCGACTGGCTGCCCCGCCCCCTATTCCGAAGAGCATTTTGGTGAGCCGGCCCGTCAGCCAGTGTCTCCAACACAGGCGGCAACCTCCACCGGCGCAGCGATTGCACAGCAGGGCTTCCATTCCAGGTTCACGATGCAAGCCTCACAGGCGGTACTACTTGTCCCGTCCCGCCCCCTGTCATCCACACTGTCGGTCTGGCCGGGGGCTGCAGCGCAGCTCATCATCTCCTTCCCAACGAGCAACCTGGACGCCACCCATGGTGGGCATGCTTCGCCGCGCGGTGCAGGCCATCTTGCTTGCACGGTCCCTAAAATAGCCTCGCACCCGCACCCGCAACCATCCGCTGCGACCTGGGCGAGAGCCAGCCCGGTGGTGGTGGATCTGACGTTGGCCTCCATCTCATCAGCAGGCAAGCCGCTGGCCCGCCCCCCACCACCACCACCACCACCAGCAGTGAGCACCACCGCCCACCCTCTCCTCCAAGGCGGCGCTGCCCAGTGCCAGGTGCCCATACAAGTAGGGCCTGGAGCCGCCGCTGGAGGGACTGCCGCTGGTGGGGGGGAAAGGGCTAGAGGAACGCTCCCGACTCCCGTCCTGGCCAGCATCGCCACCCACACCACCCTTACCTCTACCTTAATAAACCGACCAGCGGGACGGCGTCGCGACTCACCTCTGTTTCCAACGCACACTCCTTTTGCTGTCCCCGAGACCCTCCTCTCGTCTCGTCTCGCCTCGTCTCGCTCGCTCGTTCGATTCCCCCCGCGCACCCGCGCTTCCGCCCGCGTCTCTCTCTGGTTGCCCGCAGTTCCGCGTTCCCCGCTTCCTCTCGCCGTCGTTCCTTCGGCTGCGCGAGGCCCGCTGCACTGCCGCAACTAGCGGCCGTCACCACCGCTCTGACCTGCGTTGCCCTGCGTTGCCCTGCGCTGCCGTGCGTGGCCCTGCCCTGTTTGACGGACGGGACAACGGGCGACGGTCCTGGGCGCGCACGCACGACCTTCGCCGCGTCTTCTGCAGCCCCCCCTGACGGCCCAAGTCGGGCGAGCTCCCCTCAGCTGACGGCCCCCGGCCCGCAGCACTCACAGGCACCACCCGAACCCGACCGTTGCTCACTCTGTCCACCGACATGCCTCAGTTTGGTGCGACCTTTGTGCCCGGCGGCATCGACGACTACTACCTGCCCGAGGTCGTCGCGCCATCTCCGCAAAGGTCAGTTGCACGTTGCTCCAAGTTCTCACACGGGCGCCCCCACGCCCTAGTACTCGACGACGCCCGCCGGTGGCACGCCTGAGACTTGGCTTTGCGTCGCGTTGTTACTGCTTGGTGGGGCTCTGTCGCTGACGACTTTGTCACTGTATCCGTTTTCCAGGGTAACCCCTCAAGTCCCTCAGAACATGCAAGACGACCTCCAGCGTCTGGAGCTCGAAGCTAGAGAATCGGAACGACAAAGCGACTCCGGAGCCGATTTGCACGGCGATCGCGAGCCCCCACGGCCCCTGCCCGGAGCCGCTGCCGCCCCGACCGCCGAGAGCGACATCAGGGCATATCAAAACAGCGACACGCGGGCCCAGAAGCTCGACAGCATGGGGTGGGATGCGCCCTCGTTTTCGCCCTTCCCCAAGGTCGCGGGGGACAATGTCCCGCCGGCCGACGATGCCAAGGAAGAGATTTTGTGGAATGCGCGCAAGCATGTGCTTCACTCGCAAAATGTCACGATGCAGATAAGCTGGGCCCGCGATGTCCTCACCTGGGCAGAGGTCGCCATGGAAGCGGCCGCCCGCGATCCTCCCGAGAAGGCCCGGTCATCGACCCCGCGAATCGAGCACGAGCTCCGCATGGACGCCGTCAACATCATCAGCTATCTAGCACGCCAGGAGCACCCAGACGCCCTCTACATCCGGTCCAAGTGGCTCGAATTCGGCAAGTTTGGCCACCGCATCGACAAACGCGAAGCCTACAGTGGCTACAAGCGGGCCGCGGAGCTGGGCAACGCACGCTCCGAGTACCGCATGGGCATGCTCTTTGAGCAATCAAACGACATGTCCAAGGCCAAGGAGCACTACTACCGGGGCATGAGCCTCAAGGACTCTGCGGCCATGTACCGCATGGGCATGATGAGTTTGCTCGGTCAGCATGGCGAGACCAAGGACTACCCTCGGGGCCTGGAACGCATCCAGCAGGCCGCCGACTCTTCCGATGAGGACGCGCCGCAGGGGTCGTACGTATATGGCATGCTGGTCGGCCGCGACCTCCCCGACATTGCCGTGCCCGATGGACTGCTCCCGTACAACCTGGAAACCGCCAAGATGTACATTGAAAAGGCGGCATACTTGGGCTTCGCCAAGGCCCAGCTGAAAATGGGCCAGGCATATGAGCTCTGCCAACTTGGCTGCGAGTTCAACCCGTCCTATTCCCTCCACTACTACGGGCTGGCAGCCAAGCAAGGACTCCCGGAGGCGGCTCTCGGAGTCAGCCGCTGGTTCCTGTTTGGGTACGAGGGCGTCTTCAAGAAGAACGAGGAGCTAGCTTTCTCGTATGCCCAGGAAGCCGCTGCGGCCAAGCTCCCGACTGGCGAGTTCGCCATGGGCTACTATTACGAGATCGGAATCCATGTCAACAAGAGCGTCTCGGAGGCGCGCCGGTGGTATCAGCTTGCCGCTGATCACGGCAACAAGGACGCCGTCGGTCGCCTTGACTCGCTCAGCCAGGACAAGAGTCTCTCCAAGCAGGATCACGAGACAACGACGCTTACTCGCATCAAGTCTCAGCATGGATCCCAGCGGGGCAGGCGTCCGGAGCGGTTCAAGCAGCCGCAGCAGATGCCCACCTTGGACGAGGGCAGCGGAACTCCCACCGCCGCCGAAGGACCTGGATATCCACCGATGACCGCGGTGAATCCATCCTCGACAGGGCCGTCCCCTCAACCCTCGCCAGGTATCAAGCCGACGATTGTATCGGAGCATGCGACATTCCCGGACCCGTCGCGTGCCTCGGTGGTTGGCTCGGAGCGACAGCCAGCCTTCAACATCAGGCTGGACTCGGCCGCGCCGCAGCCGGTGCGGCCTCATTCGACTGCGCCGTATCCCGATGATGAACGGCCTGCACCGCTTAATGTGATGCGGTCTCGGTCCACAGCTCCGTATCCGGAGGACGATGTGCGCGGCTATCCGAATTCCCATTACAACCCAGCTATAAACCCTTCTCAGGGACCGCCGGCCGATCGACCGATGAGCGCATTCGGTGTCAACACGCAAGCAGCAGGGCCTCGGCCGATGCCAGGATCTCAAAGTACGGGAAGTCTCCAGCCGCTGGCGCAGCCGCCGTCGTCGCGAGGCCGCTTCGCATCGGCTGGCTACGATGCGCCAGGCGGGCCCGGAGCCTATCGCCAGCCGAGCCCCGGCCCCAACCCGAGCGGTCGGCCATATCCTACGCCTGAGGATCTCCAGGGCCGGCCGGCGAGCGCGGCGCCTTATCCAGGCGGCGGCCCTGGCGGCAACAGACTTCAGAAGCAGCCGCCGAGGCAGCCCTACGGCGGTGGCCAGGCCCCCTATCCGCCGGCGGCGGCAGAACCCGGACGCGACTACGGCCCTCGGACGTCGTCTCGACCCATATCTGAGGCGCCACCGCCGCACCACGACCCTCGTATCCCGCCTCAAGGCCACGAGCGCTTCTCCAGAGTTCCCGGTGCCACTGGTCGACCTGAGCGACTGAGCTCCCTCCCTCAGGATGGCCAACGGCCACCAAGAGTGCCGACAGGGCTCGGTCAAGGAGGGTCCAATTCTCCCCGGCCGGGTGCGGGCCGGGTTGGAAGCGCTCCGCCAGGACCTGGTCAGGGCCTACCCAGCCCAGGTCTCCATCCATCGGCAACAGCACCGGCGAAGCCGCCGCCGGCCAAGGGCCCGGCAACATTCGAGGACATGGGCATCCCGCAAGGGAAGCAGGAGGGCGACTGCGTAAGTATTGGCCCACCGAATCCAGTCGGTGAAACCCCGCGTGTCTGGTGGTGCAGCACAACTGACGATAGTGGCACAGGTTGTCATGTAATGTTTGGACGACAGATGGGCATCGGGGTGTTGAGGGCGTGCTGCCGAAACGGCCAGGGCATGGCTTGTCTGGGAGCCAATCCGATGGCTACGAGTTTGTTGGGCGGGTCATGTAGAAGGCAGGCAACACGTCGCGTGCTATTTGTAGGACATTGGAAAGATGGGTAACTTGATAAGCATCCCACGGTGGATCTCTTGCATTGGTGGGGAGAGTGTAGGCACTTTGGCAAAGCCGGCATTTACCAGGAGTCGGAAGAGGGAAATGGAATTCGGTTTCAGGACAGGCAGGACAGCAGAGCACCGCAGAGCACAGCACAGCAGAGCACAGCACAGCATGGCAGATCAATCTTGGGCGTGTGTTTGTTTGGAGTCGAGATTTGTCGTCGAGGACCGCCTCCCGCGGTCAAAGTTGGTGTCCTGGTTCCGGGGTTGTGTATCTGGTGTGGTATGGAATAAAGCCGACTCCCGATCGGAGGGGGTGGGGGCCACATGAAGGGGGGGAGGGCGCGCTCGACCAGGTATGGCCTGGCAGGGCTGGTGTTTCCTTCTGGAATCCGAGGGCTTGACACACACATACATACACAGACGGGCTCTCTGTCGCCGAGATCGCAGCGGGTATTTGCTTAAGCCGTTTGCTGGTTGGCGCTCGTTGGCTCGACGGCTCCATCGGGAATAACGGATCGTGTCCGGAAACTCCACCGTGCGCCCTCTGCGCAACAAGACGAGCTGGACCATTTGCATTTTGCCTGTGGTTGGGTTTCTCGTCTTCTTGGGTTTCTTCTTTTCTTTGCGGTCCGTTCGGCCCCCGATGATTTACTTGGGAAAAACGAGGCACAGCGCGGACGACTTTGAGTACGACGTCGCCCCCCAAGCCTCAGGCCCTCGTTGAACTCTACTATACACGGAAGCTCCCACGAAGCACAACAAAGTACGTAGCCGTCTCCGGAACGGACCATCTCCAAGCACAAGTGAGGGCGCGCGCGCCAAGTCGACTAAGCTTAGTGCTCGACAAGAGCGGAGTTCCACCCCCGAAAGAATCGGCAATTGAATCCTGGGGGGGACAAGAGGCAAGAGTCAACACAGGACCGGTTCGTTCGCCCTTTGGTCGGCTGGAGTGTCGAGGGCCCTTGTTCACGGCTGGAGTGTGACACTTGCAACTAAACCTTGCTCCATCCAAGGAGAAACGGGCAGCAGTTGTCGCCGTGTCCTCGGTTTTTGTCGCCGTCGTTTGCTGCACAGCTGGAGACCTCTCGTCGGCTCTCACCGCCGCCGCCCTGGATCGCCGGACATGACCGCCTCGTCAAGCAGCGAGGCGGGCGACTTGGAGAAGCAGCCGTTGCCGACCGAAACGGCACCGCCCCGCAACCACCATCTGGATGAGACCAAGGAATACAGCGTCGATGATGATGACGACGCAAAGACCACAAAGCGCGACGGCATCGCGCGCCGGGGCAGCAGAGCCTCCAGCGGCCGCGGGCGTGGCCTAGCGTCACTTCACAGCAGCCGCAGCTCCTCCTCAGAGGGCGATGGAGAGGCGGGGGACGAGGACGAGGTCGAGGTGGAAGAGGTCATTGGGGAGGAGCACCCAAGCGTCCTCGACAGAGTCTTGAGTCGGGTCACGTCCAAATCTAGCTATGATCCCGGGCCGCCCCCGGACGGGGGCTGGCTGGCGTGGACGCAGTGTAAGTCGTGCCGGCGATGCGAGCTACGGCCGAGAATACTGACCGGCGGTAGGCCTCGTCGGGCACATTGTCATCTTTAACACCTGGTGAGCGAGCAGCGTGCCTTTCCCATCCCATTGGGCAGTCATTCTAACGGTGCGTGTATCCAGGGGCTGGGTCAACTCCTTCGGCACGTTCCAAACCTACTACACGGAGCTCCTCCAGCGGCCGCCGAGCGACGTCTCGTGGATCGGGTCGCTCAACGTCTTCCTCCTCTTCTTCGTCGGCACGCTGACGGGCCGCCTGGTCGACGCGGGCTACTTCCGGCTCGTCTTCCTGACGGGCACGGCCCTCCTCGCCGTCGGCATCTTCACCATCTCGGCGTGCACCACGTACTGGCAGTTCCTCCTGGCGCAGGGCCTCTGCCTCGGCATCGCGCACGGCTGCCTCTTCTGCCCGACCCTGGCCGTCCTGTCGACCTACTTCCTGCGCCGGCGGGCCCTGGCCCTGGGCGTCGCCGCCTGCGGGAGCGCCACCGGCGGCCTCGTCTTCCCCAGCATGGTGCGCCAGCTGCTGCCGCAGGTCGGCTTCCCGTGGACGGTGCGGGCCATTGGCTTCGTCCAGCTGGCCACCATGGTCGTCGCCAACCTGCTCGCGCGCCCGCGCATCAAGCCGCGCCGGGCAGGGCCGCTGGTCGAGTGGTCGGCGTTTGGCGAGCTCGAGTACACCTTTTACGCGGCGGGTGCCTTCTTTGTGAGTGAACCCCTTTGACGGCTCCTGCGTGTGCGAGTGAGTGAGTGACCGTCCTGACTGACCAACGACGGTGCCGGCGCACAGAACTTCTGGGGCGTGTACTTTGCCTTCTTCTATGTGGCCGCCTTCTCGCGCGAGGCGCTGCGCCCGCCCATGTCGTACCCGGACTCGCTCAACCTGCTGCTTCTGCTCAACGGCATCGGCACGGTCGGCCGGCTGGTGCCCAACTACGTGGCGGACCACGTCGGGGCGGTCAACGTCTTCATCCCGACGTCCATCGTGGCGTCGGCCCTCGTCTTCTGCTGGGTCGCCATCGACACGCCCGCGGGCATGTACGCGTGGGTCGTCTTCTACGGCATCGCCGCCGCCGGCATCCAGAGCCTGTTCCCCGCGGCGCTGTCCTTCCTGACGACGGACCTGCGCAAGCTCGGCGTCCGCATGGGCATGGTCTTCACCATTGTCAGCTTCGCCGTGCTGACGGGCCCGCCCATCGCCGGCGCCATCATCAACGGGCCCGGCGGGTACACGGGCGCCCGGGCCTTCGCGGGGAGCTCCATCGCCGTGGGCTGCGGCTTCCTGGTTGCGGCAAAGGTGACCAAGATGCGCAAGGCGGGACAGGGCTGGAGGGGGAGGATATGATGAGGGATGCGCCTCCGGTTGTGGTGCTCCTCTGCATGTGTTTGAAGACCTCTTTTCTGCATCAGCGAAGGCTATTGTTTCAATCCAGTGACTTATACAAAGCTTGAACTGAATTTGCCCCTAACGGTCCGTTGTCTATCGAGATTCTATGCTATATATATACATGGCGTGTTGGCTGGGCATTTGCCCATTTCGCGAGCTCGTAAAGGCACACACTCAGCAACTTGTACTACGTAAGAGCAGTACGTACGTATGCTCAACGTCTAAGCCGCCCGGGACTGCAACTCGGTTAACCTTCAGTCGCGCCTCTGCATCTGCATCGTGGGCCGGGCGCCCTCCCAGAGTCCCAGCCTCCCAGTCCCAGACCCCGGCGCGTTTTTTTAGACTCGGCGCCCACACCGACATGTCGCTGACTGACCACCGCGCGTTGACCCAACAGGGGGGACGGAGGAGCCAGTCTTGTCGCTCTTGTGTCTCACTCATCGCCCTCTCTCTCGTGGCCGAGGTTGCATGCGTGTGGGCGTCGAGTTAAGGTTAAATAGCTGGTCGGGGTCGCTCACCACACACGCAGTGCTATGGCCTCTCCTCCCTGGTTGTTGTCTGCCACCGAGGGTAATGACGACGGCGCCGCTGGCGACGAAAACGACAACGGCGCGGGTATAGAAGACTCTTTTGCAGTTATGCGCAGCGATATGTCGGGCCGTGGGAGGAAGACGGCCGAGGACAAGGCGGCCATTGTCGACGACGGCGATGCCGAGGCCGGCGCGGGAGTGGTAATCGTCAGTGAAGATGATGCTGCCGCGCCCGCGAGCGTGTCTGAGGAGGCGAACCGGCGCATTCGCCGACTGGTACGTACGATTGTACGAGTGCAGAAGCACTTGAAAGCCCCGTGACGTTTCCCTGTTCCCTCTCATCCTTCTCCTCCATCACCGTTTCGCACGTCCCAACGGCTCATGTTCCCCATGCGTCTAGCTCGACCGGCGAGTCCTCCCGCTCGTCTGCTGCCTCTACGTCCTGTCGTACCTCGACCGCGGCAACATCGGCAACGCAAAGACGGCCGGTGCGAAGCGCGACCTGGGGCTCGACTCGTCGCAGTGGGCGTGGGTGCTCAACGCCTTCTACGTCTGCTACGTCGCCTTCGAGTGGACCACCATGTTCTGGAAGTTCTTCCCCGCCCACGTCTACGTGTCTGTCCTCTGCCTCTGCTGGGGCGCCGCGGCCATGAGCTCGGGTGCCGCGCGCAACATGGCCCATCTCGTCGTCGCCAGGGGCTTCCTCGGTGTCTTCGAGGCAACGTTTGGGGCGGGAGCGCCCTACTTCCTCTCGATGCTGTACCGGCGCAAGGAGCTCGGCTTCCGCATGTCGCTTCTCGTCGGCATGTCGCCGCTCGCCAACACCTTTGCGTCGAGCCTGGCGTACGGCATCACGCAGATTCGCGGCTCTCTCGCACCCTGGCGCCTGTTGTTTATCATAGGTGAGTGGAAGACGCTTGCCTGGGAGAGCCAAGTTGGTTCGACGGCGCTGACTGCTCGACGCCAGAGGGTTCCTTGACGGTACTCTTCGCCCCTGTCGCGTATTTCCTCCTCATAGACTCTCCGTCGACGGCCCCGTTCCTGTCTAAAGAAGACAAGGTGCTCGCCGTCCAGAGGCTGCAGCTCAAGGACTCGACCGCCAAGGGTGGTGTCAAGTGGAAGCAGGTCGTGGCAGGCTTCTCCGACTACAAGAACTACGTGCACGCGCTCATCCACTTTTGCGCCAACTACTCCTTCTCGGCGCTCTCCAACTTTCTGCCGAGCATCGTCAAGGACCTGGGCTACGACTCGGTCAAGGCGCAGGGGCTGACGGCGCCAGCGTATTTTGCGGCGTTCCTGGTGTGCGTGGCGGCTTCGTACGCCTCGGACAGATTCGGACGGCGAGGCCTCATCGTCGCCGGGACGTCTGCGCTGGGCGTCGTCGGCTACGGGCTGCTGGCCGCGGTGCAGGACGATGCCCGGGCCGGGACGCGGTACGCGGGTGTCTGGCTGGCGGCGTGCGGCGTGTTCCCGGCGCTGTGCATCAACGTCACATGGGTCCTGAACAACCAGGGCGGCGACTCCAAGAAGGGCGCCGGCCTCGCCATATTCCTGACCATCGGCCAGTGCTCGTCGTTTATCAGCAGTGTTGTGTTTCCCGAGAGCGATGCGTAAGTGACCTGGATTCCACGGCCATGGTCAATAGTCGAGGCTAACGAGACCATGGACAGGCCCTTTTATACAAAGGGATGCGCCATCGGCTGCGGGCTGACGGGCGTCATCCTCGTCTGCTCGCTGTGTATGAGCTTTGCGCTCAGCAGGGAGAACCGGCGCAGGGACTTGATGTACGGCCCCGTGGACCCCAACGTCGAGGTCGACGTGACGAACGAGGGAGACGCGCATCGCAATTTCCGGTACTTGACGTGAAGAACCACTGCCACAGATGGATACATCATATTATGTGCGTATTGATGCGTACGATGGGAGCGGCAAGGGATGCAGTGTACCTAGTGGTCCATAATGTTGTAGCAATGATAGCGTGGCGACGTGATGCACTTCTTATGTGAGACGGGCCGCCGCAGCACTTACACGCAGACATCGCTCATGGAGTCGGATGACGCTCTCTCCACGGCGACGACATCTCTGCTCAGCAGCTCTTGCGGACATGGCAGCAACCTTCAACGACATCGTCAAGGGGGTTGCTGAGTGTCGCCGCGCGTCGGCAGATGGATTGAATCGGATTGGCGATCTTTGGCCGGTTCATCAGGAGGTGATGGAAGGAGCGGGGCGCCGAGATCAACCTGCAAGGGAACCTGGAAGCAATCCATGGATCCCGTGCCGTGCGATGTGGCTGCCTGGGGGCTGGCGGGAAGGCAGGTGACTGGCCCACTGCGGGGAAGCACCTCAAGGCACAGCAGGCCTCAGCGGACCCTTCCAGTGGAGCTACGGGCGCTTTGGGGGGGCTGCCTGCCTGCATAAGCACCCTTCCCGTCCAGGTGACGCAGGCCCGATCGAGTCCCTGTCAAGCCCGTCGCGTGCAACCTCAACTCACCCACCCACCCTTTCCATTCCCCTCCACTCCACATCCAGCCATCTACATCCATCCATCGTCGTCGGCACGCCTTCCTCAGTACCGCTCCCGCCATCGCTGCCGTTTGGCTCCCCCTCCGCCAAACAGCTCCGTCAACACCAGCTCCACGGCCTTGGGAGTTGTCGGTCGGCAGGCAGGACACAATACTCACAATGGTATGCTTTTGTCAACCTCAAAGTGCTCCGCATCCGCGGGCTCTCTCTCTCTCTCCACCAAAGGCAAGCAGAGCAGTCAGCTAACCACAGACATCGCAGGTCTCCGAGCAGAGCCCCCTCCTCTCCAACGAGGGTGAGGCCCAAGCCTCCAACCGCGCCGAGCATGATAGCGACGGCGGCGGTAGCGGTAGCGGCAGCGACATCGACAAGAGGCGCCGCTGGTCGCGCCTGCGCGAGGCTGGCATCTTTGTCTGGGCCCTCGTCGCAACTGCCGCCGTCATCGTCATAGCCGTCTGGGCCCAGCACAACCAGCAGACCTCCCGCGCCCCGAGTCGCTCCGACAAGCGCAACCTCGTCTTCATGGTCTCCGACGGCATGGGCCCGGCCTCTCTTGCTCTTACTCGGAGCTTCCGCCAGCACGTCGATGGCCTGCCCGAGAACGACACCCTCGTCCTCGACAAGCACTTCTGGGGGTCCAGCCGCACGCGCTCCAGCAACTCCCTCGTCACCGACAGCGCCGCCGGCGCCACCGCCTTCTCCTGCGGCAAGAAGAGCTACAACGGTGCCATTTCCGTCCTGTCAGACTACGAGCCATGCGGCTCCGTGCTTGAGGCCGCCAAGAGAGCCGGCTACATGACCGGCCTGGTGGTCACGACGGACATTACGGACGCAACTCCCGCCTGCTTCGCCAGCCATGTCCTTCTCCGCCAGATGCAGGACGACATCGCCCTCCAAGAAGTTGGCCATGGTGTGCTGGGGCGGTCAGTCGATCTCATGCTGGGCGGCGGCCGGTGCCACTTCCTGCCCAATGGCACCGACGGGAGCTGCCGCGCCGACGATGTCGATGTCATCAAGCTGGCGCAGGACAAGTATGGTTGGACCTACACCGACAGCCGCGACGGCTTCGATAAGCTCAAGGGCGGTGACAAGGCGCATCTCCCCCTCCTAGGACTCTTTGCCTCATCCGACATCCCATTCGAGCTAGACAGGAAGAACATGAACGACGTCTACCCCAGCCTCAGCGAGATGGCCAAGACCGCGCTGCGCGCCCTCGAGCGGGCCACGTCCGGCAGCGACAAGGGTTTCTTCCTCATGATCGAGGGCAGCCGCATCGACCACGCTGGACACATCAACGACCCTGCCGCCCAGGTCCGGGAGGTCCTCGAGTACGACAAGGCCTTCAAGGCCGTCCTGGACTTCATCGGCGACACTGATACGGAGACCGTCCTTGTTGCCACCAGCGACCACGAGACAGGTGGCCTCGCCACAGCGCTGCAAGAGCCTGGCCACCTCCCTGTGTATAACTGGTATCCTGAGGCCCTCGCCAAGGCCTCGGCATCGTGCGAGAGGCTCGCGCACAAGCTCCAGGACCACGTCTCGAAGCAGTCTACGCCCCTCTCGCAGCCCGATCTCAAGGCGTGGATCAACAACGAGCTCGTCATTCCCGGGCTCGGCGTAACCGACGCAACCGACGAGGAGCTCTCCCTCCTCGCCGCGGACCCCGAGGGCGCCACCAACAACTTCGCCGCCGTCATCTCCCTTCGCGCGCACGTCGGCTGGAGCACGCACGGGCACACGGCCGTCGACGTCAACGTCTACAGCTCCGGTGGGCCCGAGGCCGACAGGATCCGCGGCAACGTCGAGAACACGGACGTGGGCAAGTTCCTCAGCCACTACCTCGGCGTCGACGTTGATACCATCACCAAGGAGCTGCGCGAGAAGACAGCCCGGCCCCGCGTTGCGGCTGCTGGAGCCGACGAGGCGGCGTTGCAGTGGAAGAGCAGCTACCACGAGTACGAGGGTATGCAGTAGAGATCTCATGCTATTGTTGAATGTTGCATTTGAAGCGTATACCTCGGATCTTTTGATCTACTCTTTATCCTTGGGCACTTGGTATGATTCTTGGGTGGTTTCCCCGGATCTTGCAATCTGGGATTGCGAACAGACATGGCATCGAATACGGCATCGTATAGAGACATGACCTCGAGAGTTCAATCCCTCACGCTATGGTATCTCAAGAATTCACTAGTACACAGCCAAGTCTGCTGGAAAGCATACCAGCCCTGCATCCATTGGTCGCCCATTGAATGAATAGCATCCAGCCTTGGCAACAAGTTGCGCCTTCTAAACCTGTCCTATAAAACGCCATACCAATTGCTCGCGCTCCCAGCCCAGTCCCCTAGAATGACTAGCGGTTCAAACAAAACCGAGCCTCGAACGCAGCTCGCTTCATCCCAAACATTTCCGCTTACGCACACAAGTTGATCCGCATCCGCTTTCCCTTTTCACTCTTGCGCACGGTCGATGTTATACCGCACGAAAAGCCGATCCAAGAAGTGGGAGTGGCGGATGCCATTCGGCCGCGCCTTAGCGAACGCCTCGATAGCGTCCGGCAACGAGAAGCCACACCGCTCCACCAGGTAACAGACGATAAAGTACCCAGTGCGATTGAAGCCGTAATGGCAATGCACGCCAATGACGCACTTGTCCGGCTCGTCCCACGCTTCCGCGACGGCACGAGCCTTCTGGCTCTCGCGCAGCTTGTCCACGAGCCGGGTGAAGGCCTCGACTTCATGACCCTCGGGCGGTATCTTTGATACCGTCGGGAACTTGTGATAATGCACACCGCCCCGCTCCAGGCCGCGCGGGTCGTAGACTGGTTGATCTTTGGAGATGTCGATAACGTCCTTGATGATCGACGACCACTTGTCCACGAATTCCTGTGGGCAATGCACGTCATCCGCCTCCCGCAGCGTCTTCATGGCTCTGAAAACTGGTTTACCCTCAGGGCCGATGGCGTGCGACACTGGCGCCACCGATTTCCACTTGTTGAGGTTCTTCACGTCCCACTTGCCCTCCCGTGAGAGATACTGCAGCTGCCAGGCAAGAGACAGCCGACCTGTGATCTTGGTCGCCAAGAAGTCTGAGATGAGGCCGGCCAGTGCGCGCGCAGATCGCGGCATGTAGAGCAGGGCGTGGTTCGCCGGCGCTGGAATGACAATGGATTGCACCGACTTCTTGGGGTGGGTTGGCTGGGGAGGGAGCGGCACAGACGCCTTGTCGTCGCCCGACATATCGGAGTCGACAGGCGTCGATACATCGTCATGCGCATCGTCACCAGCGTACTCATTGCCGTCAACACTCTGCCGGGGGTAATGATCGTTCTCCGCAGGGCTGTTGGGGACATGATCGCGGGGCCTCATCGACATGCTCACTGGTGCTGCAGCCTCCGGGCCCTGGACGTCAGACTCATCGTCAGCAGTTTCCGGGACCCCCTTGGCGGCGGAGCCCAGGGCCTCGGCTATCTTGCCCACCTCAGTTGGAGGGGTCAAGTGGTCCTTTTCGCCAGCGATCAGGTAGACGGGAATGTCCAAGCCAGCCCAGATGTCCAGTCCCGGAAGGCCACCCTCGGGTTCCCCGTCGCGATATACGGGGAGCGCGCCATAAGCCATGCGCCTGAAAACAGGTGTTCGGCTCTGCTGGTTGAAGCGATGCTGCAAGATCTTGAGGTCTGGCTCGGCTTCCTTGCCCACAAAGCGGGTGACACTGGGACTCTCTGGTCCACCCCGGTTATCCCAGGCTCGCCACAGCGAAAACAACCAGCCCGGTACCCAGAGCAGGCACCGGAACATCATGGACCTGGCCTCGTTCCACGGTCCAGACATGGGACAGATTGCGACGAGACCAACGACGTGATCCGACAGTGCAGTTGCGTGAGAGACGCGCCGATTTGCGAGCCAAGCCGATAAAGTGGTGCCCATGCTGTGACCGATGAGTACCACGCTCTGGCCCGCCTCGCTGTCACGATAATCCTCAATAATAAGCTCGAGCAGCTCGCCCAGAGCCGCCGGCGTGTAAGCGTCCCATGACGTGACAGAGTAGCCGGAGCGGCCGCCACCGGGGAAGTCAACTGCCAGGCACGGGGCCAGGTCCACGAGGCTGCTCAGAAGCGGGTGGAACTGCGCAACAGAGCCACCAAGGCCAGGAATGCACACGATGAGGGGCAGCGAAGCGGGAAGTTCCTTGGCTTTGGCGTGCTGGCGGAAGAAGACGCGGATGTCCGGATACTCAAAGCGGCTCGTCCTGTAGGTTCTGAGCTGGGAGTTGTCCCGAAGGAGTGCTGGATCGGTTTCCACGGGATCGGTAGAATTAGCGACCGACGGCCGGCCAGCCGTAGTGGTCGATGGTGAGTCACGAACGCCCGTCATGGCTGCGACGGATTCGGGCGTGTTCTATGCTCGCCATATATAAGAAGTAGGTGCTACAAGAGCTAGGCGCTGCGACTGTAGAGATGCTCGTCTCGGCAAGGTAGCAAGTGAGACAAGAGGCGTAACGCGAGGGGGGACGCCGTCGACCGGCAACGGATGCTCAAGGGCGGACTTCAATTCCCGAGTCGTATAATCGGTTTCCGCCTCGCGGTTTCCGCCTCCCTTGCCAGCCTAGACAGTCTTTGGGCAGGCGGGAGGTAGGAGGATAACAGGGCTCGCTCAGTTGGGAGAAGGAAAGCGCAGCTGCCAGGTGGCTCTCGGTTTGGGTATCAACGGGCGAGACGACCGACTGAGCAGCCACAGAAGGTGTTTGCTGGCGGTGCGGAACTCATGTCATGAGTTGAGCGGGCGAGGTGGTGAAGCGAGGCAGGTGTGCGCGACGGTGAGCGGATGCAGGTAATAAATAATTATTGTCGGCGCTGCTGCGAGGCGCGACAGACGTGTCAAACAGGCGGCGACGCACGCCGATGCGGCTGGCGGCGGGCAGGGTGAGACGGAGCGAAGCGAGCTGGCGGCTCAGCAGGTTCCACGTATGGCGCACCACGGCGTACTGTACGTGTGTTCGTGCGAGACTCGAGGGACGTGAGGGTGATGGAGGTGAGGGTTCCAAGTTCCTGCTTTGCCGACGTCAACTCACAGTCGTCGCAATTTTGTCCCCCTGTCCGCCACGAGCCAGCCAATCGTCATGGTGGTGCATGGAGCATGGACCGCCCCCCAGCTCGCTCTCTGGACCGTCACGTCACAGGCTTGACAGGCCCCCCCAGGCTGGCCCGCTGCCCGTCCGTCCACCCGCCTGTCAACGCTGGCGCCACGTGGTGTAACCTACCTACCCTGTGCCGCGCTCGCGCCGTGAGGTGAGCTGGCCATTGCTCGTTTGCCATGTGCTGCGATGCCGATCGCGCCGCACAATGGTTTCAATTCAGTGGCTTGCTTTGCTTTCTTTGGGTATTCGAGTTTTTCCGTCACATTTTGTGTCGTATGTCGCTCCGCACGGGTTGTGTTGTTGCTGCGAGGCCGCTGACATTATACACTGGGGAGGCCCTCATGTGTGAAACATGGCGAGCTGGACAGAGAGTTCAGGTAAGCATAGGGAGTCCATTAGTATTCACACCCTCAGTAGCCACGCCTACATTGTCGAGAGTTTCTCCCATGAATCGACCAGAGCGTTCACCCGACTCACAGCCTGGAAGTTTGCCCGCCCCGCCGTAGATATCATACAGTTGCATCCATGAGCTGGCTTATCATACTATACATAACTCGAGACACGCGTGCCGAGACGCGGGCTCATACGGCGCCCAAGCCCTCCTTCCACCCAATGGGTATCAATGCCGCGGCCACCTCGGAGACGCCTCGCTCCGTCGCCAGCAAGTTGAACTGGGCGGCCGCGTTTCTGGTGTCCAGCACCTCCACTCTCATGCCCAGCTCGGCAATGTGTTGCCTCGTCTGCGGGCTCAAGGGCATGTTGCTCTTGCCCACGCCAATGACCAGCAAGTCTTGACAATCAAGTTAGTTTACTCGTGCAGATAGGGTTGGCTTGCCTTCGAACCGATGGAAGGGGTGATGTTGGCACATACCTGGCCGTGGCCACAACATGTCAAACAGTCCAAAGGCCTCCTTGGGCAGCTCGAACTGGCCCTTTTTGTTGGACACTTCCATGACCCCCTTGACCTCCCACGGCCGCCACTCAAAGGCCTCGCCATTGACGAGCAGCGCCCCGTTGCCGCCCGTGATAGTCACCCCGCTGTTTAGGCCGAAGCCGTCATATGTGCACACGTCCACCGACGTCGACGGCGCCGGCGTGTTTCCGAGGACGTTGAGCTCGTTCAGATCGGTCGGCGGAGGCTCCTTCGGGACGTCCCTGCGTGACCGCCGCGACGGGACAGTCGTGTGTAAGGGGCGCGACGAGAGGGCGGGCAGCCGGTGGGATCGCGGTGACGGCAATGGCAATGCCGTTGCCGCTGGAATCGCCAGCCGTGGCGAAACGAACAGCTGTGTCCGCGCTGTCGCAGCGAACAGCCCGCGCGGGCCGCCGCAATGTCGTGCAAAGCTGTGCATGATGAGGGGAAGCACAGCGTATTATTATCGTATGGGCATCTCGATCGGGCGCGGTTCTCGAGGGTTCACGACGGCGACGGATGGGGGTTGACAGTGGAGGGGCTGGCGTGGCCACTCAAAAATTTAGGTCGGGGCAATTGAGCTTCCTCTACACGTCATGCGCCAGCGCCCAATTTCGACGACCCGAATCACGGGGCCAAGAGGGGACTCGCGCACGTCCTGAGGCCAGTGTCCTACAAACACCCATGTGAGTATTATCAGGGATCACTGCTGAAGCCATTCATTGTCGTTCCCTGCTTTGGTCCCGGCGAGTTATGGACCCGGTTCATCTCTGACCGTGCAGCCCGCACACTTCGTTCGCGCACACCGCATGGCAAAGCCCGTCTGATCGTGCCAGCTTGATGTTTTGTCTCATTTAAAACCACCAAGAGGAGGTCGCAGTCCTAAAGACAGCAGGAGGCCGGCCTCTCCGGCCAGTCCCCGGATGTATCATGCAGTCCCTTTGCCCTTATGAACACCAAAGCAATGAACCAATCCCCTCGAAGTTCCTTGCCGTCCGCGCAGAAAGCCCAAACCCATGGTCGAAAGGTGCTTATTTCTTCTTCTGGCTCTGCTCCTGCTCCTTCAGCACCTTCTTGACGATCTTCTGCTCCTCGATAAGGAAGGCGCGGACGATGCGGTCACGGACGCAGCCACCGCATCTCGAGCCACCGTAGGCGCGCTGGACGGTCTTCTGGGGCTTGGAGATCTGGGAGTACTCGCGGGGTCGGAGAGCGGGGATCTGTGTCATGAAGGGTCAGTCTCTCCGTGTGCAAAACTTGACTCCTAAAGTCGGGCAACCACGACAGCGTGTCCTCGTCGCGGCCGCACGGAATAATGTCCCTCAGACCATGATTGCCGTTGCGCCGCGTGTCGAACAGGGAATCCGCCTTGTCGAAGCCTAGCCATGTCCATCTCGAGAACCATTCGCTGTCGCGGATTGCCAATTGTCGGAAAGTCGACTCGAAGGGCCACTTACGCCAGAGAGCTTGGAGCCGCAGTCGCCGCACTTGGGAACAGTGCCGCGCTTCTTGATGTGCAGCAGACGGAGCTCGCCACCGGGAGTCTTGACGACTCGGGTCCGGTTGGATCGAGTGTTGTAGCTAAAGAGTCCGGGTCAGCCCATGGTGTCGCCAAAAATGCGTGCGAGGGAGTTCGAGTGCGATCGGATCGAGATGTAGAGTATTCGAAGGGCACTCACGGGTTGCGGCGGCGGTAGGTAACTCGTTGGGACACCATTGTTGCGGTCGTGCTGCGAGTGTGCGATGAGGATCTCAACCAGGAACGAAACGACGAATTTCGAGATTTGGGGGAAAATTTGTGTGGGTGGAAGGACGGATTGTGCCCGCTAACCCGGCGAATCACAGCGGGGCAAGCAAGGACGGACCCACGATTTGAGTCACGTGACTGGATCCTCACGCAACGGGTCTTATGGGGTCCGGCGAGTGGCGGCAAACCGCCAGCAGAGTTGTAGTGGCTCGCTGTCTGCAGATGCTGGCTGTGATCAAGCATCAGAAATTGTCCTTTGTTTCTGGTCGTCTATGTGCGCATGAAGGCTACAAATGCCATATGTTGGCAGGCCAGCAGTCGAACGATATCGTCCATGGAAGGGGAATGCAGAATTTCTGCGTGTTGAGGCACGGCAACGGACTTAAGTGCGCGAGGCATGGCAAATCCATGCCGGTCGCTTTGGCCCTGAGTGGGATTAGACCATTGCAGGCGTCCATGCCGACTCGCATGGCGCACCGTGCTCTTCGCAAGTGACCACCAGCACACAAATCTAGAACGGATGAACTCCAAAGAAAGAAAGTTCACATGGCGTATGGCGCTCGACTTCATAACTCCAAGCACCAAGGCCGAGTGCGCCTGAACAGGCAGATGCGAGGTCTGCGAAAGGACATTATGCATATCATTCATACCGGGGAATCTAGGTAGACCCGAAGGCCAAAAAAAACCAGCAATGCCAAAAACTCCTCATGTCATGTCGATCCTGCATCAAACCTGGGAGCCTTTATGCTCCCTCTGCCCGATGCCAAGCGACTTGTTAGTGTTGACATGTTGATAGCCGACAAAGGCGGAATTCTCAGTTCTTGTCCATGTCGAACCAATCTGGGTGGTCCTTATGCGCCCATGGCTTTATGCCAAATGGATTTTCTTCTCGGCTCTTGTCCGCCATGGCCAGCGCCTTCTTGCTCTCTTCGTCTCTCATGAGATCGGCAAACTCTTTGACTTCTGTTTGAGCATCGGTTGCGGCCTTGACAAACGAGCTGAACATGGCGTCGGCTATGCGATCTCAGGGTTAGCCGACTGTGAGGTCTGCTTGACGGGATAAGGAAGAGAGGGGCCGAAGGGATGTTTACGTGATGGCTGCTTCTGAACTAGGGGTTCTATCATCCTGGGGATGGTATCGCGCAGCAGTCGCGACTTCAGTGAGCAGCGCGGTCAGTCTATTTCTTGTCGCGGGCTGATGAGAAGCGCGGAGCCGTGGTTCGGACGCACCTTGATGTGAAGGAGCTTGAGGCGCTGCATCGCCTCCTTCAGCTGAGTTTCATCCACGGCCTGTGAGCCAGTGGCCGCCGAATTCTCGGCCGCGGACTTGTTGTTCATATCGAACGGCGACGACGCTGCCGAGCGTCTGGACGCGGCGAGATAGCAAAATGCCGAGTACAAGTATGTCCGCTGAAGTGCCGTGAATGTGTCGTGGAGACAAGACCAGACGCGCCACACCAACAGTCGGGGATGGGGCTGGGCTGCCGACCGGAAGGGTGAGACGGGGATGCCACGGCAATGTGGGGCAGAAGAATGGAGTGCCCGGGCAGGTACCTTGGACAGGGGGGAGGAGCTGGCCTGGACTCTGGAGCAGGTGACAGTGCGACGCCAGCAGTTTATATCTGCTAGGCGAGCGCTGCAGTTAAATAGTGGTGAAGCAGAGCTGCGCAACAGGTACGTGGGTGAAGGAACATCGCGCACGTTAATCACACCCGCGATGAAGCGACATTGACAGAAATCCGAAATGCCAGGCTCTTGGGTGATGACGACACGCGAGAGAGCAAACATCAGCGCGGGGGCCGTTCACCCAGAAACCTAGGGAGGCACTGGTCACGTGTTGCGTGCCTGACCGCTCGCAATCACAGACGCGAGCAACTCGTGACCTGCTTCTCTTGCTGGGGACGTCCGGCTCGAGTGGTCACCAAGAGCTTGGGCCGTCGAGGCGCGCATGGCCCATACATCTGCGTTTACGTCACACGAACAACCTGCAGTTGTTCCCGGGGTTCAGGACAAACACGGCCGGCGATCGTGCCGCCGCGATTTCCGGACCCGAACCCTTGGGGTTCCAATGTCGCTGAGGTGAGCCCGAGACGTCAGCCCCCGGGCGAGCCCTGGAGGCCCTGAGCCCGCTGACTCCAGGCGCGTTAGCGCTATAACCCCCGGCTGCTTGGCGCAGCGCGGCCTGTAATTGGCTCTCGTCACTCGGACCGGATCAACACCAAACCTTAACTTGTCGACAGTGCGGATTGGAAAATCCTTACAGCCCAGCCTCGCTCATTTGGTGCATCGGACCGGGACCAACACCCATCGCAAGTCAAGTCGCGGCAGTTCCCTCGGCCTGCCGTTCCGATTTATATATCGGAGGGGACTCCTTGTCTCTGAACTCTCCTCATCAGCCGCCGCACTCTCCCCTTCGCAGCTCCCTGCCTGTCCGTCGACAACGACGTTGCCTTCCGCGCCCGCCCGCTCAAGCTCCGCCGGCACTCTGCCGCGTCTCCACGATGCCGAACACGCCTCCACCCGCGTTGTTGCCGCCGCCCGAGGGCATCTTCCGGACCTTTGAGGACCTCATGGCGTCGGTGCAGCGCGTCGCCAAGGACCAAGGGTACGGCATTGTCAAGTTGCGTGCTTCCAACTACCGCGACGGCAAGCCGACCCGCTACGACCTCGTCTGCGATCGCGGCGGCGTCAAGTACAACAGCACCGCCAAGAAGCGCAACCCCTCGACGCGCAAGATCGACTGCCCGTTTCGCGCCAAGGCCGTCTGCGAGGTCCAGCTGGGGAATCAATGGCGGTTTGCGCTCCAGGAGCCGCGCCATAACCACGAGCCGCGCGTGCCGTCCGGGACGCCCGGGCAGGAGAACGCGCCACTCGCGACCACGATCCGATCTTTCACAAACAAGCTCGACCGGCTGAGCCACGATATGGCGCAGAGCTTCATGCGGATAGAGCAGAGACTAGACCACATCGAGAAGCGCATGGAGAACCTCGAGGCGCGCGCCGGCTCCTACGAGCCTCGCTTCCAGGCCATGGAAGGCCGGCTGCAGGGCATGGAGGGCGCGCGCATGGACGGCCTGGGCATGGACGACGTGGAATCGCGCCTGCTGGCGTCGCAGGTCATGTAGGGAGACGACCGCAGCGTGCAGCACATGGCGGGAGTCGGCGTCGGAGGAACGGGGGACACGACGGAGACTGACGACGGCAACGCGTCGGTCTGGGCGTCCTCGGGGATGTGACACGGGTAGCCATCTGGCCTGCGCCACACGGAGGGTCACCCCGGCGCTGTCGAGTCGGACGGCGTCGGAACATGGACGCACAGGTTCTGTGTGCGGGGATGTCTGATACCACGGCGGGGGGCATCAGGAGGCAAGGTTGCCTGACGGGCACTACGGAGAGAGGCTATCACGGGCGTTCCGGAATCACACACCACCAATATTTGTTCAGTTTGCTTGGCACGGGATCTGGCGGGTCAGGGTTTTGCTTTGTTTTGTTATGCAGCCGCCAACGGGTGCGCGCAAAGGACGTTACGGGGGTTCCTTGTTCTTCCACATACTGGTGGGTTTCGTTTGCGCTATGAGAGCGAAGAGAGGGGGGGGGGGGGTGGGACAGACAGAGATACCTGCACGGGCAGCTTAGGAATCGATGCTCGGCTGATTGATGGTCCTGGCGGCTGCATGCCATTGCCCAATGGATGAATCGACAACTGCCTGTTTGTGTCAGCGAGGGACGAAGCCGATTGATTCAGATCCAGACCGGCGGCGCCCTCGGCGGCGGCGGTGCATGCGAGCCTGCGAGCCTGCGTCCCGACCCGCGTCGTGCACACTGTGGGCTTGCTTGCTGGCGACGGCCGTCCGCATACTAGGTATTACCGTGCACTTGGGTCGGGCCTTGCCCATATTAGTCCAGCCCACTGCGCGTCTGCTGGCCTGGCGCCGGGGAGAGCGACTTGAAGGTGACACTCGTGCGACGCGAAGCTTCCAGTTCCAGAGCGCGCTGGCAGCCTTCCAGGTTCGCTGTCAAGGCGCCGACCGGGTGCGCAACGAACCAAGTAGCCGGAACCTGATCGCTAGGTGCGGCACGGCTCCGGGATGCCGTCTGGCGGATAACAACCAAGGTACTTCGTACCCCGTCCAGCTGAGCCAAACGGGCGCGCCTGCTCCCTCAGTGTGCTGCACCCACTCCAACCCTCTCCGCCACGCGATGACTGCCCGAACCGTGCCATTTGACCACCCGGCCATCACCAGTGCCATCACGCGACATGTTCGCGACCACATCTCCAACATCTGCCTCGCTCCCGGACACTGCCCGAACGACCCCTGCAGCAGCTCGCTCGGGGATGCTCGCGGAAATGGCGCCTGCACTGCAATATGCATGCATGCACGCGCTCCAGGCACGGCACAGGCACGACTTGGGACTGACGGCCCCGCGAGTCACGGCCCCTCATCGTCGACGACGTCTCGAGTAATGTGTTTGACGGGATCGCTGTCCTCCCACCCTGTTTGATTGACAAGCCGTCAGAGTGGCTGTTGCCAAACCCCTGCCGGATCCAGGATGCGCACCAGGTACCTATCCTTCGCCAGGGCTCGCGGCGTTCTCCAACCTCAACCGACGGCTCCGTAGCCCGTGCGGGAGACGCAGAAGCCTGCAGCTTTTCATGCAGAGCCACGCGCTCGGGCCGATCTGGGGACGGAGCGCGCGTCCTGGGCCACTGCTGAGAATATGCTCGCGGTTCCAGGATCTGGAAAGATGCCGTCTTGGTTTCGCCGCCGCCGCCACGGGCAAGAGGCGATCTGTGTGGTGGTGAAGCGGCCGATACCCGACCCTGTGGTATGGTAGGCATTCACGCCCTTGTTCCCGACAATGTTCGGAATTGCCCATTGCCAACAGCCAAGTCCATCTGCAATGAGTGGCTGGGATGAGGCGCGCGCCGTTGGCCTGCGGGAGATGACGACTTTGAGATCCTGACAATTGGTTGGCTGTCCTGCTCCCATGGCCCATGGCCATGGCTCGTGGCGCCGGGTACGAGGCGGAGATGCAGCAGTCGAGGGACCGAACGGAACAACAGCAGAACATTACGTCAAAGGAGCCGAGCAAAGGGCAGTTGGGTTGCCAGCCCTGTAGGATTAGGCTCGCGACGTCACCCCCTAACTGACCGCGATCCCAGCAAGAAGAGAAGTCCTACATTGATACCCGGGAAGTGGCTCTACATCTCGGCAGAGACTTGTCCGAGAGTGACAAGCCTGCTGCACCCGTTGGCGAGACAGTCCGCAGAATGCGCGGTGACGGGAGAGATCGCTTTCAGCTTCTCGTTGCAGACATGGTGGCAGCAGGCACAGAGGCACCTGGGCTGCACCACCTTGTCCAGTGTGTTGCCACGCACCACCCATGTTGGTCGCTCGAAGGCTACCAACAGGTCGCGTATTGGGCACACCTTTCTACATGCAGTAGTTTTCCACGTGCCTGTGCCGGACAATGTATGTGCTGATGACCCCTGCCATACAGTAGCCGTGTGTCCAGGCTTGACAACAAGGAGTACTGACCGGCTGAGCGCGGCAACTGCCGTCGCGATGAGCCGCCGCCTTTGTCCCCGACGGCCGTTGTTCTTTGGCCTCGATCCCCGCAGGCGAGATGCATGTATCCGCCACGTTGGGTGCAGACCAGATCGGCAATATTCTTCCGCTCGCGGCCTAAATGGCCGCGAACATGTCCGGGCTGAGATGGGCAGAGCCAAATTCGTGCTGCAGAATGCAGCCTCTTTCCCTATAGTGAGACAAGCAGCAAAGCAACCGCGGCCGGGGTCATGCTCGGCTTGGAGTCTTCATTCGCGAGCCCGGATCCCGGCTTACGGGTTCAGTCTCCTCATCGATCCTGCTGCATCGGCAATCTCAGGCCACGGATGCTGGACTCAGCCGTGGCGGCCCAAGATACGCCATCAGGCCACCGACCGTCGACGATGGCATCTACTGCTTGGCGCTTGGATAACCGCTGGTGCATAGTTCCCCGCGGCCAAGTCCGGGAAACGTCATCAGAGAGGGGCCCAGCGGAGCCGCAGGCAGCCCAACAAGCTGTTCGGGGGTTGACGATGGCGGCTACCCTGGCTTCGCATGTAGATCTGCCGTAGGGGAGCAGGGCGCTCTGTGGGGGAAGCAAATGTCCTTCCGCGGAGATGGTGAAACCCCGCGGGTGGATATAGACGGTACTGCACATGCTCGTGTCCTCTGTGCAGGTTGGATCGAAGACATGGGAACGAACAACATAACCTTGTCGAGCCACACGACAATCCTCTGGCTGAGGAAGAGAGTGGCGGGAGGGGACTCACTGTTGGTGTGACCACCAACTGAGATTATGTGGAAGAGGCAGCGAGTAGATAGTCGTCGAGGGAGCTGGAGTTGGCTCAGTAATCAAGCCTGGGGCCCACCAGCAGGCCTCGTTTGCGTATTGAATGTGCATGCAAGGCGGCCCTGGTGCCGCCTTGCTGTTGACGGGCAGGCCCGGGCGTCTGGCGCGTCTCTCCATTGCAGCTACGTGGCCGGGGTCTGCTCGGCTGTGGGCAGTTCCGGGACGGTCCTTGCGTCGCCCGGCACTGTATTGATGTTAAAACGTTTGTGAGCAAGAATGACAACGCGCGAGTGTCTCTACCGGGTGGTCTACTAAACTACGGGGTACATACATACATAATACATGTGCAGCTCGGAGTGATGGGGCAAAACTCCTACCGCAGCAGCAACGACAGGATCTGGCTCACCCTTGACTCGCTATGCAGTCACCACAGACGAGACCGCCTCGCCTACCGCGTCTCCCACAATCTTGTTAAGCATCTTGGCAGTCATGAAGCTGAGCAGGACGACCTCGATGAACATGCCGTCGCCGGGCACATAGATCTCGAGCTGCTTGTCGCCGAACCCGCCCCCTGACCTGATCTTGGCCACCTTATTCCCCGACGCGTCGTACATGCCCAGGCCGGTCCCGGTCATGGGGTTTGGCTTGAGCTTCATCTTGCCCGTGACGGGCGACTCGAGGGTAATGCTGCCCGACATCTGGCTCATGCGCAGCGTAAAAGGCATCCCGCGGACGCGCATCTGCGACGTAGACGAGAAGGAGCTGAGCTTGCCCTCGCCGACCAAGTTTGCCGGGCTGGCCTCGCCGTAGTAGAGCGCCATGTTTGGCTTGGCGTGGGGCGCGCCGGTGAAGGTGTAGAGCGGCGGCGCCGTCGGGGGGTAGCCGGCTGGCCGGATGGAGGTGGCATTGATGGAGGAACCTCCGCGGGCGGAGCCGAGACTGAAGACGTGAGTCGGCCCCGATGGTGCTCCGCCGCCGCCGCCGCCGCCGAGGCCCCAGTTCGAGTCGTCTTTTAGTGACGACCCAGAGAGGAGTTGTGAGAAGACACCAGGCATGATGGCGTTGATGGCCCGGGTCAGTGACGGGCAGGGACTTGCGGACAAGGACTTGACGTGCTTCGCAATCGCAGGAGACGCAGACCAATGCAAATGAAGTCTGAGAGTCTAGCTCTTAGCTCAAGAACAGAAGATGACAGCGTTACGAGGGGAATGACGACTCTACACGCTACGGCTGACGAGAACCGGGCCGGGCCCCTTTAACTAAATGATTCGGCCGAGTGACGCTCTGCAATAGGATGCCTGCTGCTCAGCACAGCGATAGGAACGACACAGCAGTGCATTGCGATGACGTTTTGGCTTGCACGATGGGCATGCACCGGGCGCCGGTGGCTGACGGGCAGGGCGGTGGCATTGGACGAGTCTAATTTTGGGTACTTGTTTCTGGCCGGCATCGCCAACACGCGTATGTGGGCTGTTTAGAGATCTGCGCGAGCTGGCACCAAACGCGGCGGGTATACTCGTACTTTATCTGAATTGGGTGCTGGGCGGCGAAAGAGGGCAAAGCGATGTGGCGCAAGGATGCTGATAGACAGGCACAGGGCACGGGGAGCAAGTCGAGGTGGCGGTGATGCTTGCGGAGTTGCGAGGCACGTTCTGGGTTGCGGTTGGACAAGAGGGGGGGGCCACCAGCGAGAGTGACAACGTCCCGTCCACGGCCCGCGGAGCCGACAGACCATTGAAGGGACGGCGCTATGCCCGTTGGGGTGGGATGTGCCGCTGGGGGCGATTGTCTGATGTTAGCTCACGCCAGCTTGACGGATTTTAGTGCCTGCGAATGGGGCGAACGTTTGAACCTTGTTCGTGGTGGAGATGCAGTAGTTTACTGGGATGCTGGGGTAGGGGAGGGATTCTGCGTCCAGAGGAGTTGCGTGTGTTGTTCACTCGCACAACCGAAGCACGCTTCTGGATATATCTTGCGGGAGCCGCCACGCGCGTCCCAGGTTCAACCTGTGTACGGCCTCGAGACCGCCCGCGCCAGAGGCAACACGAGAGAGAGAGAGAGGCCGCGTCGCCCCAAGTCCCGCCGACGACGTGCCGCCGTCATCGACGATGATCGCAACGGCAGGGGGGAGGGGTAGAGGGGAGAACGGCTGAACGCTGCCGGCTACGAAGCGAGGCAGGGCTGCTGAGACGGCACGACGGCCGATCGTCAGTCCGTCCCGATGGCACCGCGTCGGCCTCGACCGAGAGAGGCCCCCGTGGGTCGGCAGTCAGTCACGTCCCCTTATACTCTGTATGCAGGTACTAGTTGTAATGTACATGGCCATCTAATGGCACATTGACAGGGCGCTCGCCCAGAAGCAGGAGCTTCAAGGGAACGCGAAACGAAGCTTCGAGGACGAGGACGCCCAACGAGGGACTCGAGCCATTGCAAGTGGACCTGACTCGCGAAACGCGTCCGAGGCAATGACGTGGTCGGCGCCATCATCAACACGCATCGCCCTGCCCCGGCCCAACATTGTACAATTGTACAACACAGCAGCAGCCCTTTCCCCCGGATCCCCCCGTCCATCGACCGACCAGCCCATCGACAGGCTGAGAGATAAAGTTGGCATCTCACCGCGGGCACCATCACAATCCCAGCAGGCTGACGGGGGGGCGAGGGGCCAAGCTTTCGGCCTAGAGAATAGTCTACAAACGGACCACCACCATCACCACAGCCCTACGGGAGAAGAAGAAGAGTCTCACCCCGGTGGAGCAGAGCAGAGCACCTTTGCTGGTGAATACGCGGGTGCGTGCCCCTTGTGGCAGACCTAGGTTGTCTGGGATGTCTTGTTAGCGGGATGGCGGGATGCCGCCACCGCATCAGCCCGAGGGATCGGCGCCGGACGGTTGGGGGGGGGGAGGCAAGGCTTGAGCCACCAGCCATGCCCATCCCTTCCATGTCGAACTTGCGTTTGGAGTTTGAATGGACAGCCGGATGGATGGCACAGCCGCCCGGAGCCCCGTCATCTTTAAACGGCCGCCACCGATTCGCCCTGTTGCCGGGCGGCTGTCACCTGGAACAAGCGCCGGCAGTGCTGGCAGCCCTCGGGGGTAGAGACTCATTTACAGCAAGAATGACGAGGGAACGAGAAGCCGTAATGCCTCATGCCATGGCCCATGTCAGGTCCAGCTCTTGGTACACGTACAGGCAAGGCCTCGCTAGCTGGCGGTGGCCGCCCGCGAACCCCCCCTTGCCGGCCTATGCTATCCTCCCATCCTCCCATCCTCCCATCCTCCACACACCCTGGTTCCGATCCCAGCCAGGGGGAGCCGTAGTGAAGGGCCGGACAGCACACGGGCGAGCCACTGAGGAGCACCCATGGCCACGACAGGACGAGACGCGTTTCCTCGTGCTTCATAGGGCAGATGAGCAGGCACACACGCTGCGTCCGAGCTTGATCGCGGTCCCGGGGGAGCGAGGGCCATGCTTGCCGAGCGGCTAATGGCGTTAAGGAGGGCCCTTTTCGCTGCCCATCTGCGATGCAACCTCGTGGCTGACGGACGCCTTGTTCACTGCCACGGGCGACGGGCGGATGGGTTGCTGATCCACGTTTCTCTTCAACCAATTGCTACCTTGATTGTACATTTACGCTCGATGCTCCAGCATACATATACAGGCAACACGTGCGTGAGAGAAACAGACAAGAACGAATCCTCCTCGGGCCCTCGGAATCGTGTACGACCCGTCTTTGACCTGGTGTGCAGTGCGTGCACTTGTTACCGACCTGCTGGCGCACATGCAAGTTGCGTCCTGTCCCTCCCCCCCCGGCGCTCTGTCAGGCGTCAACCCGCCATCACCACCACCCGCTATTTAAAGGCCCCCAAACAACGTCATCGCCTGTCTCTCGGGTCCGGCTCTCGTCGCAACACGCAAACACGCACCGCCGATCCGCGACCGACCGCTCTCACTCATCCTGCTGCTGCTGCATCGCATCGCACCTCATCGCAATCCTTCCACCGCCTCGGCTCAATTGTTTGATTCGGCCCCCTTTCGCTTCGTATCTCGCGACAGAAATACACGGCCAATCCCCCACCTCCAGCATAGGCGCCCGCGACATTCCCACTCGCGCACCAGCATAGCGATAGAGGGACCATCAATTGGGAGCTGTCGCTGCCAACTAACACCACAAGCGCGCGCGCCCTCCATCAAGCTCACCCTCGCGCTCGCGCGACGATGCCCGGCGTACCCTCGTACCGCGGGTGCGAAGCGTGCCGGAAGCAAAAGAAAAAGGCAAGTCCCGGCCAAGCATCTTCACCCATCGACGACGTCGTCTAACATACCCTCCCCCCTTCCGCAGTGCGACCAGGCAAAGCCCGCATGCTCCCGCTGCGCGCGCCTCAACCTCGCCTGCATCGGCTGCGGCCAGCAGCGCTTCAAGTTCAAGGACGAGACGCCCAACCTCAAGGCTGCCGACAAGCAGCTCTCGCGACGGACGCCCGCGGCGTCGAGAGCCGCCTTGGCCAGAGCCGCCTTCGACCCTTCGCGTGCCCTCACCAACCCCACCACCATCACCGCCAGCGCCTTCATCTCCGTTCTCGAGATCACGGACCCCAGCTACGACCTGTTCTGCTATGGCACCTTCATGAACGAGATCCCTCAGCAGCTGGGCCGCCATGAAGCGCTCGATGCCTCCGCCGAGGCCCTCGCAAGCTGCTTCAGCTGCGTCCACACGGGCACCGTCTCAACGTTGTCGATAAGCAAATACGTGCGAGCTCTCAACTCGGTGCAAAAATGCTTGCAGAACCCCAAGACCGCGTACTCGGGAGAGACGTTGTGTGCCATCTACCTCATTATGCTGGTCCAGGTGAGCCGCGACCATTCAGCCAGACGTGGACCAACCATCACTGACCATTTCTCAAGGGCTGGATCGGCAAAGACGACGACTCCTTTCCCCAACACGGACAGGCAATGGCTCATTTGCTTGGCGTCATCGTCAACCGTGACTTGCACGAGCCGCAAAATGCGGTTATGCTCATCACGCTGACCGTCTCGGTGGTGAGTGCTTGTCTTGCGCCGTTTAGAACGTCAACTGACAGACGAGCAGCTTCTTGAAAGCATATTTAATCCAGACATCCAGCTCGAGCCATGGCTGTCCACCCTCGCCGAGGTGCACAGGCCGACTGCTCCCGTACAAAATGTGGAGGGGGTGGTACTCACCTGTCTCGAGCTGCAGAACATGTCGCTCATGACCGAGATCCTCCGCCGCCCGATGCAGAACACCTCTCAAATGAAGACTCTCTATCAGATCGTCCGGCTAGATTTCCCTGGGCTGAAACGGCACCTCCTCGAGGTCATTGAACCAGCTTGCACCGGACCCCTCGAGAAGCTCCCCTTGGTGCTGGTCCGTCTGCAGACGCGGTACCAGGCGGCGTACTGCTTGCTGCTCTCCATGGGCATGACTCTCAACGGCATGCTGCGTGCCCTCAACCCCTACGACACCCTCCTGGGCGAGGAGATGGACGTCTACTGCGCCGAGATGCTGGACCTGGCCGAAAGGGCGAAGCGGCGACGACCGTTTGGGGCCAGCCACATCCCCCTAGGGTTGCTGTCCGCATGGGCCGCCATGGATGACGAGTCACAGCGGCCGGCCATCAAGAGCATGATTGCCGAATACGACACGGGATTTGGCTACGTCAACTGGCAGGCCAAGGCAGAGCTCCTGCGGCCCGCCTACGACACGGTGCGCAATCGTCTTGCCGCATCCAAACTCAGCTCGCCAGACCCAGGCGATATCTCGGACGATTCCGGCTGCGCGATGGAGGATATCAATCTCGGGATATCCTACAGCAAGGTCGACGACGTGTGCTGCATCTTGTAGGCCCCGGCGGCGGGGTTCTGGACCGAGCTTTTGGTCAATGGTTTTTTTTTCCAACGGTTATTTCTGGGCGACTTAGGGAACAGGACGAAAGATACCATGATTTTCCCCCCGTATCTATGCGGTGTTTGATGGATGGGGAATATAGACTACTTAGACGGCCTTTTTATGACTGACGGAGTAGCACGGTGGTTGAGCTGAAGTGGTGGCGTCTCACGTTGGCCATAGCCCGACACCTCGGGTTTAGATGCACTAGATGCCACTCGACGTCGCACGCGACGTCGCGCAATACTTTGCAGCTGAACAACACACACGTCGTACATTTATCCGTGACTAGCCGCGTGTTGCACTGCGGGGTTTCTATATAAGATATACAGCCTTTGGTCGCTGGCTCGGGTCCCTCCCTCAACTTGGCTCATCACCGTTGCAGGTACTGTTGGGCAGAAAATGCCTTTTGGGTTCAGACATCGGGCGCCCAGGCCGTCCGCCGGCGTGAATGCCGTCTACTATCCCTCGTGGAGGGCGTACAAAGATAAAACACCGGGGACACTGGATGCTGAGTCCATTACCCATGTATTCTATGCCTTCGTTGGGTGAGTCCCGTACCCGCGCATAATGTTGATCGAGCTCATAGACCGCTGACCGCCACTCGACAGTGTCTCGGAAGACGGGACCCTCAGGGTGCGTTGCTCCATCTGCTGAACAGCAAGAGTCCAGTATCTGGCTTACAGTAGCTACCGAATAGCTTCTTGACGAGTGGGCGGACCTGCAGAAGCCCACCGACGGGCAGCAGGGCTGTTTAGCCGCGCTCGCAGAGCTGAAGCGCAAGAACCCGCACATCAAGACCCTCGTGTCCGTGGGCGGCGCGAGCGCAAGCGCAGAGTTCCCGGCCCTCGCGGCGAGAGAGAAGTCGCGCCACACGTTTGCGAACCAGATCCGCGAGTTCTGTGACCGGCATAGCCTCGACGGCGTAGACGGTGCGTTTCTGAACTGATGTAGCTGCTGCTGCTGCTGTTCCGCGTGAACTGAGGCAAGCAAGCTTATGGTACTTACACTGACATGTGAAACTTATGGGCCAGTTGACTGGGAGCACCCAAAGTCGCACGACGAGGGACGGCACTTTGTGAAGCTCCTCCATTCTATCAGGCGGACGCTGCCCTCTCCCCAATACTTGGTCACCACCGCTCTGCCCGTGGGCGAGTATTGCCTGCGAAACATCGACCTCGCCGACGCCAGCCGCCACCTCGACTTCCTCAACCTCATGGCCTATGACTTCACCGGGCCATGGACCAAAGTATGCGGCCATCACGCGCAGTTGCGGGCGGACAGGGGCGGCAGCGGCAGCGCCGCAGGCCACCATCCGGACCTCACAGCGTCGGGCGCCCAAGGGGTCGAGTACGTCCTGTCGCGCCGGTTCCCCGCGCACAAGATCCTGCTGGGCATCCCCGTGTACGCGCGCTTCTTCCCGGCCGCGTCGCAGCAGGGGCAGCGGTTCGATTCCGGGGCGGCGGGCGAGACGGACTACTGCGACCTGCCGGAGGGGTGGATCGCGAGGGCGCACGTCGACGAGAGGAAGGGGACGGCGTCGCTGTTTGACGGCGGCGAGGGCGGCAAAGGGTTCGTCTCGTTTGACGTGCCGAAGACGGTGGCCGCGAAGGCGAGGTATGCCAGGGTTGTGGGCCTCGGGGGCGTCTTTTACTGGAACGGCGCGGGGGATATGTCGGGGGAGCTCAGCCTCATAAAGGCTGGCCACGGCGTGCTCGTAGAGCATTTGTGAGCTACAGTATGTAGTAATGTTGAGTGAATGAGAGTCGTCTCGAGTTTGTCGGTGAACGTGTCCACCATGTTAACGGAATGCAAGTACCAGACGGGTTGGATCCTCCCGGGGCTCCCTTCGGCCTGCGGCTGAGTTCGTGCAAGGCCGCTTTACATGCATCGAAGCGCCGTGAAATGCGGTTCGACTCGTCCATCTTAACAGCAAATGACTGGACAAGAGTGCAGCCCGAGGGCCGAGCGTGACCCCGACCTGCATCGTTTGCGAATGGGACAATTCCTCTCGCGACCTCGAGCTGTAGATCTTTTGGACTCGAATCATGGTCCAATCTCAACGACAATATCGGTTGTGTGCTAGACTGTGTTTATGCAGGATCTCGCGACACGTATAATCTTGTCCATATATTATTCACTCTCTGGCATGGATTCCATGGTTCTGTTGCTGGAAGAGCTCACCGTGCAGCACGATATGACGATGTACTGGCCACATAACGTTGTCCATCTCGACTGAGTGCCCAAGGAGATGCAAGTCAGGGCTCTAATGATGCGCACATGACCACTTGAAGGTTTACAGCACAGGCATTTACGTGAGTTGGCCAGTATCTTGGCATGCGATGGCACCTCATGATCCATTTGCATTGATTGCACCTACTGCGTTGAAGTAGGACTGGAACTCCTCGCGGAAGGCTTTTATATCACCTGGCGCTACTGTCAAATGATATGGTATAGCTGCTCAGAAAGATAAGTACGGTGCCTGTTTCCGCTCCATCGAGGGTCTAAGCCACTCTACACATCTGTTACGTTGAGCATACGACACCACCCGATCCGAAAGGTGAAACCTGATCAGCAACATGAGGTCAAGAATTTTACTCCTTGTGCCTTTCCTATGCTCCCCAGTTCGTACTCAACACCCCCACAAGATTGTTGCAATAGATGTATTGATGCCAGGAGTACATGTAGGGACTGGCCCTAGAGGCACCCCTTGAGGGGTACGAAGTCATCATTCCTGAGTGGGAGGTCGAGGTTTCGCCCGGAGGTCCCAACGCAACCCTCAGCGGTACTGTTGAACAGGTCCACGATGAGCTCGTCAGGCTGAACCCCCAATGGGATGCCATCTACCTAAACGATAGTCTCTCGACTCTGGAGAGACGAAACGTTTTCGGCTCGGACTCTGAATACTTTTGTCGTCTCCACTTGGGTCCTGCTCTTTTTACAGAGATCAAGAATGGCATCAGGTATCTAAGGGGCGTCAAGGGCCAACCGTCGAACGATCGAGGCTGGGGCCTCGGCCGCGACGCTTGTGGAAGAGTGAGCTGCTCTTGGAACTCGGCAATCTGGTGGTGCAACTCCGTAAGCTCCGGGCCCCCTGGTTCCCGAGTCAGAACATTAGAGGCGATGCTGACCCTTGGCGACGATCAAAGACCCCGTGGCGAAAGACGCTCAACTCTTTTGGCGAAATTGCCGACGGTGCTCAGATCCTAGTCGACCATTGCACTAAGAGGGAGTTCGAAGCGTCAATGACCCTCATCACGTCTGGCCAGGTGTTCCATAGAGATGGCTGGAGCGTCATAGTACGCGAGGACAAAGCGGACTGTTGAAGTCACAGGCCCTTGACTACTTGCCGCCAAGATGAAACATGAAGACTCGTACGCAAGGGTGGCAACTGTCGGGATGTACGGCCTGACGCATGTCAAGGGCTTTTCAATAGTAACATTGCTGTACAGTGCAATCAGCGTGCATGTAGCTGCGATGACTGACGACTCGGTCGAGCGCCGGTCTGTCTTCCATACGTGTAGATGCCGCAAACAATGTTGGAGCAGAGCATGATAAGCTTAACATTGTTGAAAGAGTGGCCGCGTTCAAGGTGACAACTTATACAATGCAGCTTTGCTGGACCAATACGAGGCATTACTGTCAGGGTCACGATGCCCCGTACATGTACGGAGGGGATCCTGGCTCGATGCGACGTGACGACTCGTGGCTGAAGTGACGGCAAGGCAACTCAGAAATTGAAAATGGGGATGGAGGAGACCAGGTGCATCGAAAGCCAGATAAAGAACACGCTAAAGCAAGACAAGGGTGCTTCTTCGTTGTGAGTTCCAGGCGGTATGCACGCCACAACCAGGCTGGCATTGACGATCATACGTCATTGCGCCCCAAGCCACGCACACACGATGAGCAGACCGGCTCCCTCTTTATGTATGAGGCTGGCCCAACGGTCGTAGATCTGGCTGTTGCGACTTTCAACAACGGCAAGAAAACACGACGACGAAGACAAAAAGAGAGCCATTGCAGCTTACCTTGTTCTATTGACGTGCTGGTAAGTCGCGGGCCTACGAGTACCGTATGAAGCTAGCACTTCGAGATGCCCAGCAGTGCACTGACGCTAACACCTCTACTCGCCAGCGATCAACCGGCACCACCTTCCGCAGTATTCACGAGGATCCTCCCAAAGACAAACCAAATACACACACAAAATGGGCCTGTTCTGGGCAAAGGGTATCGGCGGCCGTCACTTTGGCACCAGCGTCAACGTCGACAGGCATGGAGTCCGTCGCGGGCCCTGGAGGTTCTCGTTGGGCAAGTTTTCCTGTTTCAAGAGGCACTGAGCCGGGGACTGGGTTGTGAATGATTCAGTATTTTTTGTTCGCAGGAGAGCAGACGGCGCATCAGGAGGATTTTGATTTATTCGTTATACTGCATCTCAGTCTGTGCCATTCACTGGTTCCGGCAAAAGGATGCATTCCAAGATTGGAGTTCGATTGTCTAGCTGAGGTACCTGAAGGTGCAACGTCGATTACGACAGTGAGCAATTGGCCTGCCCCGCACTGTACCAGTTCCTAGTCTGGCGCGCCTCGCCCCGAAATGCAGGCGGGCCTGTGCCACCGTGCGTGCATCTCTCATCGTCAGCTTCGCCTTGTGAAAGCCAAACCGCAGAACACGGCACATTCAGCCGCGTGCCGAATCTCTCTGCCCTATGCCTTTATGCGCGCGGCTGGGCCGGTCTCTTACAGGGCTCTAGCGCCATGGCGGTCCTCGCCTTCACCCTGAGCGAGGACGGCATCACCGCCTTTCGCGACGCCCTCATCTGCCTCAACAAGTTCAGCGACGACGTGTCCCTTGAGGCGCGCAAAGACTCTGTAGGCCCACAGATCACCTCGGCGTATCAAGTCACGCATAGAGCTCACTGCTAATATGCCCTCGCCCGCAGTTTGTCCTCACCACGCTCAACAGCTCCAAGTCTGCCTACGCGAGCTTCAAGTTCGCGACCAACAAGTTCTTCTCCCGCTACCACTACCAGGCCAGCGGCCAGTTTCGCGAGAGGTTCTACTGCAGTCTCTACATACGCGTAAGTGGAATCGGCCTGGGCGCGTAACGCTCGTAAGCTTCCCACGGCGTTGCTGAGCAGATTGTAGGCCCTCATCTCGCTCTTCAGGAGCCGCTCCGCCACGGACACGCAGAGGGATGTCGAGAAGCAGACGCTCATTGAGCGGTGCGACGTTGCCATTGAGGATGGAGAAGGCGTCAAGAGCCGCTTTATTGCGCGCATCGTCTTCCGGAACGGCTTAACGTCTACCCATCGGCTGCCGTTCGAGGTCGCTGTGCCCGTGCATGCCAAGTTCAACAGGCAGGACTCTCCCCAGCACTGGACCATTTCCTCGCGCACTCTGCGCCAGTTGATGGATCATTTCGGCCCGGGCATTGAGTATCTCGATATCAATACAGACGGCGACCACGTCAACTTTACTTGTTTCAGCGAAAAGACGGTCAGCGAAGATGGTATGTTAACGATGCCGCGACTGACGCATGTCTTCGCTCAGTACGCAAAACTAATGGCTGGTGGTAGCTGTATTGAAGAAGCCCCTGCAGACATCCATCGCCGTCGAGGTGGATGAGTTTGACGATATTGAAGTAGAAGATAAGCTTCACATTGTCATTTCCGTCAAGGACTTCCGCGCCATCATCCAGCACGCCGGCATCACAGGCAACGCTCTCTCCGCCCGCTATTCGCTGCCATCGCGGCCCATTCAACTATTCTACTCTAGCGACGCCATCTCGTGCGAGTTTCTCATCATGACTGTCGGCGAGCGTGGGAGCAATCCCGCTCAAAAGACGAAGAAGGGACGCAAGGCTGCCGCTCAGCCTGCAGGGCCTCGCTTGGAAGCCGCATCTCGTAGGACCAGTGTCGCTCCATCCGAGGCACCGCAACAGCCGCAACCGCAGCCAGCGGCCCACCCGATGCCCTCAGGACCACTCCGACCTCAAGTCCCCAACCCAACTCCGCACCTCAGCGCTGCTAGAGCCAGCGCATCGCGGATAGGGGCGTTCGACTTGCGGCCGTCACAGAAGCCGCCTCCCCCAACATTGCGCTCAGAGAGCTTGTTTGTGGATGACGATGGGTGGGAGCCGGTTAGAGACGAAGAGGACGACGGCGAAGAAGACGCAAGATTGGAGTGGGATCATAGTGCTGACCCTGTAAGCTGTTCTCCGTTTCCGGGTTTGGGTGTCGCCTTGCTGACATGACAGAACCCTTCTACGATGCATATGAGCCGTGTGGAAGAGAGGCCAGCCACCATAGAGGAGCAGGCAGAGCCGTCGGAAAGCCAGTCGACGTTTCTGGAACCGACGCAGAAACTGTCAGATGTCAAGAGCCTGGCACTGTTTCCCGACTGAAGGGTCCCGTCGATGGTACAATGGTGTGCGTGCTGGTCTGATGTTCAGTCGCTGGTGATGCAGACCCAGCTTGTGGCACAACCAGCACCGATGCTGTCGATTTGACAGCCAGGAGGTATGAATTTGGTTGAAGCGATGACGTTCCAGCGGCCCTTGACGTCGTTGTTTTCAACCTGGGGGCCGCAGTTCCCGTGCTCGCCCCAGCCCCAGGCCAAAACATCGCCGGACCTAGAGAGGGCGACAACATGTTCGCTGCCAATGGCGATCTTCTTGAGAGGCGGGAGACCCGGGGGTGGAAGCTGGCCGTGGTCGTCCCGACCCCAGCCAAGCAGGGAGCCATCTTCTTGCAGAATGTAAAAGTTGCCCCAGCTAGCCCCAATGTCGGTCCAGGCGGGTACTGCCGCGGGAGCTTTAGAAGACAGCTCCCACTTGTTGGAGCCCATAACGCGCATGTCTCCGCTCTTGGGGTCGCCGAAGAAACACGTTGATTCCTTGGCGCAAACAACGCGTGAGACCTGGAACCCGATGCCATCAATCTTTCGAGGTGAAAAGACGACGGCGCCAGGATCTCCGATCTGGGTCTTGCGACAATTACCCCACCCGTAGGCATCCCCGTTGTTGAGCACCGCAACAACGTGTCCCATGCCAGCGGCCAAGTCGATGATCTCTGTCCCCGGTGGCGGAAAGTCGGCGATGAGCGTGGCTGTCGGGGTCCGTACAATGAGCTCGCCGGACCCCAGCTCGCCTTTCGTGCCCGCGCCGAAACTGAACAGCCTCGTGCCCTTGTTGTGCTCATCCCTGGCAACGACAAAGGACGCCTCCCACGTGGCAGCTATCAAGTCGACATGGCCAACACGTTGTCCGCCCTCCCTCGCGAGCTCAGCCTCTCGGAAGACATTAGACCCTGGCCCGGACGCCAGGCCGCATGCCCCGCTTGTCGAGTCGCCGCTCCAGAACAGCTGACCCGACTTCGTGAGGAGGAGAGTGTGGTTCCCGCCGGCGGCAACCTTGACAATGGGAGAACTTGGCGGATCTGGCTGGAAGAGAACTTGTTTGGGCACAGAAACGTCCTCTTGATGGCCGATTCCCAGCTGGCCCGAGCCGTTCGAGCCTATGGCAAAAATGGCGTCCATTCCCAGAAGCTCGCTTGGGATACAAGTCGCTATCGAGCGAGGAATCAGGTCTGACAGGAAACCGAGGGTGAGGTCGATGCTCGGAGCTCGGAGCTCACATCGCGCAGCTTGTTAGTCGGCGTGGACCTCTGTCTTGGGCTCCGCCAGGTCAGGCCCACAGTGAGACAACATTATGTAAGCGTTCAATAAAAATTCCACCTCACCTCTGCCAGCCCTCAACTTTTTTCTTTCCACCATTCTCTCCCAGACAAAACCCGCCAGAGTCGTCCGCAAAGCTCGGTTTCGCCTGCACCTCCGCCGCTGGAGCCAGTCGAGTATCGAAGGACGAGCCTGGCGTCCAGGATGTGAGCCTTTGACCTCTGCTTCTGCTCCATTCAAGCAGCAGACACAATGGCATCTTCCGCTTCTTCCACGCCGCCGCCTGCCATCCCCGCGGGGATGGAGAACTTTGTGGTCGGACTGATTGGCATGGGCGACATGGGCAGGATGTATGCCGAGAGGCTATCTGCCGCTGGCTGGAGGTGAGTTTTGATGCTGTGATTTCACATCACCGCTTCCAGCCCCTGTTCGATTGGTAAGTTGCTTCTACAAGTCCTGTCCTGTCCTCTTATTATGATGACTAGAGCGCATTTGGCTCGAGTATTGTCCGGGGCAGTCTGGGGTCCGTTCCGGCTCCCAGATGCCGCCCCGTGGCTTTCGTTGATGAACACGCTTGCTACCTTAACACACATTTGTCTGAATTCCTCACATCAAACACTATTTTTTGCACATTCAGCATGGACGAACTCAACGCTGACAAGCACACAAGACAGGACAGCCAATAACGCGTAATTGCCCGTAATAGAATCCTGGCCTGCGACAGGGAAGATAGTTACGATAGTCTGAAAGAGAAATATGCTGGAAAAGTACGACCTTGCGTCCTTGTTGCCTGTTGTTGCCGTTGTTTGTTGCTGCCGCAAGACATCTACTCGGATGCTGAAGCCATGTGCGGTAGGAGAACATTGAGATCTGCCGCAACGGGCATTTCGTATCACGCGCCAGCGACTACATTATCTACAGCGTCGAAGCCGCCGTCATCGACCGTGTGATTGCGCAGTATGGCCCATGTGAGCACACCCCGAAGGCCGTTGCGGGCGCGGCGAGGATCGTCGCGTGGGGCGGGCAGGCAGTACAGGTGGCTAACATGACATATCACAGCAACCAAGATGGGCGCCATCGTTGGCGGCCAGACGTCCTGCAAGTCACCCGAGATTGCAGCCTTTGAGGCGTACCTGCCGCAGGACGTGTCCATCGTCTCGTGCCACTCGCTGCACGGGCCCGGAGTCGATCCCCACAATCAACCGCTGGTGCTCATCCAGCACAGGGCGCCGGACGCGGCGCTGCACAAGGTGGAGGCGGTGCTGGGCTGCCTGCGGTCCAAGTTTGTGTACCTGACGGCGCTTGAGCACGACCGCATCACGGCGGACACGCAGGCGGTGACGCACGCGGCGTTCCTGTCCATGGGCAAGGCGTGGCACGCGAACCGGCAGTTCCCGTGGGAGCTGAGCCGGTACGTCGGGGGCATCGAGAACGTCAAGGTCAACATCATGCTGCGCATCTACAGCCAGAAGTGGCACGTGTACGCGGGGCTGGCGATCCTCAACCCGGAGGCGCGCAAGCAGGTGGCGCAGTACGCGACGAGCGTGACGGCGCTGTACAAGCTGATGCTGGAGGGCAACCTCGAGGGCCTGCGGGAGCGCATGTACCGGGCGCGGGACCGGGTGTTCGGGGCGTCGGTGACGTGGGACTCGCGGCCGCTCATCGAGCCGTCGATCCTGTCGTCGTTTTCGCTGGGGACGCCGACGGACGCGCCGCCGCGGCCCAACAACCACCTGTCGCTGCTGGCCATGGTGGACTGCTGGTCGGAGCTGGGCATCGTGCCGTACGAGCACATGCTGTGCAGCACGCCGCTGTTCCGGCTGCGGCTGGGCGTGACGGAGCACCTGTTCCGCAACGCGGCGCTGCTGGACGAGGCGCTGGTGACGGCCGTCGAGGATAAGACGTACCGCAGCGACGACCTCGAGTTTACGTTTGCGGCGCGGGGGTGGGCCGAGTGCGTGACGCTGGGCCACTTTGAGACTTGGGAGAAGCGCTTCGTGAGCACGCAGGAGTTTTTCGAGCCGCGCTTCGCCGAGGCCAAGGTGGTGGGCGACCAGATGATGAAGAAGGTGCTCGAGGGGGCGAGGGAAGGGGGTGGTGGTGGTGGATAGAGATTGTTTTGCCTCCTCAGTGCGAGCCTTGCTGCAAGTATAAACTAGCCTAATTTGATGATTCGATTGCATCTGTCGTTGAGGCAAATGACGATGCTTGATTGCCTGCATCGATACGTATCAACCAAGTAGTTGGAGAGTTGGACGGAGTGCCTCATGGACGTGTCGTCACTCGCCGTCCACCATCACCACCACCCTTCGCATCCCCACCCTGATGGAGACGGGAGCTGCGACTTTTTGCACACGACACGGGCAGACGGGACGGAGTCGAGGAAGCGGAATTGCCGTCGGCCGCCCCCGGCAGACGCTGGAGGGCTCCGTTGCTCTGGAGAAGACGGGGCCTCGGGCGCAAACAGGCACGGGGCCAATCAGGAGCTCGGGGCCGGCGCCTTGGGAGGGGCGGCGCCCACCCCCTTGGTCCCCGCAACAATAGCTCCCCACCGCGCGCTGCAGTTGGCGAGCAGGCGCGGTGGCAGGGCCCGGTTGGCCGTGTTGTGGACGGAGTCGCAAGTCCCCGACGACTCGAGGCGAGGCGAGGCGAGGCGAGGCGGGCGGGTCGTGGATGAATTGGATGAATGTCCGCATGTTTTGGGGTTGCTGCGTACGTGTATTGTCGTCGCAGACGGCCGGCTGCTACTTCGCATGACCTGCTAACGCAGGTAGCGCGAGCTGGTAGGTAGGTACCTTAGGTACCCTGCCTGCCTCGCTGAGCCAGTTTACCCCAATTGATGCTGGTGCTGGCAACCAGGCCAGGTCCTGCCTGTATCTGAGCCGCGGCGTGGCGCATCCCCCAGTGCTGCCTCCCACCCAAAGAATACTCATACAGCCCCGGGCCGGCCCAACTTGCCTGCTTGAGGTTCCTTCCCCATCCCGTTGTCGCTCGCCGTTTCCTTGCTAGCCATCCCCCTCAACTCCATCTCTGCATCTTTCCCGTCTCTTCCTCCTCCTTACACAACCTCTCGGGTCACGGTTCGACGTGCACATTATCCTAGTAAAGGTGAGCAGCTGCGTCCCCCGTTCTTGTCCCCTGTAGCGCAGTGGCGCCCGTCGCGTGCAGGTTGGGCCGCCGCGACACACTGGCCGCTGTCCTTGGTCCGCCGTGCCCCAGCATCAGCATCAGCATCAGCATCAGCATCAGCGACAGCTCCAGCACTTCCAGGATGACGCTCGATTGCGGGTGCCTCGGCCGCGTCGCGCCAGCAGCCTCAGCGCCGTTCCAATCACTGCAGATGTTCCTGGCTGAGCATCTAATGGAAGACCACTGAGCTGCCGGCTTCGCTCGGGCAGTTCCACCAACACGCTACGCCACGCTCTGCTCGTTGCGGCGGCGGCGTCGGCTTGCGGGTGCGTGTCTGGCCAGGGTCCCGTCCCGAGGTGTAAACAAATCCATTGGCTGCACGCCCGCCGCGCTCTTTGCTGCTCGACTGCCTGCCAGCCTTCTGCTCAGGACAGCCTCAACGCCCGACCGTCGTCTGCAACCCGATTGACAGCTCGCGCATTTACTTTTCGTCCCCGCTTCATTGTTCCATTCCGCTGACCCTGCGCCCCGTCGCCGGCCCGGCTGTCTAGGATCTAGCATTCCTCAACCCCCTCCTCTCCCGAAAGCCACTCCGGTTTTCCTCCGCCGCCGACCGTTTGACGACGCTCGCCCGGAGCCCGCGCCGCCTCAACAAACCCCAGCCCTCAATCGAAGCAGCGACGCCCCCGTCACCGCCGCCATCATGTCGGTCAAGTTCGAGCGGGACACGTTCAAGCAGACGGCGCAGAACGCCATGTCGAGCGCCGTCCCCGAGAATGGTCGCATTCCCGGCACCAGCGGCAAGCACCCCGTCGCTGAGAAGGTCGGCACCGCCCTCACCGGCGGCATCCAGAATGCCGGCACCAAGGGCTACCTGGCGGTATGTTGCCTCTACTCTATCCTCGCCACGGCTTTCCATACTCCTGCGCTTGCGCGCACGCGTCGCAAAACCCCGCTGACGTCCGTCGTCGACAGGCCTACATTAAGCAGCTCGAGTCGAATCCTCTGCGCACAAAGATGCTCACGGCCGGCTCCCTCGCCGGTGCCCAGGAGCTCCTCGCCTCGTGGCTCGCCAAGGACCGCAACAAGCACGGCCACTACTTCACGTCGCGCGTTCCCAAGATGGCCGCTTACGGCGCCCTCGTTAGCGCTCCCATCGGCCACGTCCTCATCTGGGCCCTACAGAAGGTCTTCAAGGGTCGCACCAGTCTCAAGGCCAAGATTCTGCAGATTCTTGCCAGCAACCTGATTGTACGTACATGACGCGGCGTCCACGTCTCAAGTCGCATGCGACTAACGTGCCGTTCTTCCCCTTGCCCAGATTGCGCCCATCCAAAACAGCATCTACCTCGTCGCCATGGCCCTCATCGCCGGCGCGCGCACGTACCACCAGGTCCGCGCCACCGTCAAGGTCGGCTTCTGGAGAGTCATGAAGGTTTCGTGGCTCACCTCCCCCATCTGCCTGGCCTTTGCCCAGAAGTTCCTCCCCGACCAGCTCTGGGTGCCCTTCTTCAACATTGTCGGTTTCATCATCGGCACCTACATCAACACCACCACCAAGAAGAAGCGCCTCGCAGCCCTGCGCCGCAAGCACTTCGGCGACGGCCGCCCCAGCAACATGGGTGGCCGACCCGAGGACTACCCCCCGCCCCCCATGGGCTCCAACCCCCCGTACTAGACGCGACCAGCGAGTCGCGCGCATAGGACAAGATTACTCTGCCTGGACAAAGCCGTTACCCTCGCGCGACATGACGGTGCATCTGGATTGGACCATGGAGCTTTTGCGGAGATTTGCCTTGGCGATCTTTGCACTTGGCCAAGAACATAATGACAAGATATGGTCGAGAGCCGCTGGGAGTCGAGGTCTGTGTAGAAGGGAAGAATAAGAGGGTGGTGGAAGTTATGTTAACGATGCCTGCACGGACACGGGAGGGAACGCCATGTACAAACCCCTTTGGCTCGGATATGCTGTTATTTTGATATCTAGTTATGTGATGTTCCTCGACTTAGAAGGTGTCTTCTTATCTAGAAACTATCTAGAGTGCTCATGGTCCGGTTTGCAGTGCTAGGTAGAGGTGCATGACGGACCAGGTGTCACCGCTGCATAGCCTTGTGTCTTGCCTTGATACGCGTATATCAGCGCTCTGGTAAACCAAGGCCGGGTCCCCGGGGCCGTGTCGCGAGAAAGGATTATTGGGTATCATGTATCATGCTGTGCGTCTGGTCGTCGACTCGTATCGTTCAATCTCTTGTTCGCCAAATGCCCCCACGCATCGTCTCACCCATCTCCAGCGACCACAGCAGCAGCAGAAGTAGCACCACCGTCAAACGCATCATCGCCGGCGATCGGGGCATCGAGCATGAAGCTGGGGCTCCAGTACTCCCACTCGCCGCCCGTCTGCTTGTCGACCCAGAGCATGCCCTCTGCGACGAGGTCGTCGATGACGGTGCGGCAGCGGGCGCCCTCCCAGGCGAGGTTGTCGTGCAGCATACTCACGCTCACGTAGCCAAGGACCTGGGCGGCCTCGAGCGCGGCGGCCTGGTCGTTGCTCAGCTCGCGCGGCACGCTGCGGATGTACTCCTTGCGCCCGACGCGCACGATGCCGTAGCTGCCGCCCAGGGGCTTGAGCGTCTCGACGGCCCGCCGCACGTCGTCTTCGGATATGCCGCCGTTGTCGCTGCTGCCATCGCCGCCCGACGACGACGCAGCCGCAGACGCAGCGGAGAGCCGCTCGCGCACCTCGCGCAGGCCGATGAGCCCGCCGTTCTCGCCCCTCGTCGCGCCGCACACCTCCACCACCCGGACCGCGAGCTCAAAGTAAAAGTCGTTGACCGTCTTGCCCAGCAGCTGCGCCCAGATCGACGACGCGCCGCCGCCTCCCCCACCACCTGAACCAGAACCGGAACTCGTGGCGAGGGGATCCACGCCAATGGCGGTGCACATGCGCGCAAACTGCGCGCGGAACGACGGGTCGGAGCGAATGTCCTTGGCGTGCGTCTGCGCGAACTGCTGCAGCAGCGAGCGGAAGACGGAGAGCTGCGTCTCGAGCGCCTGGGCGTTGGTGGCGCGCAGCGAGGAGCCGTGCGAGGCGTAGTGCGCCGACGTGACGCGCGAGCGGTCGAAGGCGCCGATGCCCACGCCCTTGCGCGACATGGCGGGCGGGTGGGTAGGCGGCTCGGCGTGGGAGGAGTGTGTATGCTCTCGTGTGTATGTAGTCTCGGTAGATGCGAGTTGTTGAAGGTGGCATGCGTGTCGTGGGTGGTGGAGGTGGGATGAAGGGGGACAGACAGGAGGGGTCGTCCGTCAGTGACGTTGGTGCGCCGGTGGGGCGGACGCTGGCAAGGTCGCCGCTGCGACTTACACTTCCAGGTTTGCAACAACCTATGTTTTGCAGTTGGTTTATTATCCGTCTTTCCAGTGGCTCCTCAACTGTTATGTACGCTCACGCGGTTTTGCCTGCCCTTCACAGCTTCCAGCATTGGTAGCGAGGGTCATCGAATGGGCAGCTTCTTCAGATCATGGTGCGTGATGTTTGTAAGATGTCTTTTGACTTCCAGAAACATTTCGTCTCGGCTATGGAACCAAACAAAATAGCGACTAGCTGGCATTTTTGGGACAAAACCTCCGCCGGATGCAGCTATCCCAGCTCCCCAATCTCGGGGCCAGAGCATCTACCAAGGGCTGGTAGTTGCTTGACCACGACATCGTCGTAACCGACACTAAACTGTTCAAATGACAGGCCAAACGACAAACGTCGCGGAAATGCTGAAATAGCAACTCCCACCTCTGCAGCACGCATCCGTCGTCGATCCGCCTCAGAAGCGATCCTCCCACAGAAGATGGTGTACGACGGTGCATCGTCGTCGGGCAAGAGGCAATCACAGACGGCGTCGCTGACAAACTGAGACGTGTCGCCTTTCACTGACTTGAACGGCTCTATAAACCCACGATACGCATCCAATGAGTCGAGACTTGACTGCTTTAGGAACGTCTCGATACTTTCTGCCTCGGTGGCCCCAGCTAGTGTCTCTGTGTGTCCCCAGTCCAGACTAGGAATTCCCGAAAGACGTTGGGCAGGATATGATAGCCATCGTCAGGTTAAGGCTTTCGTCCGAGTTGTGATTGAGGGCCGAAGCGTCGTTCAGTGTGGGCAGCAACTTGTGGAGCGTCTTGATATGGCCATCTCGGATTTGATCCAGTGCTTCCCGCATGACAACGACATGATGGTCTCTTGAGATGGTCAAGCTCCGTCAGAGAGGTTTCACGGCACTCGAGGACGATTCATCAGTCTTCCTTAACAAAACGTAGAGTTCTCGCAATAGATGTTCTAGGACCGGCAAAGGCCCCCAATGCGACAATGCACCCAAGAGTAGCCTCCGTCGTCGTCACGCTTCGGTGCAACAGCAAGGTCACCATCTCCGCTGTCCCAGCCCGCAAACAATGCTCTCTCGTTGCCATTCCCTGGCGCCTCGCCGCTTTTGTCCCAGCCCATGCATGGCTCTATCCCGCAGTCGTTATCAGTCGTAAACCAGAAAGAAGAGTAGCGTATCTTTGTGTCCATGCCTTATGTCCACGGCTCTCATTCCGCCTTCTAATCGCTCTATAACAACACATGTCCCCGCTTGCCCGGAATGGAGACGTTCCGCTTTACTGCGTCTGGCACTGAGGCTGTCCGTCTTCCATGTCGTCGTCCTCCCACTCGCTGGCAAACCGGGGGTCGTTTGAGTTCTCGCCCATCTAGCGCAACCCGTTAGTAAGAGCACCCTCTACCGTCAGGGGAGTCTGGGTACTTGCCTTTTCGATATCGGCGCCGTCTTCATACTCAACCTCGTCGACCTCCTCGGCCTCTATCGGGGCCGGAGGAGGCGGCAGCATCTTTTGCAGCGCCTCGTAGGCTGCATCATCCTTCAACCAGCCGTCCTCGGGGAACTGAATCTTCACCAGCAAGTAGAGATCGCCCTTGACCTCGCCACGCTTCATGGGCATGCCCTCTCCCTCAATCTTCAGGCACTCGCCCGGTCGCAAGATGCTGCCACGCGGCCGCTCGATCAAGATGCCGCGCCCGTCAAGGTGCTTCAGCACAACGCGCGAGAAGCCCGTCAGCGACTCGGCCAACGTAATGTTGAGCTCGGCGGAGAGGTCGTTGCCGAGGCGCGAGAATGTGTCGTGCTCCTCCTCGACGAGGGTGAAGACAATGTCTCCGGGTATCTGATCGGGGTACTGGTCGGCCTCACCCTCCAGCACGATGCGCTCGCCCTGCATGGAGCCGCGCGGGATGTAGATTTCGAGCACCTTCTTCTCCTGGACGGTGCGCTTGCCCTTGCACTTCTTGCAGCGGTCCTTTTCCTTGTAGAAGTTGCCGGATCCTTGGCAGTGGTCGCACAGGACCGTCTCGCGCCTCATCATACCCGGGCCGATCTGGCGGATGGCCTCGACCATGCCGTTGCCCTTGCAGCGCTCGCACGAGGTGGGCTTGGCCTTTTCCTTGCCACCTGAGCCCTTGCACTGGCCGCACACGACCTGCTTGTTGGCGGCAAACTTGACAGTCTTGCCCTTATAGAGCTCCTCCAGCGTCACCTTGTACTCCTGCTCCTCGTCAGGACCTCTTCGCGGACGCCGGGGACCGCCCGGTCCGCCAGGACCACCCATGTTAAAGCCAAACATTTGCGAGAGGATATCGTTGAGGTCGACCTCGGGGCCGCCGGGGCCGCCTCGCGAGCCGTCGAATGCGGCCATGCCGTGGGCATCGTACAGGTGGCGCTTCTGGTCATCGCTGAGGATCTCGTAGGCTTGTGTGATCTCTTTGAACTTGACTTCAGACTCGGCTCGCTGCTCCTCGGGGACCTTGTCGGGGTGGTACTTCAGGGCAGCCTGCTTGGGGGTCAGAGACGAGACCAGCAGCTTGTGGGAGGGGGAACGCGGCGAACCTTGCGATAGGCCTTCTTGATCTGGTCTCCAGAGGCATCCCGCTCGATGGAGAGGAGCTCTGCGTCGCACGGTCAGCTTGCAGGGCGCAACGTAGATGTGTAGATCTGCACCTACCGTAGAGATCAATCTCTGCCTCCATGATTGCGGCGGCAGCTGGGCAACGACGGGGTTCGTCGTCGAGAGGTGATGATGATTAGAAATGGGCGTTTGCAGAGAAATCTCTTTGGCGTAGGTTCGGCCTGGCGCGGGGTTGTCGAGTAGCGTGTGATGGGCGGAACCGACCTCGACAGGGGGGGGTGGAATTCGACAGAGAACAGAGGGCTATTATGTACCGCAAGAGGGCACTGGGGCCGAAGACTATCGTGAGAAAGATAGATGATGCTTTTTGTTTGCCGCAGGGATTGCCGGGCGAGCCAGTCACGGAAAGTCGTTGCCAAATCTCTGCAGCGAAAAAAAGTTGGGTCTATGGCGTTTGACGGCGGCGGTCGGTCACTAAACCTCGCCAAGTTGCAGTACAGTCGGGGTACCGGACTAGCGGCGCTGCGCCCTGGACAGAGGCGGCAAACGTCGAGATTGTTTGCGAGAACGAGTTGAGTGAGCACCCGTCTTTAATAAGGGCCCTGGTTGCTTGTTTCCTGCGTCATCATCACATATACCGTGCGATGCCAAACGACGGACGATGATGACCTCTGGATTCTCCCCGCATTCACTGACGTTCCACCCGCTGACGACACCAGCGACTGCTGCCTCCTCCCACCTGCTCCAGGCCAGGTCCCAAAGTCTCTTATCGCGCGATAACAGCCCTGCAACTCCCAGGCACAAAGTACCTGCAAGTACTGGCGTGCTGCTCCACAGCGTCAGCAGCGACTCCCGAGTCATCCATCAGCGGGCCAACGACAGCGCCCGCGATATAAGCCAAGAACGCGCCGCCACATGTGGCGCAAACGCCCCTGGGACGCGCCTCAAAATTCGCTTTACACAACGAACATCTCCCGAACTCACGTACACTATTTCCGACCTCATCGATTGATACCCCTTGCTTTATTTCACGCCATGATAGCTGTACCGTAACCACCCGTCGCGCCCATGTTCATCACGCGCGGCTCATCTCGCCTGGCGAGGCCGTACATCTGCCCAAGATGCAGCTCAAAAACTGCACTTGCAAGGCTGAGCCACGGCCTCGGCCGCCAGCCACCTCGGGCTGCCTATCCTGGCCTACGGACTCATGTAACCAGCGTCGCCGGAGTGGACAGCAAAGCGAAGACTCAAGCTGGCGCGTCAGCTACGACACCCGGCATTGGGCCTGGCCTCAAGGGCCTGAGAAACAAGAACAAGGCTCTGAAGAAGAGCTCCTCTCACGGTCCATCCGCGCGCACCATCTTCGGCCAGAGCTCCGATCTTCCCATCCGCGCGAGGTTCGCGCCGTCTCCCACGGGATATCTCCACCTGGGCTCCTTGAGGACAGCTCTCTTCAACAACCTTGCGTCGAGCGCGTCCAAGGGCGGCGCTTTCATTCTCAGGATCGAGGACACGGATCAGGTACTTGACGCCCGCCAGCCAACCTTTAGAGGCGTGGAGGCTGACTAGTATTCCAGAGCCGTCTCGTAGCGGATGCGGAAGAACGCCTCATCAAAGATCTCGAGTGGGCAGGACTCTCCTGGGATGAGGGGCCCGACCGAGGCGGACCGTACGGTCCTTACAGACAGGTGTGTTCCGGCCTCTCACAAACTCCTCGCCAACGCAGACAAGGATTCCTGACCCGCCTCAGTCTGAGCGCCTGGACATTTACAAGGACCACGTTCAGCAACTGGTAGACCACGGCCATGCATACCGCTGCTTTTGCACCTCTGAGCAGCTCGAGGCCCAAAAGCGCGAGCTCCACGACCAGGGCAAGCCGACCGTCTACCCCGGCACTTGTCGCTCCGTCGACTCATCCGAGTCTGACCGGCGCGCCGCGGACGGAGAGCCGCACGTGGTGCGCTTCAAAAGCGACACCTTTGGGCGGCCCAAGTTCCGCGACGCCATCTACGGCACCTTCCAGAAAAAGGACCAGGAAGAGGACTTTATCCTCCTCAAGACGGACGGCTTCCCCACGTACCACCTGGCCAACGTCGTAGACGACCACTTGATGAAGATAACCCACGTCATCAGAGGCGAGGTACGAAAGGCTCATTGAACCCTCGGCGATGCGGGACAAAGCTGACCCCCATCATAGGAGTGGCTCATCTCGACGCCCAAGCATCTGGCTCTCTACGAGGCATTCGGCTGGCAGCCTCCGACATTCGCGCATCTCGCCCTCCTCGTCAACCCGGACGGGAGCAAGCTGAGCAAGCGCAACGACAGCGTCAACATCTCCAAGTACCAGAACGAGGGCGTGTTCCCCATGGCCCTCCTCGCCTGGCTCGCCAACCTCGGCTCCTCGTTCAAGTCGGGCGCCAAGACGCCGCGCACCGTCGCCGACGTGGCCGACGCTGTAAGTGCCCCTTCCAACGGCCAGGGCCTTTGATGGCTCTCCTAACTTTGTACACATGGCCAAACTGACTGATGGCGCTTCCTCCTCCAGTTGACATTCAAGTTCACCCGTGGCGGCATCAAGCTGAATCTCGAAAAGCTGGAGTACTTCCACAACAAGTACCGCGACGCGCTCCTCGCGGACCCGATCCCGGAACTAGCCGAGCAGGAAGCCAGGCTCATCGACCACCACTTGGTGCAGCCCATGTTGCGACAACTCGAGGCCATCACCACCGGGAGCGGCAAGGACCCGAGCGCTCTCCCTCATGGCTGGGAGGCCCCCCTCCAACTCGTACCAGCCTTGACGTCTGACGAGCCAACAAAAGCCGCCTACCTCCAGCGAGTCCTCGCCAGCAGACAGGGCGGCTACCAGTCCCCCAGCAGCCTCATCCAGCAACACCCGTACCTCTTCTGGCGCGTGCCCTTGCAACGATACGAGGCATCCCTATCCACCGCCCCGTCCCCAGACCAACGCATCTTGGACGCGCTCGACCGGGCCATCGACGACGAGACCGTCTGGCACGGCGACGGCGTCCAGGTCATGAAGTGTATACTCGACACGCTGCAGGGCGAGGGAATCGACCAGGTCGTCGTGCACAACGCCCTGAGGCTCGTCGGCGCAGGCGGCCAAGACGTGGTGTCGCAGAGCAGCTCGAGGATGTTTATGCTGCTGGGGAGGGACGAGTGGCGGCATCGGCTGGGCGCCTTGCGTTCTCTGATTATGGAACGGCGGTAGCGGGATGTGCTCCTATCGGCTCCATATACCCCATGTACTATAGAATCTCTCAGAGGTGAGTTGCCTGTAAGATATGCCGCCTACAGAGTTGTCTACTTGAGCAAAGCGGCGTTCGCCTAATCTAGCCTAATATGATACATGTATATCAAGGACAAGAAACACTGGGAAAGCAATCATAACGGAAAATGAATCAGGCGGACAGTGTCAATACGCTAAGCCGTCATGAACTACCCCATCCATATATGCGGGCTGAATATGGCCATGCCTTGAAACAGTATCCAAATCAAACCGCCTGGGGAAGAAATGAGCGGATCCTCATGAGCTTTCCTCCCTCGCCCGCGACAAAGCCCCTGAATCGAAGTGACCTAGGGCATCAACTCGTCGATGCCGTGCCCTCACTCGTCTGGACGACGGCCCCTTTCTCTAACCGCGTGGCCAACGAAAATGCAACGAGCTCATAATGCTATGTAGTAAAAGAAATAAACAGCGTATGCAGGAAACTGGGCAAGCGTTTACGGGATTAGTTGCTCAGAAACGCATGATGAGGCCATTGCATCGTTAAATGAATGTGGCTGGACAGTGCCGTCCAACCGGCGCGCTACCAAAGCGCGGTAGGGTATCAGATGATGTCTAAACTTCGAAAATCCAAATCTGTAACTGTACGTTAGCGCTGAAATTGCAGCATGTCACTGCCCAGGGGAGACTCGTCCAGAAGGCACGAGCACCTGGGCGGAAGACGAGACTTACCTCCATCTTGGCCACGTCCAATCGTTGCCTCTTGGCGGCGCTGATTGCGCTCTGCACGGCCATCTCCAGGTCGTCTTGGTCTCCCATTGTGATCATGTCGCCCTCCGGCATGTCCTCATCCTTGATCTTGATCTTGAACCTTCGTCGCAAGCCAAACTTATCACGCACACGGTCCACGAGGTCGGGGAATTCAATGGCGGTGCCAATCATGATGTACCGGACATCGTCAGAGTGTGCCTTGACCCGAACTTTCCGAATTTCCGGGCGTCGAGATGCAGCACGGGATCCGGACGATGAGCCCGGGACGCGGCGGTTGCTGGAGATCATCTCGAACTCGGGCTCGTCCAGCGATCCGTCATCATAATCCGACCCTTCATCCTCCTCTTCAATGTACCGCTGCTGTTGTCTCCGATTCGACCTTCTGCTTCCTCTGGAGTTGCGGGAGCCGCCACCGGTCTGGTACATGTCGTACAGCTCGCCCGGATATGCTTCTTCCTCGTCGATTGTTCTCGTTGGTCTTCGTGCAAGTGGAGAGCTTCTTTGGAGGGGCGCCGGCGCCTGCACCGGGTCTCGCTGCGAGTAGCCGCGTCCTGGGGCAGCCGATGCCGACCGTCCAGGCCGAGCCCTGCCGTCTTCTGGGGACGGCGCCTTTTCGTACCTGCGGCCAGATTCCTGCGAGGGGATGCTAAGCTTGGCGGGCATCGGCTTCGGCCCGTTCCGTACAGACGCGCCCCTGCTCGGTCGATCATTCTCAGGCGGCGGTGTGGGAGGGAAAACGTTGCGATTTGTGGGTGGTTCCGATTGTTGTCTTCGGGACTGAATACCAGGCTTCACAAGGTTGGTCGCAGCGAACGAAATGTTGTCGGCAGGCCTGTCGTCCTTGACCTCGCTCTTGCCCGCCTGAGAGATATACGTGAGCTTCTGACGCGGCGCTTCAGGGGTAAGCAAGACTTACGTTCTTGATCTCGGATCCCGCAAAGCCGGTAAAGGCGTTGGAACGATCCGATGCCGCGACCAGCCTTGCCTTGCCGAGATAGTCCTTTGTCTTCAGGTTCCGCACCTTGGCTTCGTTGGGTCGATACACCACGCCTACTGGGATCGAGAAGACGGTGTATCCCTGTGCTACTGTCAGATCAGATGCTCCAAAATGCCGTCGGGCATGCCACGATCGACGTGGACTGACCTCTGCTTCCTCACGAATCGCCTCGTCAATCACGTCGTGGTCCTCAACCACCTTTTCTTTGACGGCATACGATAAGTCCTGCATGCCGACGTCCCTTTGCTGCAGGTAAATGTAGCACAGCCCACGGTTGAAGAGCACTTCGCATGAATACAGCTTGAACAAGAGGCCGAGCTGCGCGTAGTCGATCATGGTGTTGCCCCGAAGGTACAGTAGGGTGTCGTTGAAGTTGGCGAGTGCCTCCTCGAAGTCGCCGAGAAGAAAGTTGGAAACTCCCTGCTGAAAGTACGCAACGGCAAGATACTGGTCAAGTCGGATGGCTCGTTGATAACATTCCACCTGAGAAGGAAGGACGGGTAACTGTCAGCATTCGTGTTTTTGAGGGCTTGTGACTCGCACTCGTTGTGCCCACACTGCCCGTGAATCCATGTTCGCCGAGGACCGCTTACAGCTTTCTCATGCTCGCCAAGCGTCGCGTGGATGACGCCCATGTTGAACAGAATCTTGCTCGTATCGGAGATCTTGTCGAATTCGCCAAGCGCGTCGTCGAATTCATTGTTGTCGTAGCGGCCGAGGGCCGCGACCCACGTCTCGATTTCCTGTGAAGGTGATGTTGGTTAGTCGGAAGCCGGACGGCAGATGAATCTCGCTCCCCCACAAAAGATGCTCACCTGTTTCAACGACATGGCTGATACTTGCGCGCAGCAGATGCTGTGTTACAAGTCGGTGGGCGACGAGAGCAGCTCGCAGGACGCGAGGTAGCTCACGTCAGGGCGTGAATTGAACTCGCGATTATGGGAAGAGGTTGCCGAGGACGTCGGAGTTGCGGCGGGCAGTCGAGGGTGGGTGGCTGGCAGCGCGGGTGTACAAGTACCTCCTGAGGGCGGCGTCTCTCGAACACGGGTTTCCAGCGAATACCGTTGGGCGGCGAGGTAGCTGGGCGCTTAACTAGCACGCTCGAGTGGAAGAGGCCCGCGCCCTGGTAAGATCTCGCCTGCAGGTTAGCCAACGGAGCGAATTGGCACACCCCAGTCTAGCGGTGCCAGGCGTGGCAATTGGTTCAGGCTCGACGTCAACTCGGGCCTGTGTGTAAGCTTGGCGGCGGGCCGTGGCGCGGACTGGAACAGATGATCCCGTGACGGGGTGTGGTGGTGATGAGTGTCGACGACACAACTCTGAGGACGCCAGCGTCGTTGGATTAAATTGCGGTCTTTCGGGCCGCCTATGGCGCGTGAAATGGGCTACTGGGCAGATCAAGTCAAGGAGAGGACGGCAGTTGACGTGGTTGACGACGCGGCCTGTTGGTCGTGCGCTGAGTGCCCGATGACGGATCGGTGGGACAGGGCGATCGGGAGGCGAGGACCCTCCGGGAAGTTGTAATTAAAGCTGTGCTGCTATTCCTGTCGGGGGCCGTGTTGCGCTCTTTCGGGAGTGCGAGAACGAGCGAGATCCGTCGTCGAAAGGCGGCGCAGACGACTGTAGGGCAATACAGTCCAGCACAGGACTGTAGCAGAGTGCGCAGGCGGAAAAGACTGGACGGCACTAGCTCGTGCAGGCGCGGTGTTCCCCGTTGGACCGGATGCAAGCCAAGGTTGTGATGACTTGAGCACCATGCAGGTTCGTGAGCTGTTGGTGGGGGATGCGGCGGGTGGTGATGGTGTTGAGGGGAAGATGGCTGGCGGCTGCAGTGCTCCAGATGAAGAGGCAGAGCAGATGCCTCGGCCGACGGGGAAGATTTCTTTTTGGCCAGGAGTTTGGGACACTCTCGGGCCGCACCTGCCAAGTGGGAATTACTTGGTATGAAGGGGCGTCTTGGGTGGGAAGACAGAAGAAAAACGGTCGAAGAGAGCAGAGGGCAACTTGGCTTGGGCAGAAGCGGGCCGCAGTCCAGGGCCTGCTTCACGACTCGAGCCGACCGGGGAGCTATTAGGTACCTGCCAGGCTTCAAGAAAGGGCAGTGCAGGGGTGAAGGCAAGGTGAAAAGCTACAGGTTGCGCTGGGCCGTGCGGTGAGCGTCGGTGGTCGAGAGGCGCAGAGCAGGCCAAGTGTGATGAAGGCGGTGGCCGACAATGGAGAAATCAGAGGGGACCGGACCAGCCTGCCAGGTCGGGAAGACGAGATGCGGACAACCGCGTCCCCATCGAGACGCTCGCTGCGGTGGTGGTGCGACCCCCCGGGCCAGCCGCCGGAGCCATCGTCCACATCGTGCATTAGCCGCTCATGGCCCAAGGGATGCGCCGACCCAGACTTGCCCAGAGTCTGTGTCAAGAAGGCACAGGCCAGGCGGGATACAGGGGCCAGGGGGGTTTGGCGATTCCCGAAGCCGACTCCTCTCTCACGGTCGCGCGACGACGGGTGACTTGGGTGACATGGTGGATGTGGTGGGAGAGGGGAGGGGGGGGAAGAAAGGGAGGGGGGGGCTGAGGCAGCCGCTGGCGGCACTGGTGTGTGATCGCTGTGGTCCGTGTGGGTGGTCCAGCCTGGAAGCCTCGAAGATTTTCTGCCGAGTTTCGGGACGCCGGCTGGGATACGTGGGATCCGCCCGCGTCGAAACCAGGCTCGTCTCCTGTTCTGCTCGTAGCTGGGGAATCTTTACTGCGTGCATTCGTCGTACGTACCCTTGGTGCCACAGCTCGGGGCCTGCGATGCCGTCAGGCTTATCGTGAACTACATGGCGGGCAACCGCCAGGACTCGTACAACAAAAGTTGACGCATTTTGCACTTTAGAGTTTGCAAGCCATTGCATTTGTTTCGTGACTCTGTTTGGCAAGAACGACCATTGCCACGAACAGCCAACGTCCATCATCCACAGCAGTATGACGAAGCAACACCCTTTCTGAGGCACGATGATGTAGACCAGCCACATCAACCCAGCATCCCAGCAGCTTGTGTCCCCGCTGTACCGTAATTCCGTCGACGACATTTCCGTGAACCGGACATTCTTCGTCCCAACTTTTTCACCTGGCTCGCGCGCGATCTTGCCGGACCCGACCCGACTTTTCCATCACCAACGTGGCAGCAGCCCGCTCACTGATGAGTGCGTACCTTGGGCGGTTGCGGTGCACGCCAGCTGGACCTATACGATGGGTCCCGCCCACGGGCTCCCAGGGGGCTCCCGTCCCACCAGGGGCCGTGCGGCGGGGCCTCTTGGGGCGGAGAGCGTTGCAGAAGCCGGCCCCCTGTGTCCCCATGGCCGGGCCCAGCGGGCTCGTGATTGGCCTGCGCTGCGTCGGCGGCGGCGCCAAGGGGCCTCGGCCAGACGCTGTCTGCCCTGAACCTGAACCTTCTCACGACTGCACCGGTACTCCGTAATTCACTGCTTTCCACCTCGCCAGACATGCCGTCGTCGTCAGCCCGGGGCATCCGTCATCCGCCTTGGTGGTCAACCACCTGGTACTAGTCGTCCCGGTCCACCGGCGGCGGTGGTGGTGGACTGCAGAAAGAGCGAACCGACGGTACCTTACCTTAGGTATGTCCCAGCAGACGGGGAGCCATGACGTCCGCGTGCGCCGCCCCGTGTTGGTTCCGTGCAGGCCTCGTGGTGCCCGCTCGACCTCGCTGCGAACCTTGCTCGCACCCCGTGTAAGCGCCGGCTCGATGCAACGTCGTCCAGGCACAGGGTTCCAGCCGACGTTCCTTGCAGATGCCGGCTTGCTCATGCCTACAGCAAACAGCAGAGCACAGCACATTGTGCGAGAAGGCCTGCACTTGCATGCAGGCAGAACTTTGTAGGTACCTCATCTGCGTGCACCTGATCAAGATTCGGCCCCGGAAAGGTAGCATAGTAGACCTACGCGTCCCAAAGATTCCATCAGGCACGGAAAAGCATATCGCCCATTACCCCTCTTGCGGCGTAGACGCCCAGAAATAGACACAACACACACATCACTAACCTCCCCAATCCATCACTTGCAGCAAAACCCCGAGATGAAAAAGCAATGGCGCTGCAGCGGGAGCAAGTCATCCCAAGGCGCATCTGCCGTGTCATTGGGCACCGGCCACTCGTCGTTGGGCCGCCCATGCGACGGCCACGAGCCCCCGGAGTGCGCTAGTCAACGCCTCCACCCAAGCCCGGCGGCTGCAGAACGACGGTGACAGGAAGACGTAACCCGTCACCCTGTCCATCAGGGGACCGGAAAAGTTGACCGACCACGGCTCTTCCCATCGCGGCCAACAAATTCGTGGTGACCGTGGGCCGTCCCGTGAAAGGCCCCCAACTGGGCGGGAAAGACCGCTTGCGACGCCATCATGGTGCGTGCCCCTCTCGCAAGCTCCCGTCCCTTGACCATCACATTCCCCTGCTTCTCCTCGCTGTGATATCCAAAAAGACTGCATCCCGTCCCATGTTATCTGATTGGATCATCAGATCAGCACGCCTTCGATGACTGCACAGGCGGTGACGCCAGACCCTTGTGCCAGGAATGGGTCTGCCCATGTGCTTGTCGTAGTATCCCAATGTCGGAAGCCGCCCCTCGCTCCTCGCTTTCCAACGTACCCACAGACAACCACGGGTAGACGTCTGGGCTTTGAGATGAACCTCGCTTCGCTCCCCAAGATCAAGGAACTTGGCCACCCCCAGATGTCCACTACGAATAATCATGAGGCAGGATATGGGTCTTGCGCCGCCCGCATGTGCACCTCCCAGTTCAAGGATTCCCTCGCCACATCTGCGCCAAGGCATCGCATCCTCGCAATGTACACTTGGACCTGATGCCACCGTGGTTCGATTCGTGGTGCCATTTTATACACCCTCGGCGGGCTGACAGACTTTGAGCTCGGTCCGTCCACCTGCCACACTGCTCCGACCATGCATACTCTGCGAATATTGACCTCGTGCCGCCGCTCGGTTGGCAACTGGGAGCCAGTTAGCCAGTCGTTGGCCATAGACGGGTTCGTTCTGAAAGATAGAGACCTTCATGTCGTGTCGCATCTCATCTGCCGTTGTTTCCAGGGTTTAAGCGCGACTCGCGACACGTCATGTTTGATGATAGAGTGATCACTACTCCAATGGTCTTCCGAGCCCGACTTTTGCCCGCTGCTTCCCGACGAGACACAATGCCGGACAGTAGTGGAGCATCAACATCGTTGAATTCGTCAAATGTCTTCGACTTACGTCGTCGAGAGCATCATCGGCTTTGCCGCTCATAGCATCCCCTTCTTCAGCTCGTCCTTCCTTTCCTCCCAGAGAGTCTTGCCCGTGCACGAGCAGACAGTCTTGTCGTTCTCCCACATTCCGGCGCTCCTTGCGATCACGCCGACTACAGTGTTCTCGTCGTTGTGTAGCGGCTTGGAGGCTTCCTCATCCTGCCTCGTGAGGACCATGGCATGACCGATCACTTCCCAGATCTGGAACGGGTGGTCGACGAACGCAGCACCTCGACCGTCCTCTCCCACCCGAACCACTCCCAGCGTTCCTTTGTCTTGCCCATTATCTCCAGACCATACGGGCCCCGTTGACGTGGCGCCATCTTTGAGGTCGCCGTACGCGCGGATAGTAGCCCGGTACGTCCCCGGCGCCACGCCTCGGACAGTCAAGTCAACCAGCGTCCTCTCTGGACTGACCTGCACCATGCGAGCCAGTCCCCTTACATCGCGGTCCTGATCATCATTGTCGTGTCTCTCGACCCTGTCCGCAAAGGTTTCAAGGATGCTCACGGCGGCACCTGTGAGCGGGAGGCGTCAGCGACGGCAGCGAAGATCAGACGCAGTGGCGAGACGGCGAGTCACGGAAGGATCTGGGTTCGGAAGTATAGTTTCCACACATACTGTCTGATGCACCCGATCCACGGAGGATGGCATCCCTGCCCGTTGCTTGTATGGCCTCGACTATCGCCGATGGCGCAGCTGGACCGTGGCAGTGCGTCAGTCAACCAGTGGGCAAGTAGCATCTCGGTGAGGTGGCGTACCCGATCCCTCGACAGATATTAGCTGGTCCTGAAGGTTGCCTTCGACCTTGGTGATGCCTCCGAGCTTGTAGAGTTGGTCTGAAACAGCCGTGACACAACCCTCACACGACAGCGGCACAGCAAACTGAGTCTAGTCGCAACGTGTTTCATCAGCTACAAGATTTGCACAGTCACGGCTGAAAGGAAAAGAAGAAAAGAAAATCTCCCGTTGCCCTTGTCCTCTAGCAGATGGGAATGGTACATCGGCACTGAAAAGGGGCTCGCACCTGGAAGGAGTGCTTGACGGTCATATCGCCTGAGGTGTCCTTGTGTAAGTACCTATCACAATTAAGCCGGCTAGCTCGGCGGCACCACTCCCAAGGGCGACTTACCTATTGTTTTCCCTTGCTCGTACAGACGGTGCGGCGCTGTCTTGTAGCGATATAGAGAATACCCGGCCAGCAGTCCAAGGGATGATGCTAAAGCAACTCTTGGAAACGCGCCTCTAAGAAGCGACATTTTTAAGTGGTGCTTCAGCGCTGTAGTGCTTTGAAATCCAACGCCGGAAAGCGAGGCCCATGCGCGGTAGAATCCGTGCCGCGCAGTGGGGCAAGCTCGGAGCTTCAGCGCAATCGCGACATCATGTGACCCAGGCAATTGAGGAAGCTGAGTCAGCGGTCAAACTTTCGTGACGGCCTCGTTCGCACGCTGCCAGACCTGCTTCAGCAAGCCATTCAACCAGTACCTACGACACTGCGGCCCATTGGTGCCAGCTCTACGCCCGAGAGCTGACAGATCGTCGAGGCATTGATCCTCAGGGGCACACAATATGTCTCAACATGTCGGCCTGGTAAGCAATGGCAAATCTGAACTTCTCAGTTCTCGCTTGAGAGCCAACTCCCTGACAAACTTGAACAGACACGGCTGGCCTACTCCCGAGTATGGCACTCTGTCTCCGCGTCCGCGCCTCACCAGACCCTCACCACCAAGCCGGGCGTGACGCCGCCGTCCCTGGGCCGCCTGGCGTCGCGAATCGCCGTTCTCCTGATGGGCAAGAACAAACCCATATTCGACCCGTCTACCGACTGCGGCGACTACGTCGTTGTAACGAACTGCGCGGCGCTGCACACAACCGGGCACAAGAAGTGGAGGAAAATGTACTACAGACACACGACGCGGCCGGGTAGCCTCAAGGCTCTCACCATGGACGCCCTGATGGAGAAGCAAGGAGGCAGCGAAATTCTGCGGAAGGCGGTCCGGGGCATGCTGCCCAAGAACAGGTTGCGCGACAAGAGGCTGGCACGCCTGAAGGCGTTTGAAGGCGACGCGCACCCGTACAAGCAAAACTTGATACGGTTCGGCGGCGTTGTTGTGGGCAGTGAGGGCTGGGACAAGGCCGTCCAGGTCCTGCGGCAAAAGGACACGGAGAGATTATGATTGAGTCATTTTGGGGCGCTTGATTCAAAGGCGAAGGGTCGCTAGAACATAGGGACAACACTTGTACTATCTGTACTATACGGGCATACCTAGGATTTGGTAGAGAGCGAATGGCCGAACTGGCCGATTTATGGTCTTGCTGCGCAAGTATTAGGGATGCGCTGAGCGATGCAAGTGGCCATGTTGGGTGCAGCAATCAACTCGATCACAGCGCACTGCCCACATCCCGTGTACAGAGATGTTGCGCAGAGAGTCGGCACGTGGCTCCAGCAGAGCCAGGGAACATGTCAAAAAATCTCAGTGGTATTGCGATAAACCTCGTATAGGCTATACTACAGACACGCAGTCTAGGACTGTAAAATATGTACCCGCGGGAAGTGAGATATGACACATGTATTCCTCTAAATCTTGGCTCTAACAATGTTGGGATTCCGTCCACTGTGCAATACTGTCAGTTGGTTGTTCGGGACCTGGATTCTGCAAATCGGGGAAACTTACTCTCGGGAGACCTCGCACTTGATGAGGCCGTTGGGGTTGGACTGGGGAACGTAGACCTCGGCATCCTCGCCAGTGTTCTTCAGGCCCTTGTGCCAGGTCAGGTCTGTCACAATGTCAGCACCTGCTCTGTGAAATCGCGATGTTATATTTGACGGGTGTGGCTTACCAAGCTCAAAGTTGTGGTTGTTGGGCAGAGCATAGGCGACGTTGTCGACCTCCGGGACGGCCTCGAGGATCTGCTCGCACATCTTGTACATGGTGTTCTGGACGCTGGCGCTGTTGTCCTCGGCAAAGAGCTTCAGGGTGATGTTGCGAGCAGCCTCGAAGGCGCGGTCGAACTTGGGGATGCTGCGCTCAACGGCGCGCAGGTCGGGGAAGACCTTCCAGTTCCACCGAGCATCGACGTCGGTGGCGAGGATGCGGTCCCAGGTCTCAGGCAGGGTGGTGTACTCGTCGCGGACGAAGCCGTGGAAGGCAGAGCCGGTGCTCTTGAGGACGGACAGGCCGGCAATAGAGCTGGTGACGGCGATGCCGTCGCGGCGGCTGGCGCGGACCTCGACGTTGCGGGTCTCGCCGGCGTCCTTGATGAAGCTGTGGGGGTGCGGCTTGCCGTCGACGTCCATGCGGTTCCAGCGCTTGGTGATGACGCGGACGTTGGCGGCGTGGATGTGGTTGTACTTTTGGATGAAGTGGTTGCCGAGGATGGAGGCGAACAGCTCTGGCGGGGTGACGGGGTGCTGCTTGGCCATGATGAAGGTGGTGTTCTTGATGGAGTCGGTGGCGACGACGACGCTGTTGTCGGCGCGCGTGTAGGAGGAGTCGATGTCGCCCTCGAGCAGGCAGCAGACGGTCATCTCGGTGACGTACTGGATGCCGGTGCTGGCGTCGCGCGAGACCTTGAGGACGCGGACATTGTCCTTGCCGTAGCGCGCGGAGGAGACGTAAGGCATGATGGCGGTGGCGGCGGGTGGTTGAGTGAAGTTTGAGGGAAGGTGAGGCGAAGGTTTAGTGATGAGTGTAAGCTGGCAATGCAAGACTGTGAGAATGAGCCTGAGGAAGACGGCTCTACCACCACACCACGGGACTGGGACTGGATGACTTGTTTGGCGCGTTCCAACGGGATTCAGTGAATGGCGTCACGGGCGGCGGCCGGGCGTATATAATATACGCGCCAGCGCAGAGTCCGGCCTGGGGGCCTCCTCCGCGACGCCGAGGCGGCCCGCGACGAGAGAGCCGGGGACCCTCATCGGCCAGATGCGCCCAGGGAGAGCTCGCATCGCGCTACGCAGCCAGCCAGAGGGCTCGCCGCACTGGGGCAGAGCAGCCGGGCGGCGGGGCGGGCAGCGGCCTGGGGGGGAGGCTGGCCCGGAGCCCGCCGAACCCCAGGGGCCAGGGCAGCGACGCGGGACACCGGGGGAGGCCAAGGGAGGATGGATGGATTCCAGGTTTCCAAGACGGGATGCCATGTGGGCGGGTTGGAGCATCCGAAGTCTACATGCAGCCAGCCAGCAATAGCAGCAGGCACCCCCAGCACGAGCCAACAGCGCCGCGCCGGGGGAATCGTGGAGCAGCCTGCTTGCCCCGTGCTCATTGTCTCGTCTTGTGCGTGCGTGCGCCGCACCGGATCCCGTTCCCCAACACCGATTCGATTCTGCAGGGGTTTCAGGGACGGGCGCGCGGCAGGTCGTACGATGCGCACCAGCAAATCCGCGCCAGGTCAGCTCATTTTCTCCGCAAGCCCGGTGAATAACGATCATCTCATCTCGCGGTCGCGAGTAGTCGACACGGCGGAGGCCCGCGATGATAAGCCATGGTCGCAGGCGCCGCAGAGCCCCGCGCGCGCCCCGCAACCGCCTGGGGCGACCGCCGTGATCCCGCCCTCGCGGCCGGCCACCTGCGCGGTTCATTGTCTACGCGTGCGCGGACGCGCTGATTTTAATCATGTCGTTTACGATGTCCTGTTGTTTCCATCTTGCTATATTTTCACTTCGTTTTGCTCCTTTCCTTTTCGGTGGCCTTGATGCTGACAGGCCTGGTATCTGCCCGGAGCCCTGACCTGGGGCGAATCCGGCCGTGTCACCGACATCCCTGAGATCTTGGAGCATGTATCCATTGGCACGTGCTTACACCGGCGACATGTACTTGATATCAAAGTTTGCAATGGCCGACGTGAAGCTGCGTCGAGTCGGGGAACGGAAGGGCTGGCCCGTCCATCGGATCTGCGCCAGCTCCCGCTCGCTCGGGACCAGAGATTGCCATGCCACCACCACTTGGCTTCACACACTTGGCAAGGGTGGCAAGATAAGGCACTTGATAAAGCACTGCCGCCCGACACTAGGTCCGCGGGTACAGTACTGCACCATGTCTTGTTTGTGAGCAGCCGTTCGTGGTTCGTGGTCGAGACCTGCCGCCGCAGAGGCTGACACCACTCCGCACAATACGAACAGGCACCGGCGCCTGTCAAATGGATGCGGAGGGTTAAGGAGGTTGGACAAAAGGTGATCCATACCTTAACTTACCTTTTTGTAGGTTGGTGGACGGCCCAGCCGCCACCGGAGGGTCCTCACCCACCACCATCACGCCGCCGTGCGTGTCGCTGCGCTTTGCCGTGCTCTGCTGTGCTGCGCTGCGCTGCTCTGCTATCCGGCGCGGGTGTTCTGAGGCACGCCGACGCCACTGCCCAGAGTCCCCAGACAACCTTCCCTACGTAGCACCTAAAACAGCCCCAGCGCCTGCCGCCCCAGATGCGGCTCGTGCACCAGCACGCCGCCACACACGCCGCCAGCCCTCCCGGCGGGCGACCCCACCTGCCCGGCTACCCTTCCATTGCACTCCATTCAGCTGGGCTCCCCTGGTTTCCAAATGCCTGGGCCACCTACTCGAGGCAGGCACCTCCCTCGCCTCTCCGTCACTTGCAAGGTCCAGGTCCACCGCGGTAGCGCAACGCCAGCACCAGCACCAGCGGCGCGCGGGCCCTGCGAACAGCCAACCGTTCCGCGACCACGACTGCTTGTTGGAGGCCAACGTCAGTCCACCAAAACACCACTGCTCATCCACGTCGCCCATCACGACTGCCCAATCGAGCCAACATGGGTCTTGCCCGTCGCTACAGTCGATACCGAGTTGCCTGACTGCTGCGCACGCCCGTGCACCATCGACCGCGAGATTCCTCTCCCGTGACGTGACGCCCATTCCGACCGCCCTGCCTATCCCCTCGATCCCCTCCCTCCAGAGCGACGTCAGCACCGACTGCCACGGCCGCCCAACAGCTCGACGAAGCCTACGCAACCTCCTGCCGGCGAATGGAATCCATAACACACCGGTCGAGTCGATAAAGCATACCTCAGGAGCTACTCGACGGATGCTCCGAGTCCAACCGGGGGCGCAGTCCCAGCCGGCGGGCACATCTCCCTTTGCTCGCGGGCTGCTCCCTCGCCTGCCTCGGGCCACAAGGGCGTAGCCATGCCGCCCCAACCTTCCCGGGAGGCGCCGCAGCAGCATCATGGCCACCCCGCGCAGTCTGGCCGGCCGAGCCTCGACCGCGATGGCTCGGGCTTGCAGCTTCCCAATGGCGGCCCCGCTCGCAACTTCTCCGCTTCCTCGGTGTCATTTGCGCCCCGCGGCAGCAGCTTGAACCCCAACGCCGGCCCTGGTAGCTTCAGCTCCGAGCTGCGGAGTCAGATGATGTCGACCCGCGCGGGGAGTCGCGTCGACGTTGCTGGGTCTGTATATCCGGGCAGCGTCATGGACAAGGTCGACGAAGACGCGACCAATTCGGCAGCCGAGCAGGCCCTGGCATCCCTCAAGGATCGTTTGAATCGCGAGATGAAGATCAAGGAGGGTAGCGAAAACATGCTCGAGGCGCTCAACATTAAGAAGGCCAAGCAGACCAAGGAGCAACGCCTGAGAGTCGAGGCCGAGCTGAGCGCGAGCAATTTGCGCATCAAGGAGCTACGACAAAAGATATCCGATGCACAGCGGTCCAAGGCTCTACCGCCGATGCCCACCACGCCGACTAGGAACCGCACACAGGAGAGCGTCTTCCACCCCACTGGCACGCTGCGCTCACCGCCGAGCATCTCGAGGTCCGTTGCCGGCTCCGACGTAGACGAGCTGCTGGAGAGCCCGAGTTTCCTCCTGGCCGAGCTCCTTCAAGCGCTTGAGGTGGAGGGTATGACGCCGGAGTACTACGTCAGCCGCGCGAACCAGCTCGCGGATCTATTCAGGCGACACCCAGCCATCAAGTATGATCTAGTCTGGTCCATCTTTGGTTTGCGAATGCAAATGATGCTCCTGAGTGAGAGTCGGGAGGTTGTCGCGGCTGGCTACCGAGCCACGAGATACGCCATTTCAGACGTAGCATCACTCAAGAAAATTCGCAGCTTAAACACCGACTTCTTGGTGATACGGTAAGCCCCCATGAGCCCGTTTCCAGATTCGTTGCTGAGACTTCCAGATCGTTGAATAATTATCGCAAAGCCGATGTTGAACGAGAGCAGGCCCTCAAGTTCGTGCGAGCCTTCCTGGACGTTAAAGACGGTGTCAAGGAAATCTCACGGGCTGTTGTTCGGACGATCGTGGCTGTTGCCGAGCAAGGAGAGGAGCGCCGCCCCGGCATTCAACCGGCAGATCAGAACATCGACAGGCTACGGCCCATTTGCATCGAGACTCTTGCGGAGATAATGGTGCGGGACCCGCGTCTTCTGGTGGCATCTGGCGGCCTCGGGCCATTGTCTGAGGCGCTGGCCGAGGGGACATACAAGGCGCCCGAAAGCCTAATGTCCGCCTTTCTATTCCTGCTCGACACACCTCAACGACGAAAATACATCCTGCCTGGCTACGGTTTGGATGTCGTCTTCACTGCCTTCACAGACCAGCTGGCCGGTGCCGAGAGTATACTGAAGCAAAGCTCGAGAGCCATATCCGTTGCGATGAGGTCATGGTCTGGTCTGATGGTCCTCTCCATGTATGACTTTCGACCGATTCGCTCGCTCATCGCCAGCATCTTATTCCCCAACGCGGCCATTCGGGAGACAGTGCTGGACTTGCTGTTCTCCTTGCTACGAATCAAGCCGCCTGCCTGGGCGACATCGTTCCTGGCCGGGCGCAGGCTCACGACTTACGGCCGAGTTGCCAACATGAAGTCATCCAACACGAGAGACAGAAGCGCTACATTATATCTGGAAGAGGACAACAGCGAACAAAACTTTGTGGACCATTACACGGCCCTTCTTCTGGCCATCTTTATCAAAGTCGGCCTCTTGCAGAGCTTGTTGCACATTGCCCAGTCAGAGGAGGACCCCATGCTGAAGCGCAAGACAACCTTGTTGATCGGGGAAGTGCTGAAGTTGGCCAGCAGGTTGCTTCCACCTTCATGGAGTTCCGAGCTTCAGCTCCTCCCAGAGCTATTCTCGGCTGCGACACAGTTCACAAATGAGGACCACTTTATAGCCTCGGGCATTGTCTATCAGATCAGCAGCGTTAGCAGGACGCTGTACAGAAGCGCGCCCTCCGAAACCATGGCAGGCGCTCTCCCTTCCAGCGACAGCATGCAGAGCATGGGGCTGCTCGACGAACACCCAAAGACCAATACGTCTATTGTATTTGACGACGCCACATTTCGACAGCTCCTGATTGATACGGGAGTCCTCAATAGCTCCAACTATATGAAGTGGAATTGGGAGGTCATCATGAAGGTGATCGATGGGCCCCTGCAGGTGGGGAAGCGGCTGGAGGAGGCCATCAAGGCGTCAAAATTCATGAAGCGCATCATGAGCTTCTACCGGCCCTTCAAGTACAAATTTGCCGAGATCAAGAACACCAGAAACACGCAAAAGTACGTCAAGGCGGGTTGCGCGCTGATGCATTCGTTGCTTCAGTCCCCAGAGGGCATCAAGTTTCTGGCCGACAGCAAGTTGTTGAGGCAAGTTGCTGAGTGCCTGGCGCAATGCGATCCGGTAAGTGGGCGACAGTGTAACTCGGTCGATCAATAACACCTACTGACTTGGTTCACAGACGAGCGGGCTGACGGCACAGTTCCCAATGTTTGCCAAAGACCGACTGACAGACACGCTCTGCTGTGGCTACTTTCCCATGCTGGGCGTTCTCAGTACCGACCCCAAGGGGCTTCTTCTGTTGGAGCGTTGGAGAATGTTCAACATGATGTACCACATTGTCGATCTGAAGCAGCGTCCGGATCTGATCAAGCTGTTGTTGACCAACTTCGACTACAGCCTTCAGGGCCACCCTCGCGTTCTACTGTCCAAGGCCCTGACGGGCGGCACCAAGGATATCCGGATCCATGCCACCAACACCCTCCGCAAATGCACGATGAGACCGACACCGTCTCTGAAGACTCAGGACAGCGCGAGCGACTCCAAATGGGCGATCCAGCTCCTCGTTACGCAGCTGTATGATCCAGAGATCGAAGTTTGCTCAACAGCAATCAAGATTCTCGAGAATGCGTGTAACAGGAAGACTTTCCTGGAGTACATTGTTGAGTGTCGACCGGCTCTCGATCATCTAGGAGAGATTGGCGCCCCGTTGCTCCTGCGCTTCCTGTCGACGTCGATTGGATATCATTACCTGGACGGTTTGGACTACATCAGCAACGAGATGGATGACTGGTTCCTCGGTCGCAACGACTCGTATGTTGGCGTCATTGAGGCGAGCTTGGCCAGGGCGTTCCTGTCTGACCCGGACGACAACACGCACCGGATGAGCATCTTTGACGAGACAGTGGCGGAGACCGACTTTCACGACACGCACGTGCCCCCACACTTTTACAGAGAGCTTACCCGTACGCGAGAGGGTTGCAAGTTACTCAGCGACAAGGGTCACTTTGAAGAGTTTGTCGCGACAATCCGTGATCACGGCATGCAGACGGTGGAGGGCGAGTTACTCACAAAAGTAAAGGGCTGCCTCTGGGCAGTAGGCAATGTTGGTTCCATGGAGCTGGGCGCGCCGTTCCTCGAAGCAAGCGACGTTGTGGAGCGCATCATCGAAATTGCGGTATCGCACGGGGTCATGAGCATGCGAGGCACGGCCTTCTTCGTGCTCGGGCTCATCTCACGTTCCACGCATGGTCTCGAGATCCTGTCGGAGAACGGATGGGACGCCAACACGACGTCAATGGGTGCTTCTCTTGGCCTTTGCATCCCGAACGACCTCTCCAAGCTGTTCACCCTGAAGCCGTGGCAACACGTCAATGTGGCGTCGATGAAGCTTCTCGATTCGCAGCGCACCATCCAGGAACAGCCCCCTGCGCGACAGGCGCGCCCACCCTTGGAGCCGTCCGAGATGCCCCCACTTCTCAGCGACGCAGACGTCAATGAACGCATCATGGGCCTCATCGTCGATCTGGGCAATATGGTGCTCTACAAGAAGGCGCTCACGGAACTGCAAAAGTTGAAGTCGAGGAAGCCGAATGCGTTTCGAAGCACCGAATTCTTCAAGAAGGTGATGGGACTGATGGAGTGGAATCATTACCGACTAGGGGTGCGACGACTGGTGATTGACTTGTTCGAAAAGAACGTCATGAGGCAGATCGTGTTTGGCGAAGAAGAGAGCGACAGCGGCGGAGAGGCAGAGCCAGCTGGGGATGAGAGCGCCGAGGGAAGCTCGGGGGACGATCGCACCGAGAGACAGAGGAGCGTGAGCGAGCCGGCAGAGTTGCCGTCGGATCTCATGCCCGCGCCGCTGCAGGTGCGACGCGAGCACACTCGATGGGGATGAATATTGAGCGCACGGCGTACCGGTAAAGGCTCTGAGGGAAAAGGTGTTTGACGACTTGAGGCCTGGATTTCTATGGGCGGCTGCAAGTATGTACTTGATACAGCGGCAGCAGGGAGGCATCAAATGGCGATCTTTGACCCAGGTCTGGGGGGCGTTTAAGCGCGGATCTTTGGACTTCTTTTTTGGACGCTTTTGGCCTTTGTTTCTGGGCCTGTTTTCCCCTGCCATTATCTGCGTGGATTCTTGCTTGCCGCCTGGGGTACGGGCTGGGGCAGAGGCAGCGAGCAAGTCTGTCATTTTCTGTTACGCTAGGGGTGTAAGACAGGGCGTGGCCATGTAGGAAATGCCTATTTTGGAGTATTACACTCGAGCCAAACCGGACCGAAAAGAGCAGGCCTTGCTCATTGCCGCTGTTCTATTCGGAACGATGATGTCCGGGTCGTCGAAAGGTTGGAGGTGGTGGTGGGCCGATGTAGTCGACAGCAGCTGCCGGTTCATGTTTAGAGCCCCACCATCTGACAGTGGCATTTGACATCATGACGGATTGAGGGTGAGTCGAGCGAGCATCGACACGTTCAACCCTCTTTCACCTTGAGCACAGCACCGCCACGAGCCTCTGCAGCAGGCAACGTGAATTCCAAGGCACCCGCAAAGCGCAGCAGTATCGCAGCAGCAATCATGGCTCCGCCCAGGGTGCTGCTCATCGCGGGCTCCGACAGCTCCGGCGGCGCGTGAGTCGCTCTTTCCCTCACTCACTCATGCCGCATCCCTTCATTCACACCCCCGCCCATCGCCGTGCGCGAAACACACCTGGGCACTCTCTTTTCCGTGCTCCTCCCGAGGCGACGGGCAGACAACGCATGCAAGCAAGAAGAGAAGAGAAGAAAGCTAACACGATGCGCTCCCGCGCCCCCGCCGACACAGCGGGCTCGAGGCGGGCCAAAAGGTTCTCGCCGCGCACGGCTGCTACGCCATGACGGCGACGACGGCCCTGACGGTGCAGAACACGACGGGCGTCAAAGGCATCCACGTCGTGCCCGCTGACTTTGTGGAGCGCCAGATCGAGGCGTGCCTCGAGGACGTGGGCGCCGATGTCATCACGACGGGTGAGAGTCAAAGATCCCTCTCCTGTCAACTCCAGCTCCTCGACTCGTGACTGAATGGAGAACATCACAGGCATGCTGGCGGCTGCAGAGACCGTCGAGACGGTCTCGAGACAGGTGCAGAAGCACAAGGCTCGCGCTCTCGTCGTCGACCCGGTAAGGAATCTTCTATCAGCGCTGTGTAGCAGCAATGGAGGTCGTTAACGTCAATGCCCCCCCCTTTCGTCCAGGTCATGGTCTCAACATCGGGTGCGCAACTGCTCCCCCACGACGCCATCCATGTCCTTTCGCAACGCCTTCTGCCGCTCACCACGGTGCTCACGCCCAACATCCCTGAGGCGAAGCTCATCCTCGCCGAGAACGGCGCCGGCGACAAGGAAGAGCACATTCGCTCTGTTGCCGACGTCGAGGCCGTGGGCCGGCGCATCCAGGCTCTCGGCCCCGAGTGGGTGCTTGTCAAGGGCGGGCACCTACCCTTCGCTACCGCCGACATGACTGTCGCTCAGCCCGACGCACGGGAAAAGGTCGTTGTGGACACGCTCGTCGGGCCCGACGGGTTTGTGATGCGAGTCGAGAGCCCCTGGCAGGAGAGCACGAGCACCCACGGCACCGGCTGCTCGCTCGCAGGTGAGTGCTCCTTCAGTCACCCCAATCCCTACCCGCCCCATTCTAGTGTCGTGCACTGACGAAAGCAAGCCGCCATCTCATCCGGCCTGGCTGCGGGCAAGGACGTCCCCGCCGCCGTCCGGGCCGCGTGCCGATACGTCGAAGCCGGCATCCGCGAGGCACCTCAGCTCGGCAGCGGTCACGGGCCCTTGAACCACTTTCATTCGACCTTTAACCTGCCATTCTCACCGTGAGTCCTTGCGATATGATTGTGGTGGCATGATCTAACAGAGAGTTGCGACGGAATAGGGGTTACTTTATCGAGTACCTCCTGGACCGGCCCGACGTCAGGGACGTCTGGAAAGAGTTCGTCTACCACCCGTTCGTCATGGCTCTCGGGGACGGCACACTGCCCCACGAATCCTTCAAGGGCTACATCATCCAGGACTATCTTTACCTTGTAAGAGACCTCAGGAGTCCAAAGCCAGAATGCCGCTGACCTTCGGGCGTGCCCGACTCTAATTGCAGATTCACTTTGCCCGCGCCAATGCTCTTGCCGGGTACAAGACGACAGATATCACCGACATTGCGAGGGTGAGTCTGTCCCGTGCCGCCCATAAACACTCACATCACAGGTCGTGTGCGCTCGCGTAGAATGCCAGGATTAACTAACGCCAACTGCCTCCCCCGCCACAGTCTAGCGAATCCGTCGGGCACATCATGCACGAGCTGAAACTACACATAAGCTACTGCGAGTCCTTCGGTATATCCGTCGCCGAGATGCGCGCCACGGAAGAGAAGCAAGGTACCATCCGCTCTTCCCGTATCCCCGAATTATTCCCTCTTCCCCTGTGTCGTCCCGGTCGTACACGCGCAAGAACTGACCCCGGAAACCCACTCGCCCTCAAACAGCCTGCACCGCATACACGCGCTACGTGCTCGACATCGGCCAGAGCGAAGACTGGCTCGCCCTGCAGATGGCCATCGCACCCTGCCTCCTCGGCTACGGCGCCGTCGCCAAGATGCTCCACGCTCACCCCGATACCCGCCGTGACGGCAACACCTTCTGGCCCTGGATAGAGAACTACATTGCCGACGACTATGTCGCCGCCGTGAAGCTTGGTTCCGGTGCGTCCACTTCCATCCCCCTTACGAAGCCCCCCTCTTCTGCGATTGCGCCCCTTTGTACTTCAGGCAGAAGATGAGATGCTGAAACGACTCCGTGTTTTCCCCCCGCAGAACTGATAGAAGACAACATGAGACGGCAGGCGCCCTCTCGTGTGGAGGAACTCGTCAAGATATTCATTCATGCCCTCAAGGTGAGTAACGAAGGTGATTTCAACGGACCTTCCTGGTTTCTAACTTATTCCCAGATGGAGATTGGGTTTTGGGAAATGTTTCCTTACAAATAGAAGCTTGACGTTCGGGGCGACAAAGTCTCGTTCCGTACGTGCAGTTCGGACCCAGGGCCGAACCGACCGCCCTCGCGGCTTCAAGGATAGACCAGATTGGCCGCCGCAGCGTGCCGGCTTAAAACACACCGCAGCATTATACTAGTATCCAGACTATTCTATACAGGCATAACTGCTACCATTGGACATTTATTTCACATGTGTATTGTCAATGGCCGGAGAACACCGTCTCCTCGGCGCTACGATTCGCTCACCCCTCCCCGTTCATCGCGCTGCGACCCTTCTACTTGCGCCCTCCGCGGCTCTTCGCCGTCCGGCATCATGAGCCTGAACTCCTGCTCCGGAGGCATGTTCGGCACCGGGGGCGCATCGCTGGCCGCAACTTCGCGCTGTTTGGCGCGCTTCACCCGTCCAGTCTGCTGCCTCACCCACGAGTTGATGCTGCGAAACCGCGGGATCGGATCCTCGGACGCCTCCGTGTACATGGTCTCGCGCCGTTGCGAAATCTCGCTGACGCTGGAGCGCGTCGCCGCGGGTGCCGGCACGGTCAGGCGGGCCGCTGTGATGGTCGTCTTGGCGTTGGGCGGAGGCATGATTATGTCTCCGTCACCAAACCCGGACGAGAGCGACGAAATCTCGCTCATGCGGCCATTGCGGACTTGGTAGTTTGATCGCAGCGTGTTGTTGAATTGCGGCTGGGTCGACGATATGGACTGGCTCGGACCGTGACGGGTGAGACCGGCAAAGCCCTGGTTGTCGCCAACCACGCTCTCCCTTACAATTGCCGTGTGAACTGTGATGCCGTTTGGCTTCTCGCTTGCGGCCCCTGTGTAAGGCAATTGCTTCTCCCAGTAGGCGTCGTCGTACGGCTTCTCCAGGTTGGACCAGGTCCGCTTGGCCAGCTTGTCCTTCAGGACGGGAACTCGAGACGCCAAACTGATGACAATCTGTTTGGGTCTCTCAAACGAGAAGGATGCCGGCATCCAATTGCCAGAGTATTCTTTGCCCCGTCGCATCTTGAAGCATTTCCAGCTGAGCCAAGCAACGAAGAACACGATGATTGTAGCGCCTGTGACAGCCGTCAGCTATGCATTCGCGGCCAAGATCAGGTCGGCTTACCAACGGAGCCAACGGCAATGAGGGCCTTCTCGGTATTGGCGTGGAGGTTGTCATGGGCATGAGAAGGGTAGTCCTCCATCTTGTCTGACTCTGCAGTCTCGTATGAGTATGAAGAGCTTGTTGTCGCCGTGGAGAGAACCGTAGTTGGCAGAGAGGCGACCGAAGTCTGTGTCGCCGGGCTCTGTACGCCTTTCCTTACGTCCGAGGACAGGAATGGAATCGGAGCTGTGACGACCGGGGTAAGTGAAATGAAAAACCTACTCGTCGTTGGCGCTGAACTGGAGATGCTGATGCTTGTGGCGCTCTCTAGCACAGACGTAGAGGACGAGGTGTACGACGTCTTGGTAGCTGCAATCGACGTCACGAATTGCGACGATTTGTCACCTGCGTTATTGACTGGTGGGGGCTACACGATATCCGGTCAATACCAGACATTGTCCTGGGAACGCCCCCGTCACCGCGCAAGGACACAAGGAGAACTCACATTACTTGGACGCGCCGGCTCCGGGGTACTGGACGAGGTACTCGTCACTTGCGGCGTAAGAAACGTGGAGGCAGGAGGAGTGGAAGGCGAGGAAAGGCTAGTCGGAGGCGGCGGAGGCGGTGGGTTGGCAGCAGGAGCCGCGCTGGCAGTTGGAGTTGGCGGCTCGCTTTCCGGACTGCTGTTGTCGTTGTCACTGGTCTCATTCCCGGGCTCCTTTCCAACCAGCTTCCCCACTATCGGCTTGACAACATCTCTCAAGAGGCTTCTCTTGGACGATGAGCGCTGGTGGGGTGGTGAAGAGCCTAGTCGTATAGCAGCGTCGGCCGCATCGGGTGGTAATCGACTTCCTCTCTCTCTGACACGACGCTTGGTGTTCCTGCGTCTCGTTCGGAGGCCTGCGGGCTCTGGCTCATCCTCGCTTTCGTCGTCTCTCGTCCACGAGGGAAACCCGGCGAACTTGGGGTTCTGGGGAGGCTCGCCACGGGCCAGATGGCCAGCGGCTCGTTCTACCAGCGGAACCATGTCTCCTTGTCGAGCAATGGCCGAGGATGGGTATCTTGTAACGAGTGACGTTGGTGGGAGTGGCCGTAAGTACAGGTGCTTCAACACATGACAGGAAACGGTCTACTTGGCGCGTCGTTGTGTAATTTGACAATGCCTTCGACGTGAGAAGAGAGAAGCAAACCAGGCTGGCTGATTCACGACAAGCATGAGCCTTCCCGAAGAGTCATGAAAGAAGGGGCCGGCCCTTCAAATCGGAACAAAAGCGAAGCGAACGCAAAGACAAGGAGCACGTAGTATAGGTCGAGTAGAAATATTGGCAGAAAGAATGAAGGCGAGAGCAGGAGCATCTGGAAGACACGAGCAAGTAGGGATTCCCGAGGCTAGAAAGGTGTCCAAGGACAGGGGAGGCAGCCTGCAAACGGATGTCATCACAGCCGCAAGGGGTCTTTTGCACGCGACGAGCGGGACTGGGACGAGAGATGGGACTCGAGCGAGGGCGGCAGCGGCAACAGTTCATGGTTCCTCAGGGGCTTGAGCGTGTCAAACATGAACCAGCTGGGGAAGACGAGGCGAAGACTAAGCCGTGGTCACGATGAGAATCTGGCGCGGGGCCGAACGTTAGCCACCAAATCTTGGCATGTAAAACGACGGATCGCCTGAAGGGTCAACAAGCCGGTCTCGCGCGAGGCCCGTGAGAGCAAGTACGTAGCATGGAACGCTGGTGCCTCACGACGAAGTTGTGACGCGGCGCCCCTTGCCCCCGTTGGAGACGGGTCGGACACGGCTTGGACACGGGACGCTACGGCAGTCCCCCGCGTCCGGTGTCGAACTATGGCGCCTGTGGCTGGAGGGACGGCCTGGTCGAGTGGCGAGATGGATCAAAGTGCGACAAAGGAGCCGCTGCGGAGGGGGGCTAGAGTGTCGCAGCGCTGGTTTCAGGGCTTGCCGGGCATCGCGAGGCGACCAGGGTCCGGGATCGAGGGTGGGCGGAGAGCAAGGCGAGCGGCGAGGGTGCCGTGCTCCAGTCTGTTGACAGGCGGCCAAAGATTCGGCCACTGGATGAGACGACGCCGGGCGGGCGAGGTTTTGGGTGGCATTGGGTACGGATGGATGAGTGCACATGGAGATGGAGATGAGGCGGGAGGGAGGGGGTGGTTGAGGTCGACCGAGCGAGCGAGCGAGCCAGTGTTCAGTGTCTTATCGTCAGTAGGTACGTAGCCCGCCAGCAAGCACAATACGCAGAAGGAGCAACCGAGAGGAGCTGCCGCCGCCCGCACGCGTTCTTCTCCTGCCAAGGTTGGCACAGGCTGTCAATCCGACGCGGTATCTTGAGAAATTTTGGCATCATACAACATCGCAGCCTTATCGATCGCCCCCTAAGTTAGTTGGCTGCTCCTGCTGCTGCTACTGCTCCAGACGCTGCAGGAAACTCGAGTTCTACGCGCCATCACGCCGCTCTGGGCAACGTCGAGGTTCACCCAAAACCATGCCGCAGATTCCAATTCGCACAAGCCACATGACTGTTCAATTATTTGAGCCCTTCCTTTTTTACTGTGTCAACGAGACGGCTGGGGCTGATGAACAGTGGGATCGCGCCCGGACCTCGACGTCTCATGACGCGGTCCGCACCGCAACGGTTGTGTCTCGCCCCGGCCAGCCAGAAAGGCAAGATCAATCACGAAGCAAAGGGCAGCTTTTGTTGCGAGCTGTCCGACGGCTTGGGCCCAAAGAGTAGGCGGACACAAGGATCTAGTAGTCTCGGGCGCACGGGAGTCATTGAGCTTTCCATTGAGCTTGACACTGAGCTGTTGCGAGGAGAGACCCTTCTGCCCGGGACGGATGAGAGGGATGTGGCGGACGGCCAATACTGGCAAGCACTCCAAGGAGACAGGGCCGCCCTGGTGCTCAGGGCACCAAGCGCGGGCCAGCTCTCGCTCTCCAAGACGATGGGCGCGCGAGAGGCGTCACGTAGCTACTCTCCCATGTGAAAGCGCGTCTCTCCGCGCGCCAATGGCAGACGGCCAAACCAAATCGGCGTCGATTCACACGTGGGCGAGGAAGATGCCGCCGGGTTCTGCCTCCTTCCAGCCGACCTCTGGCTCCAGCCTGGTTCCGGGACAGCCCAGGTGACTCGTAGGAAAGGCAGCGGTCCAACCTAATGGAGCCTCGGTACCCAGTCACAGCCAATATTACAACCAGATGGGGTGCAGTCCACTGTTATCGCTTCGTAGATCAGGCACGGTACTGCCTTGCTGCATCAAGGCAGTGTAGCGTTGCACTTCCTGTGTCTTCACCGATCTGCGGGAGCATCCGAGTCCCCGGAACCCGCGCACCAGGGCGACCGGCAGATATCGGAGGGCAAAGGAGTCACGTACGAGCAGACCACGAAAATGCATAGCGTCATCCTTTGCCTACCGGTAGTCCGATGGCGGTCCGCTGCAGGCGCGCGCATCGGCTCCGCAGCATCGCATTGACACACGGCCAGCCCAACCGCGACTCGAGATCAAGCACACAGGTCGTCAAGAGGTGGATAATAAAGAACAGTAACCCGCCAGCGAGGGCTCACTGACCCATTGCGGGCGATGCTTTGCGGAGCTATTTCGGCGACCACTGGATCTGTTAAAGAAATTTTTCCTGCGTCATTTTGCAGAGCCCAAAAAAAAAGCCCCAGGGCCCCCAGAGGGAGCCGGCGCAGGGCGTCCGCCCCCGGCAGAACGGCTAGCGAGCCAAGCGCAGGCGTCACCCGCCCGCCCTGTAGAGCCACCGCCGCGCATGAGGTACCCAGCGACAGTGTTCGCAGCAGCTTATTATCTTAGTGCGAGCGTCGAGATTTCCCAATTCTTTCTGCGGCCTCGCTCTGTCCGACCTCTCCTCCTCCCCCAAGCAGCTCTCCCAGCACATCGACTTTGGCTGGCTCATTCCGCCGCCAGGCCACCCGCATTGCGCCGCACAGTTGGCCGTTGCTCCGTCACTGCGTCTGCGACTGCGCATTTGTCCAGCTCGCCCCCCGGACGCTCCGGCGCGATGCCCTCCTCGTCGCGAGCCATGGGCGCCGCCCTCGCCAGGGCAGCTCAATTGGCGCCTCGGCAGACTGTCGCCGCCCCCAGAGCCTTCTCGACGGCCTCTAGGACAACGCCGTCTCTGCGCTCTGCCGCGCGCCCGACCGTGGCCATGCGCCTGCAGACCACCGGCCGCCTGGCCTTCCGGAGAGCCTACGCCGATGAGGCCCCCAAGCCTAAGCCCGGCAAGCTGCGCAAGACTTTCCGGTGGATGTGGAGGTTGACCTACCTCTCCGTGCTTGGACTGGCTGGCTACACCGTCTACATCATCTACGACGACCGCCACCCCGAGCCGCAGTACGAGGCTGATCCTACAAAGAAGACGCTCGTCATCCTCGGTGCGTCAGCGACATCGGAACCCCCGAAAAGACCCTTACTGACGTCCATCTAGGAACCGGCTGGGGCTCTGTCGCCTTGCTCAAGAAGCTCGACACCGAGAACTACAATGTCGTCGTCGTGTCGCCGCGAAACTACTTCCTCTTCACTCCCCTGCTGCCCTCGTGCACCACTGGCACTATCGAGCACCGCTCTATCATGGAGCCCGTTCGCGCCATTCTCCGCCACAAGAAGGCTGCCGTAAAGTACTACGAAGCCGAGGCCTCCACCATCGACCCGGACCGCAAGGTTGTCAAGATTGTGGACAACTCGGAAATCAAGGGCGCGATTTCGGAGACGGAGATTCCTTACGACATGCTCGTCATTGGCGTTGGCGCCGAGAATGCAACCTTCGGTATCCCCGGTGTCAGGGAGCACAGCTGCTTCCTCAAGGAGATTGGCGATGCCCAGCGCATTCGCAAGAAGATCATGGACTGCGTCGAGACGGCTGCCTTCAAGGACCAGAGCAGCGACGAGATCGATCGCTTGATGCACATGGTTGTCGTCGGCGGCGGCCCCACTGGTGTGGAGTTTGCCGGCGAGCTTCAGGACTTCTTCGAGGAGGACATCAAGAAGTTGGTTCCCGAGATCAGCCCGCGCTTCAAGGTCACTCTCATCGAAGCCCTGCCCAACGTTCTGCCATCCTTCTCCAAGCAGCTGATTGACTATACCGAGAACACTCTGCGCGAGGAGAAGATCGACATCAAGACCAAGACCATGGTCAAGAAGGTCACCAACAACACCGTCGAGGCCGAGATCTCCCGCCCCGATGGATCCAAGGAACGAATGGTCATCCCCTACGGTCTCCTCGTCTGGGCTACCGGTAACGCCGTCAGGCCCATCGTGAAGGACCTCATGGCTCGTATCCCCGCGCAGAAGGATTCCCGCCGCGGCCTCGCTGTCAACGAATACCTGGTGGTGCAAGGCACCCGCGACATCTGGGCCATCGGCGACTGTGCTGTCGCCGGCTATGCGCCCACGGCCCAGGTTGCGTCTCAGGAGGGTGGCTTCCTCGCCCGCCTGTTCAACAACATGGCCAAGACGGAGGCTCAGGAGTCTCGCATCCAGGAGCTCAGCAGCAAGATGAACCTGCAGGCCGGAAACGCCGCCGAGTCCGCCGAGGAGATCGAGAAGCTTGAGAAGCAGCTTCGCAGGGTCAAGGACATCAAGCCCTTCCGCTACAGCCACCAGGGCAGCCTGGCGTACATTGGCAGCGAGAAGGCAGTGGCCGATGTGAGCTGGTGGAACGGTAACCTGGCCACCGGCGGTAGGATGACGTACTTATTCTGGCGGAGCGCCTACTTGTCCATGTGCTTCAGCAGTGAGTCTCCAGCTCTTTTCACACTGTGTTCGATTTTGGTTTACTAATGCTTTCAATCTGCAGCTCGAAACCGTGTTCTGGTCATCGTGGACTGGCTCAAGTCCAAGGCCTTTGGCCGCGACGTTTCTCGAGAGTAGAGGGTGATTGGCCGCTCCGGCGGCGCAAATGTGCTTGGGACGCCACATTTGATGTATCTGTTTTGGAGTGTTGGAGCAAAAACTTGTATTGCCAAGAATAGAATGCCGGTGCGGCCTGGTTGGGTTCGGATAATAGACGTTCGGTGGCACGGGCCGCCCCTTGATTCATGGTCTGATCTTTGTTGTGCTACTGTCTTACAGCCTCGTTGCGCCTGTCTATTCCTTCATGGCTGACTGGATGCCGACTGCATGTCCCGCCAGGGACCCATCGTCACTCTGCCAAACAAACCTGTAGCAGACTTTCTCCCCGCATATGCAAATACTGGCTGAATTGTACTGTGGGCCGTGATGAACGGTGTCCGGCAGCATCTCAGTCTCTACGCTGTATATGAGCTAATGGCATGGCGGGCTTGGGAACGCTTGGGCCACCCGTGCCCGAGGAGTGATAGGAGCATCGGTAAGGACTGCCAAAGCCAAACACGGCAAGGCACCAAGTGTATCATGCACAAGCACAGGGCCACAGTTCGCACCCTCCAGCAGGAAATAAGTATATGGAAACACGCGCACGGTTACGTGCCAGCGGATGCTCACAGGCAAGGGGAGACATCGCCAACAAAGGAACGACCGCGTGTAGGGTAGCTGTGGCGCACAGGAGCCAGGCGAGCGATTATGTAAGCAACGGCTAGACCAATCGGGCAGGCTCGGTGGCGGCAAAACGAGTTTTTCCTAGCGCCAGAAAATTTCGGGAAGGGACTTTGGAAAGGCAAGGCGCAGCCAGGCAGCCCAAAGGGAAAAAAGTTTGGAGCAGCGCGGCCACCTGTGGTTCCCCCCAAACATCATCTTCCTCGCAACATCAAACGACCACCCCGACCCGCACTCCTTTCATCGTCGTTTCGAGGACAAATCATCAAAGCAGAACCCGATAACACCTCCCCGACACTCATTTTTTCCTCCTCATCAGGGAACGACCCCAGACGACTTGTCAAACATGTCCAGCTACGGTGGTCGAGGCGGTGGTGGCTACGGTGGCGGAGGCTACGGCCGTGATCGAAGCGATCGCGGCGGAGACCGCAACGGATACGGCGGCGGCGGCTACGGCGCAGGGTAAGTCTTTGAACATATTCAGGAGTCTGGTGATGCCTCGTGCGGCGTCGCGCGCACCCACCCACTACCAGGCGAACGCGGGTGGACGATCTATCTCTCGCCTCCTGCCATTTCAGCTTGTGACAGCTTTGCTGACGAGACTTGCCAACGCACAGCGGTGGATATAGCAACGGAAATGGCTACAGCAACGGTGGTGGCTACGGTGGTGGCGGCTACGGAGGCGGCTACGGCGGCGGCGGCGGTGGTGACCGGATGAGCGCTCTCGGCGCTGGACTGCAGAAGCAGACTTGGGGTAAGCATTTTCCGAGCAACCAGACCGATGATTCCACTAACAATCTTCTAGACCTCTCTACCATGCCCAAGTTCGAGAAGTCCTTCTACAAGGAGAGCCCTGAGGTGACCGCTCGCTCGTCGGCGGAGGTTGATGCCTTCCGCCGCAAGCATCAGATGACCATCGCCGGCCGAGAGGTGCCCAAGCCTGTTGAGACGTTCGACGAAGCCGGCTTCCCCCGATATGTCATGGACGAAGTCAAGGCTCAGGGTTTCCCCGCGCCCACTGCTATTCAGTCCCAGGGCTGGCCCATGGCCCTGTCTGGTCGCGACGTCGTCGGTATTGCGGAGACCGGTTCCGGAAAGACCCTGACGTACTGTCTCCCGGCCATTGTCCACATCAACGCCCAGCCCCTTCTCGCGCCTGGCGACGGCCCCATTGTCCTGGTCCTCGCCCCCACCCGTGAGCTTGCTGTTCAGATTCAGCAGGAGATCACCAAGTTCGGTCGGTCCTCTCGTATCCGCAACACTTGCGTGTACGGTGGCGTCCCCAAGGGACCCCAGATCCGCGACCTCTCCCGTGGCGTCGAAGTTTGCATCGCCACTCCTGGACGCCTGATCGACATGCTCGAGGCCGGCAAGACCAACCTGCGCCGTGTGACCTATCTTGTCCTCGACGAGGCTGATCGCATGCTGGACATGGGTTTCGAGCCCCAGATCCGCAAGATCATTGAGCAGATCCGACCTGACCGACAGACTCTCATGTGGTCTGCCACTTGGCCCAAGGAGGTCCGTGCCATGGCCTCTGACTTCCTCAACGACTTCATTCAGGTCAACATCGGCTCCATGGACCTGTCAGCAAACCACCGCATTACTCAGATTGTCGAGGTTGTCAGCGACATGGAGAAGCGAGACCGCATGATCAAGCACATGGAGAAGGTCATGGACAACAAGGACAACAAGATCCTTATCTTCGTCGGCACGAAGCGCGTTGCCGATGAGATCACCCGCTTCCTGCGCCAGGACGGTTGGCCTGCGCTTTGTAAGTCAACCCGCAGTGTAACAGAACGCCTCTGTGAACCGCTTTACTGACTCTCGAGCAGCTATCCACGGCGACAAGCAGCAGAACGAGCGTGACTGGGTCTTGGACCAGTTCAAGACTGGAAAGAGCCCTATCATGGTTGCCACCGACGTCGCGTCGCGTGGTATCGGTGAGTGACCCTTGCTTCCCCCTCCCTCCCTCGTGGCATCACCCAGCAAAACTCTTGCTGCGCTTTACTCTCGTGTCTACTAGGGGCTCTCTTACTTGTGCGAATCTGCCTGACGTGCCCGTGTCCACTTGGTTCTCCGACCCAGGAGTCTTGATCCGCTGTGTAGCTGGCTCTCTTGCTACTCGCATTTCCACAAGTCGTACCGTACTCCCGTGGTACAACCGTGGAGGTTGGCATCTCTTGACCTGATCAAGCTTGTCTCCCAAGGCTCCCTGACCCGAGGACCCGGTGACCGCCTCTTCCCAGGATGGATGGCATTTGTCGCACTTGGATTGCCCCAATCTGCTCAGGAGTGAAGCTAGCCGTTGACCCATATACGTGGCCGTCTTCGCCTATTCCGTGACCACGATGGACGTTGCTTTGCAACCCCAATTTCGCCTGCTAACCTGACGTGTTTCAAGATGTTCGCAACATCACTCATGTGTTGAACTACGACTACCCCAACAACTCGGAGGATTATATCCACCGAATTGGCCGCACGGGTCGTGCTGGCGCGAAGGGCACTGCCATTACCTTCTTCACCACTGACAGTGAGTAACCCGTTTTCAATACTTGAAGCACTCGAAGGCTAACGTAATCGTTTCAGACCAGAAGCAGGCGCGTGATCTTGTCAATGTCCTCCAGGAGGCCAAGCAGCAGATTGATCCTCGCCTTGCCGAGATGGCTCGCTTCGGTGGTGGCGGCGGTGGCCGCGGTTGGGGTTACGGACGTGGACGTGGCGGCGGTAGAGGTAAGCGTAATTATTAGTTTATAGTCTCGGGCGCGCTCAGCCGGAGCTAACAGCTGTTTCCAGCCAACGCCAACAGCCAGCCCCTTGGCAACCGTCGATGGTAAAGAGTAATCCAAACCTTTGACGCGTTGACTTCGGCACCGAGCCCGAGTTGGGCGCGCCCGAGCGAGCCGTAAGGCGACACACACGGCACTTTAACGGCGTTTGATAGAGGACTGGGATGGTTGTTTTCAACTAGACGGGGGACGCACGGAATCCGCGACCCCATGTTCATTGTGTTCCATTTTGCAACCCGCGGTTCCGGCCATTTGCCCAGGCTGTTGTTGTTCCGACGCATCCAGGACCGGACCTCGCCATCTTTTCCTTGCTTGTTTTGCTTTACCTCTCGGAGGGTAATATTTTCTTGAGTCGAGGGACACACACACCTGCTTGAGGTGCCACAACAAGGTTGTGGTTGCGTTGCATGTTGATAGACGAGATTGATGACGGACGGAGAGGACTCGTCGAGCCGCGACATGACTGTCTGCCGACATGGATAGGCGTTGAAGACGTCTCTTCGGCTCCGTTGCCTGGCCCCTTGCCAGTCTGGAGCAGGCTGCATGCAGTCATGACGCCGCAGGCCCTGGGCCGAGGACGACTGTCTGGCTCATAGAAGCACTTGTAGTTTAACAAGGAAAAGCACATGAAATTGTTTGATTTGAAATACGTGTTTTCTGCCGACGTGCTTCTTGTGTCGTTACGGAGTGAAGAGAGTGGGCGTAACCATTTCACGTAGTAGAGCACGGCGGAGCACGACGATGCGAGAGGGTGCCGGGTTCTCGGGCTCTCGGCCGTGTGAACGGCGTCAGCGTCCGCAACGGGAGCATAATGTCCGGGATCAAGGGTGAGACTGGCTCGACATCGGGGGAATATAGGGTCCACGGTCGACATATCACCTGTTGGCAAG